TCTGCGGCTCTGGATAAGCCATTGGAATGCATTGGAAAATTGAGGTGGCATGGCGAGCAGCATGGAGTAGTAAACTAAAAAGTATCAGTTAGACAGGGCTGATGGAAGTCTGCAGATAAGACAGTAGTGGCGATCGAGAAGTTACCAGGACAAGATTTCCCTTGTGAATTTCCTTTACAGATGAGATTTTACTGGTGTAAAAACCGAAAGTATTCAACTGATATTTCACGCTGCTCCTGCCTCCTCCGCTTCCCCTTCCACATACACAAAACACAAGAAATTTGCACAGCAGCAGCAACATCATCGCCACCACGAGGAGGTGGTCCGACACCAAGATATATCTGTTTGCTTAGTTCGTCCTCTTCCTCTTCTCGTGTTATTGAAAATCTATGCTCCTGTCTGTCACAAACCTACTCCACCTTGTTCTCCTTATTCCCATCCTCCGCCTTTCTCCAGCAGCAGATCCGCGCTTTCTCTCTCTCTCCTTAGTCTCCATCTTAGTCTTAATCAACTCCTAACCCTGGCTCCCAAGCTCGTCACATCAGTCAGGGTAACAAGGTGAGACATTCTCTCTTACACACACTCACATTCTCTCCCTCTCGGAATGCATCAGTCGGGAAAAGAAGCGGAAATGAAGTCAGGCACAAAATATGCGTTATGTTATGTGCTCATCGCTCGAGAGCACTCAGGCGAAGATGTATCGCTATAAATTTTTCTACGCCACCACCCAAGCCCCAAGTCATTCCAGTTCATGTGTACATTCCTCTCCTATCCAGCCTCTCTCTCTCTCTCATCGTCCGTATCAAATCAACCTCTGAAATTCATGCGGATTCGATTCTGACACCCAACTAATTGGCTGCACATCCGAACCACTCAATCACTCACCACCACCGTCACCCTCACCGGAGAGAATTGTCGTGTCGAAGGGATAAAAGTGTGCGACAATCGAGGTCCCACAAACAGCCCTTCTTTTTCACCCCGTCAAAATGACTCCGTTTGATGCTCTCCTCGTGTTGTCGACTTATCAGCGTGATGGGTGATGGCATAATGGTATCTGTGGCGATACGACGACCTGGGACACTCCTCGATCCACAATTACTCACCTCACCATCGTGTAGCAGCAGGAGTAACTTTATGAATAAATTAGTACAACCCGAATGATGATGTAGTCTCACTACGTATTTACGTATGTACAACTGCTTCTCTGCTTCTGGGATGTAGTTTTAGTGATGTAGACTTATTGACATACATATTTACTATCTCGACGCACCAGTGTCTCGCCCTCGTCCGACGTAGCATACCGACCAAGATTAATCTGCTTAGTCTTCCTGCCGTAGTAAAGCTGCTGGATTCTGTTGTCCCATATTTCTCAGACGATAATGCATGCTTCACAAAAATCAATATTAACGCCTGACTTTAGCAGCTATTCTTCATGCTCTACTTACATACTTACATGTCGTGAGGAAGAAGGAAGAAAGTAAGGAAAGTGAATGAGTGAGCACTGCCAGTTCAGTTCAATGTGCGAGTCGGCACTGCTTTCTCCAACCTAGCTTCAAGCCTCTCCTCCTAGCCGTCGTCCAACTCTATCCATAAATCTATTATGGATTACCCCCTCGTAAAACACAGGTGCCGTTTCCTTAAAAACCCACTACACTTTCTCCTGCGTTTCCCCCCGTCTTCTCATTATTATTGCCCTGCATTGTCCTTCATCTTACAAGGAAACATACCGAGGTGTCCAACGAGTTAAGGGTCGACACCTATACCAAAATGACCACAATACATGACTTATTAAACAAACTGAAGGAATTTCCGTGTAAAATTCACTTTTCGTCAAGTTGTGACGATATTTGTGACGAGCGCATGACCATCGGGTTGGCAGCGGGAGAGGTCGGCCGCTGAACGATCAGGTCGACCACAGAGAAGCGTCGTCGTCTTCAGAGATTTCAAATTCTATCAAATTTTGAAAACCACTTGAAATTTTGAAAAAAAATTGAAATTTCTTCAAAATTTCAATTTTCTCAAATATCGTCACAACTTGACGAAAAGTGAATTTTACACGGAAATTCCTTCAGTTTGTTTAATAAGTCATGTATTGTGGTCATTTTGGTATAGGTGTCGACCCTTAACTCGTTGGACACCTCGGTATGTTTCCTTGTTAGTGTTCTACTACACCAAAATTCCACTCTCCCTCTTTCTCATCCACTACCTACTCGCGAGAAGATTTGGAACACAATTAACAGGATGAGTAGCCTATTCTCCAGTAAATTACCTTTTTCCACCATTCACAGCTAGCTAGATTCATAGGTGGGTGCCGTGCCTACCGCATTTAACCTCTCGAACCCTTCCAGTTAGAATGATGTCTATCCAATACAGGTTATTCCCACTCATCCCCCGCCTTCCCACCCACCCATTGATAACATGTTCACGTTCGAGGAACGCTTTTGCATCCACCACTTCGACGTACGGACGTACATTTGAAAATACACGAAGCGAAAACAAAAGGTGGTGGAAACTTTTCTTATTGATGCTCTCAAATTTACTCGCGAGTTGGTTTTGGTTGGCAGCATGCGAATCAGCCTCTTTGCGTGTCGGTTCCCTTCTTATGGGGGAACGCGTACATACGTATCTACCAAAGTAGGTGTATAGTATGTACCAAGTGAGTCGAAGAACGACCAAAATTTGGCGAGCAGAAACAGTCGTGAAAAGCATTTTGTATTTATATGCATGAGAAATGATGACTGGCTTTCTTCTCTCCATAGCTGTGCGCATTTAGGGTGCGGAAAGTCTGTTGCTGCTGCTGCTCCAAGTTTACGACACACACTGAGAGTCAGAGACATAACCGCTTTCCATAAAATTTACAACAAGCTTTACATCCGGCCAGCTCATTGAGTCGAATGGCGGCTGGGCTGGGTGAGTGGATGGAATTGTAAACTTTATCGAAATTAGAGAAATAAACATGTTGGGAATTGGTCTAAATCATCATAAAGTAAATTAAATCAAAGCGACGTTATCCGCAGCGTAAGCCCCTCGCTGTCAATGTGATTGTGTCGATTATGATGATGTAGAGAGAGGGCGGGGAGGATATCGAGAATGGCTGCGCTGGCTGTATAAATATGTGTATCTAGTTATTTGTGTACATACGTGTGGAGGTCTGCCGGGAGAGAGAGAAGAGAAAGTCACTTGCTCTCTGGGCTGAACTTTGATGGTTGAAAGAGATCAAAGGAAGCATTAAGAGGTAATAAATTCCCGTGATAATAACACTAATAATATAAAACGTCGGGACACTTCTGGAACAAGATCTGGACGGGGTTCAAATAGGCAATCTACTTGCAGAGCAAGGGAGCACATAAAGCCGGATGTGGATTTAAAGAAGCAGCAGCCAACTCGCTGCTCATTCAGTTTGCTTGGTGGTTGACTGCTTTCTTCTCTCATCCTCTCTCTCCGCTCTGTTGTATTATTGGCATCCGCACAACAGAATAAATAGTAGCAGGAATAGCAGTAAGTAAGTGAGTGTGGGGTGTAAGTGAGGGCATCGCAATAGACAAGTCACAGTTGTTCCTCTGCTGGAAAGATCATCATTCTGCATATACGAAGGATGGAGACACCTATACCGCTTTTACTGCTTCCACTAAATATGTGCATACATACGGGCACTATAGTCTTGGAGAGGATTCAAAAAAGCCGTGTTGCGGTGTGGTACGTAGGCTCCTGCAGCAGCACTCTCTTGATTCTTGAGCATATTTTATTGAGATTGATCGGATGAATGAGGAAATATGTTGCCAGTCATATTACCCAAGCGAGGGGAGCATATTAACAAGACATCACCTCAACACCCAAGTCATCCTTCTGCATCATCAACATCCCTGCCACCACGCACTCCTCTTCTCCCTCTTGTTCTAATCCCCAACTTGTCCAGCATTAATTTTCATCAAAACAGTCACTCCATCCATCCAACGAGAAGCACCCGGACTGCATACGCGTTCCGAACATCAGCAGAGCAGTCTTATCCCACGAGCTGAAGGACTTCCTCCCAGCAGGATCTCAAATTTCCAACAGGATGCTCCCTAATTCATCTCAATCAAGGGAGAAAGGTGTTGGTTAGAAAATAGGGACGGCATTCAGCACTTTCGTCATCCTCCTCCTTTCAATTTCTCCGCAAATTTGCAATGTTAATGTAAACTGGCTTCTTTCCTCGGAACGATGACTGACTGAGGGAGAGAGATGTGCAATTCAGCAAAAAATATTCATGAGTAAGGATTAGCTAATTTTGTCACCAGCAGAAATGCGGGATTATTGGTCTCGCCCACTCCATCTTTTCATACCTTGTTACCCACACCTCTCTCCCTTGCTCGTCCTAATAATGGGACATCTTTTGCGGAGGAATTTTCACTCTGGTTTTACTTTTATTATACTAACCACGACATTTCTTGATTCACTTTCTCTCCCGAAATCCCAAGACTTTGACAAAAAAGATTCCGTATAATATTACGACACGGTCTCGTTACCAGCTCCACGCATCCACGATACATGAATCATACATAGGCGTCCTGGTCTCCATTAAGAATTCGAATCTCGTTCAGCGAGCTCAGTGATCCTTCGACTCTCTGCACTTCCTCCGTCCTCCTCCTCCTCATACCTCATCTTCTCAACAAGCACCGACAACCGTGTCCACAATCAAGTCAATTAATTTCCAACCTGCTCCTCCTCCCTTTTCTCCAAAATCCTGGATCAGGATCAAACCCGGACAAGGAGGAGGAGTGAGTGGGATGCAAATTGTTGTTGTGCGAGTGATACTGCTGGATGGATACTACTTACTTCCACCAAAATAAATAAGTGGCTGATGCATGAAAACTTTTTTTTCTCTCTCCTTTGGCCTTCCTCCACTCTTCTAAATAAGTTACAATCGTGGTTGGTGGAAGAGGTGATGTAATCTTATTTCACGTATTGATTCACCTTTCACTGACTTTGCTAACTCTTGTCATTTGTAAATAAACTTTCAGACGCGGATTCACAATGACGAATAGCAGCAAGCCTCACAGGACGTGGACGTGGTTTCACCCCGTACTCGCGATCATGATGATATGGCACACTTCCGAGGCCAACATTGGTAAGTTTTTCTCCTTTTTTTGGAGTCTTTCTTTCTTTGGGTTTCTTCTTTTTCTTAGCATCATTATTATGTATTGGTTCATGCCAGATTGTAAACTTTTTTGTCGTGATGAGACAGAAAGCGACAGGATAATGAATGCCACTGGAAATGTGGTATTTGAGGATGAGTGTCGATTCGACGTATGCATGTGCACATAGCTGGAAGAGGAGGAGATTAAAAACAGCCTTGTTTATACTTTTGTGTGTGGGAGGAGGTCTATGAAAGTAGTGGCGGAATTGGGATGTGTGCAGAATTTAAACTATGCCTCTTTCATGGAGATAAAAGAAGGGTTTATTGAGGAAAATTAGATTGAAACCAGTCTTACTAAGCAGCCTTCTCTTTTCTTCTTGGTGGATGATATTGAGGAAAATAATAGGAGAGAACCACTCCATTCGACGATCCTTCGTTTCAACTTTTAGCCTCGAAGTCTGTCCATGCATACGAGATCTGCCCTTCTTCTCTCCGAACAATAAGTATCCTTCGCTCTCTTTTTGGCGTGTGGGTTTTGGCTGTTGACAATCCACTGCTAAATCCATCCAGATCATCATCATCATCATCATTATTATTATTATCATCACAAATCCGATGAGATTGGTATAATGCTGTCAGTCTGGTGAGAGCAATGACGCCGTTTTATATACCTTTCACTCACACACCGACCATCATCGCCACTTGGCCGGCATTTCCTCCTGTGTGTGAGCCTGCGAAGGTCGGCTGAGAAGTGAGACGAGAAAATGTGTACGAAACGATGAAGTACGTATAAAGTGTCACACTTACTTACTTACGTCGTGCCACAAAGCAAAACTCGCTCGGATTCTTTGCCAGGCGGAAACCTTAGCCGGTGACAATTTTTCTCCGATTTACTCCAGAATTATTTGTCACCCCGCACTCCAAATGTTTCCTTTCCTGGCAAAATGGATAGATTCCGAGCCTTGGAGGTTCCTCATAACGAATCGTAACGTATAAGCAGCGCGTTTGTGCTCACCATACCACATGGGCAGGCACTCACGTAAGTAAGTACGCAGTCTGAGCCTGGCTGTGCAGGAGAATGGACGAACGGAACGGACGTAAGGGGCAAGTGAGAGAGAAAGCAAGGGCTGACACTCGCTCATATACGTACTAACATGCTCCCCTGTAATGCTGCTCTGGTCTGCTGGCTGCTTTTTGCTCGTGCTTCCTTGAACACGAGGTCATAGATCCATCAAAAGATAGTCTCAAGAGTGTAAAACAACCTTCCACATTCTCTTCCTATCCTCCTCAGCTTCGTATTAGTGACTTCCGTCTGACAAGCAGTTTTTGTTGTATCCCGTCGAGCTCAGACCCTTGGCTGCCGGGCCACTACGGCTGCTGCTGCTGGGGACTGGAATCATTTTTCACAACGGCTCTCACATGTCTCTTTATGGAACACCACACCATCATTTCTCTTTATGCATTTAAATCTCTCCCTCCTCTACTTGACATTTATACGAAGCCTCCGCCTCCTCCGTCTCCTCCACTCTCCTCAACTCACTCCCACTCCCAAAGCCGGAAATGTACTTTCACTTTACAAGCTACTAATCATTTAAGCCATTTTTCAACAGTTTCCCCCAGAAAAAATATCCATCCATCCATTCTCTTCCTCCTCCTCGGAGCAGAAGGGTCTTAAAAATTAACCAACTTTTACACTCGCCAAGATTTCGGCGCAGACCTACGATGAACCGCGTCTTCTTACTTCACACAGCCAGCAGCTCGCGGTTGATATGCCATCATACCCCTTGATTTATGTTTACTTGATCCACACCCGCAGTAATTGGGACCCATTGTTTGGTAAATTAATAAACCACATCAGTCTCTCCGACCAAACTACGGGCGACGATGTAGTCGCTGCTGCTGTCGTAGGATATGGGGTTCCTGACCATCTGCGTGATTGACACGCACACAACGCTGCCAACCAGCCATGTAGGAAAAGTATCATCATCATCATTGTGTTATCACCTACTTGGACAGGCTGGCTAACGAAGAGGAAGTAATTCTCTCTTCCCAAGTTCAACTAAAGATCATGACGGGAAAGCGAGAAAGGGAGAGAAAACTGTCATTGTCCTATTGGCATTGTGTTTGCCTTCATGAAAATTTCCTCCAATTCCACCACCACCCTTGCCATGCACTCACACGACGACGAGACAACGACCAAAAAGTTAAACCTCTCCAATCATTTTCGACTCGTTGGTCCCCCTCCTTCCCTCAAAATAGAGTGACACGTCACCTATCTGATGGCTGATTTTGTACAGAAAAAAGAAGAATATTAAAAGTGTTAAGCTCATTACGAAACGGAGGGAACTGTGTGTGCGTGAGTTCTCATACTTGGTTGTGTTTGCGGATTATGGAATGCCGGGAAGAGCAAGTGCATGCATACATAAAGCGACGACGAGAAAACAGAACGGAAGTGATCAGAGGCATTTAGAGCGAAACGCAGGCCGTGGTGGTCTCACTAATGAAAGAAACGAGTGCCTAATGCTTTCTCCGTTCAAGTAATGTACATATGTTATGGGAGAGCAAAGGGTGGTGGTGTTGTGTGTTGTACAAGTAGATTACATCGCGATGAGCGGAGAGAGAGGAAGAGAAAACAGCACAAACAACATTGCCGGTTGGATGTGATGTAGCAACTGCACCGCACTCACGGTCGGTCTGATGTAGTTTCAGGATTCTCATGGAGAGAGAAAGCGAGTGAGAGTGGTGCAGGACAGGAGGGCTGTACAAACGAGTTTCTTTGAATTCTGAGCCTCACATGTGCTTTCAACTGATTTAATTAGACTGGAACAGGGCAGGAGAATATCAATATTTGAAGTTTCCCAATGCAGCAGGAGAGGAGCAGCAGCAGAAAAGGACAAATGGACGAAATGTATGTGGGACTAAAATCATGCTTCCTCTCTCACTCGCTTTCGCTCTCGCATTCTGCGTGGGTTTCAGATTAGTCAACATTCACTCAGAATAAAGTCAATACTGTTTTATTACAAGTACCATCGCCACCACCACCTAGCAAAGCAATCTAAGAGCGGTGAGATTTGCCCAGGTTCAACCAACTTGTCGTCCTAAAGGCTTCAATAACATCCAAACGAGATCAAATGCTGCCCCACTGATCAAAACTCAACAACTGGACGAATGAATGAATGAATGAATTGGACGGATTGAAGGGAGAAAGCGGAGAAAGCTCTTCCGCCTGATTTTCCCGTCCACTGATTTCTAACTACATCATATTCCGAACGTCCCTCAGACCCGCATTCTCCCACCTCCCGTAGACAAACCCACATTGACTCTCACTATTTCTTGTGTCCTTCCTTTATCAGGGACCGGAAGTAGATTTCTCCACCATTGCGGACAAGGCTGACCCACAAAAAAATTACACGTAATCCAAGAGACACACACACATTCGCATCTCTGTTTAAGGGTCTTTCACAGAGCGAGTAACAAGCCGACACGACAGCCAAAAACCAACCACGGATGAGTTAAGTAGCCACCAGACTTTCACTCCCTGTGACGAAGCTCTCTTCCGCAAAGCACTATCATTTCCTGTAATCTTTCTCCTTGAATGCCTCTTCTGTGAGACAAGACCGACCAGACTGGTGGGTCTCTTCTTTTCTGTCAGAGTATAAAAATGGGAGAGTCGTAGAAGCACCATCAGCATCCCGGATGTCCACCCAATAGCCTAAATCCGAGTACTAAACGCAAAATCCATGTTGAGTAATCTGCGGAGGGCTCTGTCACTTTTATTGCAGGTAGAAGTTGGATGTTATGGGATTGAGAAGTAAATCTTGGCTTGTTGGTCGGCAGCATGCGGGATTACGTATGGAGGGAGACCGAGTAGTGGGCGCATTGTGCAGGTGATGGTGGTGCTGTGTACATAAGACGTGGTCGTATAAGATTTGCTTCTTTGTTTTACGCAACTTTATAGCAGTCCGTCGTGTGGTGACTGTCTGACGACGACGAGACGACGACGACGATGGTGGGGGAGAGAGAGAGCAAAGTTCTTTTACATACCGAAAGAGAGGAGATGATCTAATGTGTAAGTAAGTGAGTGGAGAGAAAGTGGGTGGAAGACGAAGAAGATTCCCTGGTAGACAACCTTCTAACAAGTTTCCGTCGTTATTTTTCCATCGTTTTACACAAGAGTAGACAAGGGAGAGAGAGAAAGAAAGAAAGAAAGAAAGTGAGAGTCCCAGTTTGCCACTGCTTCCTCTCCTTCCTCTTGCTTGCTGGGAGTGAGTGGTGCGTATAAAATTTTACGACCAAATTCCATATTGTTTAAAGTAGAGGAGAGGAGAGGAGGGAGGAGTGGAAATGGCGTGTAAACTACGAAGGGATCTAACTCCACTAGTTCTGTATCCTCTCTCTCATACGATATGGATGATATGACGATGGTGCATGGTATGTGTGTGCAGGAGGCTGCGAAGAGAGAGAAAGAGTGGAGGAATCAAGAACTTTATAGCACAACTACTCTCGGTAGACACATAAAAATGATTGCAATTAACTACCGTTCTCCTCACACTATCTCATTAATTGGTTATGCGGCGTTCTCCCCACACCCGCTCCACCCACTCCTTATTTAAACAATATTTCAAGTCTTCTCCTCCTCAGTCACTTTCTCTTCGCCTGCCATTGCTTCCTCCTTCTTCTTCAAAGACGTTCCACGTTCTCCAGGCCCGAGCTGACTAACTAGTTTTGTTTCATTTCTCCATTTAAACGTTTCATCCCATCAAATAAATGAGATTGCTTTCTTAATAACCACCGCACACTCATCTCCTCCTCCTCCTCCACCCCTTATTAGGTGGCCTATAAAGTTTTGTCTCACACTTGGCAGCAGCAGCAGAGGCAGTAGCAGCATCAGCATCTCACTCTCCGACCGATCTGCCTGGATGATAATTATTTTGCTGCAGGGAATCTGAATCTGAAGCAACCGGTAGTGGGCCCGTTCCACTTGCCTACACTTCCATTCTTTGCCAACTGCGTAACTAGCTGGGTTGGAGGAATGGGAGAGAAAGACAGTCACGCTACACCAGGAAGGAAGAATAACGCGACACAAGAAGAAAAGTCATCGTGAGCCAACTTCCTCCTTAACTCAATGGCATATCTCTCGTCGTCGTTCTTGTACTTTCTGTGTCACTTCTAGTCCCAACTCATTCCTGATTTACAAGAGCCACGCCACTATCATCACCACAAAGCAAACGGCCAACCAGCCTGCCAACCCCACCCCCAGCAGCACCAACCACGCAGCCCGTCAGTCGACATCCTCTATAGCTTTAATATATTGCTTCTCCCTTCTCTCTGTCCATTTCAATTGTCTTGGCAAATAATTATTCAAATATATAACTCGCAAAATGGTGAAAGTCGCCTTTCTCGTCCTGATCAGCGAAAAGGACAGGACTGGAAATGAGGCCAAAGTTGTAACTTAAGCAGCTTATACTTTACTTAATATTGATACTCTTTCTTCCTTTGAGGAAATTAAGGCACGAGAGACAATCCATCCTTTTCTAACAAGGACATCATAATCCGGTTAAATGTGATTCCATTTCCTCGTTATCAACATCTTCTCTTCTTTTACCTTATTTGCATTATCCACTTTTTCTCCTCCGTCCTAATCTTAACTCAATCCTATCAAATATGAGAAATTATTAATCAGTTCCTCCAAGAAAATGAAATAAGTTCGGTCCAAAGTCTGCAACAGGTCATGAAACCATGAAACGAGCTGTAGATATTCTTCATCAACGAAAAAAACCTATCCGTGCACCATTTTTCTCTAACTTTTAGCACACATTTATACTGCACTTTGCTCCGTGGGAGTTGAACATGGTGGTTTTTATCCTGGTCCAGACAACCATGTACACACACACCGCATCGATTTAGCCATAACTCCTCGTGGTTCTGGTTCGATATTGCAACCAGCCAGAGTTATTGCAACCATGAAATGATGAAACTAATAATGAGTGAGGGTGGGCAGCCTGCCGAAGAAGAAGTTTTGCGGCGGACAGTGATATGACGTTTCCGAGTGAAAATAGAATAAACAGAGGAGGGATGTGATTCCAGATGAATTTTAATTTTCCCTTAGAGCTTCCCTCTCACTTTTACGACTCCTTTCTCCGAGCAGTAAACGTGCCCTGGCTCACTCACTTGGCAGGCAAGCTTATAATAATGCATACATATGTATAATACGAGCTCCTTGTCTCCACCACCACTGGGCAAGACCATCAAGCAGCATGCTTCTCGCAATCGAATTTGAATTTTCATCTCCATAAAAGAAGAAACAAATTCAACGGCTCATAATACAGCCAGCAAACACACGCACGCACACGATTCCGTCGGCACACACGCTGACCTGTGGTACTCGTAGCAACAGGGGCAACATTCTGAGAAACGATTAACTTCTCTCTCCCTGCACGAAGAGAGAGCGAGAGAGAGAGAGAGAGAGGAAAGTAATTCAAATGAATACGACGAGTGAGTGAAACATACATGAGACTGAGAAGCAGGGGATTACCAATCTGCAAATACTACTATTACCGTGGATATGGAGGAGTGAAATGACTTTGCTTTTTATGACCAGTGAAGAGAGAGGAATAATTTGCTCCCTTATTACTCATCTGCTACTCTCTGGAGCAAATGGTAAGCGAGATTTCACGTGCTGGAAATCATTTGGATCTACAAGTACAAGGCTGTGACTCTGTATTATCATGTTATGTATGCCTTCTTCTTCTTATACGGGTTGCTATGTAATGGAGCTGTTCTTCTTCTCCGCCAACTTATTTATATTCCCCTTTTGCTTTATCTCTCTCTCTTCTGGGTACAAAGTGATGTCTGTCTACGTCAAGGAGATCCATGCTCCATAGTAAAAAGTAGTTTAGTTGGTTATTAGCTGGATCTATCTGGAAGCTCTTTGCTCTCTTCCCATAATGTCGGATGTTCATGGTGTAATGAAAGTAACTGTTTTTCAATAGCTTGTGAAAGCATTATTATGGGAGGCAGGATTGGTTCAAATTACGTCCATATTCCTCGATGGGGTTGGATCGGCTATAGCTCTAGAGGAAACCCAGCAGTGGGAAACACTGGGGAACGGGCGATATTCTAAATGCAAACTTCATGCCTGCTTCTTCTGCACTGTTGGCTGATGGGGAAACTTGGATAGAATGAAGAAAAGTAATCATAACTTGCTCTTCTTGACTTGGATCGAGTTGGTAGTTTTGAGGAAGAAAAGTGAGTCGCGTAAAGTAAAGCAACAGACTGTTGGCAGAGGAGAAGTTTAATTTCTTCGTGTGATCATATTACCACTACGGCGATACTTGTGCGTATCCTTCTCCTCTGCTCGCTCCTTCCACCGCTAATTTACTGCAGACTAAAAGTTGCTTCGAAATTTAAGATGTTCATAAGAAACGCAGTGTAGTTCGCTCTCTTTACTTGCTCACTCACTCATTATTAGTTGCTTCGTTGTCGGAGAAAGCTTTCTCCAAACTAACTCGACCTGCCCATGCATATGAGTCCTCGTTCTCTTTTTTTATTCGCTAACTCTCTCTTCCTCTCACAACTAACTAATTCGTGCTCTTGTTTAATTTTTCCAGGTTACTTTTGGCAAATTACGGATCTGGTAAGTTTACATTTAGTTCAGGTGGGAGAGAAAGTTTGAACAAAAATTAGATAGTTACCGTATTATGTTACACGTATAAGGGGAAAAAGTGAAGTAGGAAATTTTATATGGAAAAGAAATACGACGCCCTTTGACCCTATCGTATAATCGCTTTTGTAATAAATCTGATTTTGATTTTTGTCAAACCCACTCGACTTTTCTGATGGGTTTTGAGGTACGTAACTTTAGAAATTCTTCATTTCTAATTTGGAACTTACACCTCAGTCCAATGTTGAATAATTTCTTCGAAATCAGGTCGAAATCGAAATTTGGGAAGCCACAACCTTCTTTTGCACAAGATTGAAAACCGCCAAAACCGAGGCTTTCAATCATGTTCTAATCAATAATATAATTGTGCACCTGCTCTGCTCCATTTCCCAGTAGAGCTTCTCTTTTTCATCAATCCTTGTACAAACCTGGCTCTCAACGCTAAACGCCATGATGAAAACAATCAACGATTTAATTAGCAATTAATCAACAAATAATTAAAAATATTAAAGTTAGGCCTGAGACTACAAAGAGGATCTGCTCTTGTACACTTACATGACTTGTTATTGTCTCATTTTCAGCATTTGGAACTCAACTACTCCGTCTCCGTTGCCAACCGAGACAAAAGTAAGAAAAAGAAGTTTAATTTATCCTTGTTAACTGTTCACGGCTCTATCCGTACGATGGGTTCTATGTTCATTCATCTCACATCCAGCCTCCAGCACATGTAATTGAAGCAGCAGCAGCCCTGCCATAAAACGCTATACTCGGGGCGGTTGTGACAGCAGCGTCGGAAATGGGATGTCCCAATAACTTTTCTTTTGCGAAAGTGCCTCACTAACACCCAACTAATGTGGGTGCAATAGAGGGATCTTTATTTGAATGTTTTGATGTGAGAGAAGGATGTTCCCATTAAATAAAAAAGAGAGAAAAAGGGGAAAATGGTCTAAAGTGGCTACATATTAGAGGCGAAAGTGAGTGAGGCCCCCACTACCACCACCACCACCACGACTACCTGATTCCAGTAATAGCAATGGAAGAACCCGACGATGAGATCTTTTGTGGTCAATAATAATAGTAAGTCAGAAGCGGAGAGTAGTAGACGACGACGAGTTGGTGGTGGTCGTGGTGGGGACCGTGCACGGGAGCGTTTTTGGCCAGGGTGGCTGCTGTGTGACCGTCGTGATGGAGGGGAAATTGGTCATGGTCATGCTGGTGGACCTGCTGGAGGTTGAGACCACTTGAGGAGGGAGGCAAAGTGATAAATACGGAGTGGTTGGTTGACTGGCTATCAGTGTCGGCAGTAAAGATTTGTGTTTTGGCAGTGTGCTGGCGTCAAAATGGTGGATTTCGATCTCCGGAAGGCCATGGAAGATATGGAAGCCATTCCTGTGACTCACCGTTCATTCTGGTTGAATCTGCCATAAAAGCCATGAAAAACATCACCGGCCATGAAGGCATCGAATTCATCCTCTGGACCGGGTATGTGTTGTTATCTCTCTTCAAATGTGTTCTTTGTCTTTACCCACACACGGACAGAGACCGAGACAGAAAATGATGCTATTTTTGCGGATATCCTCCAAATCCTTTATTCAGTGGGTCTCGCTTGTTGTCAGCCCGAGCTTGGAGGTCCCAGGCCCATTTAGAAGCTTAAGGCGACTTATCTCACAATGTCATTAGAGAGTTTTATTGAGCATTGTACTGTCTCCCTCTCTCGCTTTCTCTCCGATCCCGACGCCCGTAGGAGTAGTTGTCACTTCTTTCGCCAACGGACCCCTCCTCATCTTCTGCCGCCCTCCTATTATGATCTAATGGCTTTTTTAGCTCCCAATTTAAATGAAAGTAAGTATTAGCCGAGAGAGGAAGATATGTGGGCGAGAGAGGAGGCTTTACAGTTACAAAATCATTCATTGTCAGCAGGACCGTTAGTGCATGTGTATGTATTATGGAGTTGTTGGCTAATTACACACGGGTTGCGGGAAAACGGAGCGAAACGAAGCAATTTCACAAATTAGAACATTTCCCATGGCATACGATGCATAATCGTTAAGGACCCATTCGTTTGCCTCCGTCCTGTTATGTGTGCTCTGCTCTGCTTGTTGTTTGTGTGTTTCATGCTTTCTTCCACTTCCTCTTCCTCTGATTGGCGAGTTTGGCTAAAGCTCTCTCCACAATTCTTGAGCCCGTTCTCAAATTATTAATGGAACATCTTGGAGGGTCGTTTCCCCTGCTCAATGTCCATTTTTATCTGAACCTCACTGCCAGATATACCATAGGCCTGCCATACACAGGCACCCAATAACCTTTCCATGTACGGATGAACGTATGTATGTATGAGTTGGGATCTGTTGCTCTCTTCCGAGTCGAAATACCGGATCTTTGTTCAATTTCTTTCGCCCCCTGCAGCTTTATTTTGCGAAACAGACTCTCTTTTCTTGTTGAATAGAACGCATTACCTTTGGGTGAGTAACCCGCGATGAAATTGGTCTCGGCGCTTTATTGTTTGTTTTTATTTGTTCTTTCCTATTTGCTTTCACCTTCTTGGGCACAATTTTATATCTGTTCGTCTCTCTCTCTCTTCTCCATATACACATCTAATTCCTATTCTTTCCCTTCAACGCGCACAGCATCACAATCCCAATCTCTGTGCTCCTCCATCATTCACGTCCCTTCGTTCCCTTCAACGTTCATTTAATACGCGTCCTTTACAGCGGCACGATCCCAGGGTGGCGATGTCGTCGTCGTTGTGCAATACTTACGACGACAAGCTCAGAATCATTAGTTCCTCCTAAATTTGCTTAGTATGCCAAACTATTTGCGAGTCGTTGTCACCAAGACTGAGAAATCCCAACATTATAATAATAATAACTAATTGCGGAATAATAACTGTCAGGGAGGAGAGAGGAGCACCTTTGTGAAAAATGATGTGCTAAGTAAGAACCGTGTTACATAATTAGATTCATGCCCTCATCAAACATTAATGATGACGTGATGGCGAAAGCTAGTTGTTCGTGCCCCGAGCAGCAAATTCTCTAAAATATTATGCACGTAGAAAGCTGTATAGTCTTCACGCTTTCTCTCTCTGCTCATAGGTCATATTTAGCACGGCCAGGTTTCTCTCTGCCTCTTGGTTTAACAAGAGCCATCAGGCTGGTGGTGGAACCTCCCCGTTGTAGCAGACACCCAAATCATGTAAATGCAGGATCGAGGATGAGTTGTTGCAGACGTGTGCAATTAAAATGTTGTATTTTCACTCCCTCCTCCAACTCGCAACTACACCATCATCATCATTTGCTCAACATTTGTCGGCTATAACTTTCATCCTTGAAGCAATGTTATTATGATGTTTGATTACTTTGCATTATTTCATTTCCGTCGTGGTAAATGCCGCTATAAAGTTTTCGAACGAGCTCTGCTTGCTTTCAACTTTCTTGCCAACATGAATATATTACGGATGAGATGGAGAAGAAGGGTCTTCTTCTTCTCGTCAGTCATAATAATAATGCATAATAATACGTACGTGCATACCCGAGTGGTATTAGTGAGAAATGAGCTCTCTCTCCTCCTAAGCTACCTACCTACCTCTTGAATAATATTTTACAATCTGTCCCACCTTGCCCCACTCCAACTTGTATTGAGTGAAAGTCGTGTGAATGTTTGAGACAGGAGATTGGTTTACTTACTTTCACCACTCTTTTTCTTACTTTACGAAACAATCCATCCATTCAGCAACCTTCTACTGGAATGAATATAATATAATCTCGTTTGTTTGCACAGAAGAAGTCAAGCAAAGTCCTCGTTTTGATTTCTTTGGTAATGCGATTCCTTTGGCTTTTACTGGCATGAGGAGTGTGTGTGCTTACTTACTTGCCGGAGAAATGAGATGCATGTATGTTTGTTTATGTTGTCCAAAGTAATTGTACAGTGATGTAAGGTAAAAAAAAGTCTTAAATTGAGATATATATATATAAATTTGGTAAGTAGGAATTTGTATTTCTTTGCAAAAAGCCAACTCTCATACTCAATCCCATACATTTATGTATCCATCTTCTTCTTGAGAGGAAAGCCCACTACGCACACACACACAGACAGACAGACACAACCAACGAGTTGTGTAAGTGACTCAGAAATGAAAAGAGGGAGAACTGAAGAAGAAATGAAAATAAAAAAGATTACAGACATGAGGGTTATAAAGAGAGCATGTGTGTGTGTGTTTCTATTTCTAGGGATTCCGTATCGCATTCAACCTACCATGACGAGAGCATAAAGGATGACACAGTGTTCAGCGTCCTAAAAAACATCACATACCTTTTAAAAACACAATTTCCTTTCTCAAATATTTACCCAGGTTAGTACCAATTCTCGGTATTTCAGTCAAGTCCAGTTTATTACCATTTCTTCTTCTTGAAGCTTAATGATACCGTTAAAAAAATGGGATTCTGATCCTGATCTGGTTTGGTATTCTCCTTTTCAGTTCTTGGGAACATGGACTGGTACGCCAAGAGCAGGATGACATCGAGTGCCGGCTATGCAGAATTTCACAACAGGCTCAAACTCTACGGTCAACTTTGGTCAAACTGGGTTCCTCCAGAGTCACTGTTTGACTTTGAGAAAGGTAAATAATAATGACTCTTATTTTTCGACACACTTCCAGCCCACCACCACCAAGGAGAGGAATATATACATTTGTACATATGCTCTGCTGACTGACTCGTCAAGTTTTCTCCGTCCCACATACGAAAAAGGCGTCTGGGGGTGGAGAAAGTTGTGGAGAAGGCAGCTGTGTAATGTGGGTAATGCACTATTACGCTCGTCTCCTTGGGCGTGTACCATGTGATGTGAGCCGAGTTGTCGTAAAACTAAGGAGATGTCCAAATTCAACAGATCTCAATTTCATTTTCTATCAATAACCCACCATCCTCATCCTTGTTTCCATTTCATTTCCATGCGATGAGAATGAGGAGAAGCCGTATAAAATACAATGTGAGGACATAATGCCGCTATTCACTTGCCCCTTTTTTGGTGACATGCAGGAGGCTACTACGCTATCCAGGCGAGAGACAGGAGAACCCTGCTGCTCATCTTGAACACCAGCTTGTACGAGAAACGACAATGGATCGGAGCCAATGAGGAAGACCCTGCAGGCACGGATAATAGTACAAAATTTAATATCTCGAGTTTAGAAAATAATTTCCATGGTCAAATTGGACAGGTCAATTTGCATGGCTTCACGAGAAGCTGAAGATGGCAATGGCGATGGGCAACATGGTCTTCATCATTGGGCACATCCCTCCTGGTAGAAACTATTTTTATGATGACAACTTGGGCTAAAATTATTCTAACCATGAAAACTTTTCCAGGCAAGATGGAGAGATACATGAGCAGTCGATTTGGTCACCATGCCTACCAGGACCAGTTCAACAAAAGGTAGGCATAAAAGAGTGAACAAAAGTGCAGCATAAATAGCGTAGGCAGCCGCAGAAATAGATTATATCAACCAACAAATCAACCATTGTGTATCTAATTAAGCATTCTGCTGATACACAATGAGACTTGCTTGTCATTGTTCTTCATTCCCCATCGTTGTCATCATCATCATCATCACCACCCTGCATTTGCATTCGAGTCATCACGGAGAGCTATGTATACGGCTCTTTGAAATCCGCCGTGTAATTGACATATGGGGGGACTGGCGCTGCCTAATGTAATTCATTAACGAGGTGGAAAGTGCTTTTTTTAGTAGTACGGAACACAGCCATGTCGCCAGCAGAGAGTTGATTGATTGATTGTTGCAAAAAAGTTGACGGCATCTTTTAATCGGAGGGTTAATAGCAGCCGCACTTTTCAACTCCTCATGCTATGCCCTTTTTTGTAGTGGTTGGTAGACACTTTGCGTGTTTCGTTTCATTTCCCTGGCATTTTTCCCTTCTCGTCGTCGGAAAAACTCACCCACACAGAAACACACCTCCTCCTCCTCCGCAAATTCTGTCGTTCTCGCCGTCCAGCATTATGCACGATAAGAGGAGCAACAGTACTTTCACAACTGTCAGATTATACCCATTATGTGAGGCCAAGCAGGGTGTGAAACCGGGAGGAAAATCCTGAATGGCAACTACCTGACCGCCATCACCGATGAACAAGTCCAAGATTAACGTTGTAAAGTGACGTTGTCCAACATACTTAATTTGGAATGCGAGAGTAGCCCGGCTAAATGGGTCCTTATCAAGGGCGACGGAGCTCCTTCTGCTGCTGCGGTTGTTGGTCTTGCGGCTTTCGGGGCATTAATTCTTCATGGCATTTCTTCTTGATGAGAGACGAGTTGCTTCTTCTTCTACTTCCACTCACCGTAAAAGCACGGGGTCGAATAGATAGTCGTTCCGTGTGTGTTATATACTCAGCCATATACACGGAGTAGGAATGGACGGACGGCTTTTGTATAGTGCATGCATAGCGAGTGTTTTGTTAGTGGGGGGTTTCATTCCATCTTCTTCTGTGGCCTTCGTCAAATATGTAACTCTCATTATAGCTCATGAGAAGAAGGCCGACAAGGTAAATACCTAATAATGCGGCCATACAGAAGGAATAAGGTCTCGTGACTGGTGTTAAGCAGTCTCAAGGAGCAGAGCGTGCAGGTCGACTCGTCGTTGTCGTCGTCATGCTTATCACAACACTGATTAAGGAGTTGCAATCGTGAGGAGAAGAAGAAGAAGAGTTACATAAGTTGGTAATGGTAGTGGATGCCATGCAACTAACTTTTCTTATTGTGTGACCATCTAAAATACTATTACGGCGACGAGGTTGTTGGCTGGTTGGTTGGTTGGAGTTTGATGATCGGAATAAGGGAATCCTTGCCTCTCTCTGAACTTGTTCGTATCTATGTATGCAGTACGTACATACGTACAGACGTTCGTTCGTATGTAGTTTCTGCGAGGAGAAAGTTGGTTCACATTTGCACGTTGCATTGCACCGCTTCGTTGCCCCTGGATCAGTTATAATCCCATCACGGCGTCACATTCCAGGTAAAAGGAAGGATGACTCCAAAATTTCTGCGTCTTCTTCTCTCTCTCAGCCATTATTACATAGTAGCAGAAGCAGCAGTAGTAACGGTAGTGCCATCATGGACACCCCAACGGCGACCATTTCTTCATTTGCCATACACAAATGGACACGAGTTCAACTTCACTTTAAATGCAAATAGCTCTTAATTACTTATTTCATTTGGACACAAGGGCTACCTCCTCTAATAGCCAATTAAATCTTCAAATTCAGAACCGTAATGAAACCATGTCTCTTTCTCCTTGTCTCCCAATTCGCCCGGGTTAGTAGCTCTCTCCTCTTGTTTATTACGCAATTGACGTTGAAATTGTTGATGCGGATCATTTGGTGACATGTTCATGTATCCATAATGTTATATTGCCGGGTGCTGGATGGATACTAAAATTCCGACCACCGTACATTTTCCCTAATTTCTCCGTGCAGAGGCAAACCATCGCCTCCCGCTTTCACTAATGCACACACAGGACAAACCCAATTTGTCACTGCGGGAGGGGAGAAAATTCCTCTGGCTGCTGCTGTTCAACTCAAGTCGAATTTACTCCAATAATGACAGCTTTTATTGGAAACTGTACAATTCATTGGAAAATGACATTTCTGCACACGGTGGGAACCCATTCACAGCCAGTGGTACATCTACATACGTACGTATGTACGGTTAGTTAGTTGCACAACGTTTATGATATAATATCTAGGCACTCGCTGCTTCTCATGTACGGGGAAAACAACGTAAGCTCCGCTTGAAATAAAATATTTGCAGCCTTGTATTTAGCCAGTCAGCATAATACCTATTCTTCGTAAATAATGAGAAATGTTTGCAAGTTCATCAACATTAACTGGGCAATAAGGAGAAGAAGGAGAAGAAAATGCATTACATTTATAATTTATGATTAATGATTTTTTCCAGATACTTGAGACTGGTGAGAGATTACCACAGGTAAATGCGCACAAAAACAGTAGTTATTTATAGTATTTTTAGATTTGTAGAGTGTCCACCAATATGAGGAATAAGTGAGAGTGAGATATACCTCATGTTTAAAAAATTCAGTTTATTTCTAACCTTTGCATATAAGTTTATCTCTTTAGACTGAAGATTTTTTACTATCAAGAGTGACATACTAGTTAAATTGACAGAAAAAAAATCAGCACAAAATCTGCAATGCATTATAGATCACTTATGTCAACCTTAATCTTAATACGCAGAAATACTTACATTACTTTTATCAAATTTTACAGCATAATCGCTGGACAATTCTTTGGCCACTTCCATTCCGACTCGTTTCGAGTCTTTTATGAAAAAATGGGTAAGTATTTATCCACGTAAATCCGCCTACACGCTTCCTTTCGCCGATTAAGAACTTTACGAAGATCAGAAGGACCGACAGTTTGGCAAAGCAGATGATGCCTGATTGATGTTGTAACTTTATGATTTCTTCCCCATACACACACAACCCACTACAATATAGCCTGTCCCCGTACGAACGGAGGTCCATTTGATTCAAAGGGGAACTCGAGCAAAGTCAAAGCAGGAGTTTGTTAAAAGAGAACACTTTCCTATACGCCTAGTGTGCAGGGAATGGTCAAAAGAAACTGTTTAATGAAACTGGGAGGACAGATTCTTTACGACGCGAATCGATTTTTTTGAAGGAGGTTTCTAGATTTTTTTTTCAGACGAAAAATAACGAACGAGCAGAAGCCATACGTAAATGCGTGAGCGGGTGGATATGAGGAGAGATGTTTAGTCCTGGATGAGGGTCATGGGTCGAAGTTAATGGTGTATGAAACGGCAAATGAAATTATTATTGTAGATTCTCTAACACATATTTCGCAACTATCCACCCACCCACCGACGATACTGGGAGATTGCAAGTCGTATATACTTTAGTGACAGATTGCCCAATGTCAGAATTATTATTACCGAATGAAATGGGGTAGGATATGCTTGGCGCTACTAATCCGACATATTTCTCCATGTACATTTAGTTGAAAAATTGAGTTCCGATTCATTTCATCTGCGGCAATCAATTGTACAGGTTTATGGGGGATATATAATAGGCTATGAATGCATCATTGTGTGCGAGATGCTCTTTGCCAGCCAGGCCTCCTAAACTAAAACCCTAAAAACTCGAGCACGACTTGGACAGATGAACCCCTGCTCAATCTTCCCATTTTTTATTTGATTACACCAATAGAGTCCTACGTACCTAGTAGTGGTGGTAGTCATCTTGGTATTTTTTTACTTGGCAGACAAAACCAAGGGAAAATTCTTGGAGAGAAATCCTATCTCGTACCTTTTTCTGGCTCCTGCTGTTTCCCCGAGAAAATCGACTCTGGGGGATGAAATGTAAGTAAAATATCCACCAAGGATGGAAATGCAGACGGACTCGCTTGCATACATGCTTTCCGTTTGCATCTTCATTTCTAAGAAAAATGCTTCTTATCATCATCACGATCATGTATATAAATATATACACACACATCCATACACCTCCTCCTCCCTGGCCAAGTTTTGTTTCCACTGGAGGACGAGGAGGAGGAGGAAGGATGTGTGGCGTACTTACTTTCCTGCCTGCAGTCGTGGTGAAGATGTTTTTATTGGGAAAAAGTGTTAGAAAGCTTTAGAGGCGAAGACGGAGAGAGAGAAATCGAAAAAAAGCGAGGAAAAAAAAGTAGGATGAATACCATGTAAAGATTTTCACTCTCATGTATTTCTTCACAGCGGACCAAACAACCCCGGTCTGCGACTCTATCAATATAACACCTCATCGGGACAAATTTACGACTACACGCAGTATTATCTTAATCTCACAGAGGCGAATGAAATGAGTAAGAGATAAATTTTGCAATTATTTCATTATGAGATAAATAACCCTCCTTCCAACAAAAAGAGTATCAAGTCAGTCATATAATGATTTTAATGCATATACTTAATTGCATCTGATTAACTATACGAAGTACGTAAATAAGTTAGCATCACATCAACCGTGTTGCACCACACGTTGAGAAACCCCCCTTTCACTTTGATGGAAGGATGGTAAAGTTTAGCCGGATTGGACTAACGACTAATAATTGTAACCTTATAATAAACAGACAGAGCGGAATGGAAAATCCTGTACAACTTCACAAACTATTACCGCCTCCAGAATGTTTCCGCAGCTTCCCTAAGTGACCTCGCCTTCTCATTCCTCAAGGACAGTGGGAGTGAGAATTTCAACAAGTAATTTATGTCTTTCTCTTGCTTTCTCTCCCGTATGTTCCCCCTCCTCGTACGTACATTTGTACCTACGCATAAGTAGGTCTGACTAGTTGGAAGTGCTTACCGATGTATGTTACTAACGGGGCCTCTTCCCACTCTCACTTTTGCCCAGGTATTACTTTGCCAACTCTGTGGGCTATGAAGACCCCAGCAAATGTCTTAACTTGTGTCGAAGAACCCATTTTTGCGTCATAACCAACGTTGACTACCAGGACTATGAGAGGTGCATTCAGACCGTGTTTGGATCCATTGGATCCGCAAACTTTCTCATCGTGAATATCAATACGACATTATTCTTCCTTCTTTTTGTTCTTGTCATCAACCTCGTCGGATCGTCGGGACAGCTGTATTAAACTCGTACCCACCCAAAAATTGGTGGGTTTATCCCTCCCCCCGTAACTACATGCATACATACATACTGACACTATCTCTAGATATGATGTCATGTCATGGATGAAATAATGCCCTCCATTATGAACCTCGTTGTATTAATTATCGCCGTACTTACATATACGCTACTACTTCAAGTCTTACAGCCCATTGTTCCAGATGACAAAATACTTCTCTTGATTTCTTCCACCTCTACCTCAGAATGAATTTCCCTCCCCCACCCACCAAATTTCTTACCAACTACGTAACTATCTAATAATTGAGAAAGGACGATGATGATTGCGGTGTGCGAGTGTGTGTGTTCTTCTTCAGACGGTGGATGACGAACCCTAATTTACATATTGGTGACAAGAAACAAATCCGTACCAGAAAAGACAGTTTCTCAAATAGCCGTTATACTTCATACATTATTTAAAAAACCCAAGTACTCAAGTGATATAATTGTTGTTGTTGTTGAATAATTGTGTAAGAGGAGCAATTTTCACGAGAAAAGCTGACCCAGGGCTTTCGTTTCCAGGATATCTAATTATTGTAATCAACCGTTAGGATGTACTATTTATGTAACAAGTTTGGACAGTCAGTGGGAGTTATTTACCAGCAAACAAACAACAACTGTAATCTTATTACTTTCTCTCTCTCTCATTCCCTTGTCTCCGTTATTACCTATCACAGTCGATTTAATCTGGCATCATTTCCTGACTTGCATTGATTCCTGCTTGCTTGGAATTTATCATCCTCTATACGATTACAACAAAAAACTTGTTCATGTCGTTAATTTAATATAGATCTTGGTCTCCGTTTCTCTTCTCTTTCCTGCGATACGACCAGAGGCAGAGAGTCGATTAGTCTTTATTACGCTTATATACGTCTCTACCTACCTATATTTACTATCCACCACTCTATATGTACTTATGTATGTACTGACCATGCAATTTATTTATTTATGTGCTACTTTGACGACACCACGCTTCCTTGTCACTTGTCAACTCTGCGCCCACTTAATATTTTTGATTGAGAGACAATGGGTGAGTGTGTGTACTATTAATGTGCATCGGTATAGACAAATGAAAGAAAGCAACGATTCTAGAGTCAAAGTCCCCCCACTTTCACTTACTTACCAAGTATAATAAAAGGAATGAGAATACGTTTCGATTGGGCGAACGATTTACGGTGAAAGAAACCTGCAGTGGAAGTGGAACTTGTGGTAATATTGGAAATGAGACAATTTTCTCTAAAAAAAAATATAATAAGCTCCATTCATCCACTTTTTTTCTCTCCTTCCCTCCTCCTCGGTCACTACTAAATAAATATAATACTGCTACGGCTACTAATATGTCGTGTAAGTAAATGAATAAATATACTCTTTGTGCAACAGGAAAAAAGTGTTTGGGACGGAATGCCATATAATGATATACCTAACGTAATAATAATAATACTAAGGATGCATGTGTGGACTCGTACATGTATTTCTATGCAGTCTCGTTGCATACTAAATTTAAGCTACTTCTACTTTTATCGCCCATAGTATTAAACATTTCAGATGCTTATCTTTGTGATCCACACGTTTTGTGTAAAAATGGAAAAGAAATGAAATAAACAGAGAGGGCTGTTTATGCCTCATGATTTACACTCTGGTCCTTTATGTCCAATAAACTGTACTGCTTTCTTTTCAACGAGCCTTTCTTCCAATAACAGCCAAGAAACCCATTTGATGGACCCCTGCCATGAGGAGGCTGAGGATTCCATTGTAATAATATGGGATACACCGTCAACCCTGTGTGAGTATGCCTGACATCATTCCGTTAGCTGTACAATTGGAGAAAATTTTTGAAAAGAGAGATTGTTACGAATCCAATCAATTTCATCATACCGCAGAAATCTCTCCTGCCAGCACAAAAAACTTTCACTCCTGCTTTATTAAACCGTGCTCATTAGTTGAAGTTAAACTGCCAGGAGCACGTGCAAAAAAGTCAAAGAAATAAAAACTCAAGCATCGGCACAATAATAGAGAGGAGATCGTTAAAGAAAATTTTAAAAATTGTCTTCATTTTTTGACAACGACGATAAAGACAAAGCAAAATGGCAAAATGGTGAAAGCAACATCTACATCGCACATTTCGCATGAGTGGTGGCAGTTATTGCGGTGTTATAAAACATTGTTATTGAGATTTTAGGAAGATTTTACTCAAAAGTTGAATGTCAGGGAAAGGCAGTCGGTGAAAGGTAAGTGTGTCTACTGCTGCTGCCACTCGGAGTACGTGTGTATGTCTGGGTTTGATGGCTCGTATTCATTCAGTAGGTCGAAATAAGTATATATTTACCAATAAAACTGCTACATACATACATACATACGGGCTCAGATATGTATGTATGCCAGGAATTGAAAAGAGCCACCTCGTTTCTTGTTTGGCTTAGAAAACCACTAATTACTACTTTCGGTAGGCAACAGGAACATTTTATTATTCCCGACCCTCCATTAATTCACATCTTTTGAGTATACTACTCGACATGCGATCATTTAATAATTCACCAAATATAGTCTCAAGTACAACCTCGGCAACACTAATGACAATCACCACGAACGAAAGGCTCGAAAGGTCTGCTGCCAGCATAACAAATTTAATTGCAACAAGAACAAAGAGTTTCCTGTCCCATGAATTATCAACGCCATTTAAAGAACATTGCACTACTGCATTCAATAAAACACTTGCTGCTAATTCTACAAATTTCAATGTGTTGAATATTTACCAAATTTTCATAACTCACCTCGGCCTCGGAGAATCCCACTTCCTTCGATACACACATAGCCAGCAGCTAGCCAGCCCCTATTAATTTCTTTGATGGGAAGTTCACACTTTTTACCCCGAATTAGCATAACTATGTATGTACATGTTCCCTGCTAATCTCGATTATTATGCGCTAATAGTTCCGAAAGTCGTACTGGTGCAAAATGGCAGTTTCCAGAAGAAATGTATCACACCAACAGCAAAGTACGTATTTATGTAGGTACATACGGATAATCAAGTATGCAAATAAAGTCAATCAATCAATTGTACACATGTAAATTGCAACACTTATTTATTGTTCTACTACTGCATAATATTCATTTGTTTGTCGTGCATATACATTTTATTTCTCACTGAACAAGAACAACTAGACTAAAATATTGCTACAATTATTTCTAAACTACAACAATCAGTTCGACATCAAAAATAAAGCGCAGCCTTATGTGAGTGATCGCATGTATATAATAACAACTATGTAATGTGTATAGTAGGTAGTATTGGGATCAACGAAATGAGGTAGTAAATTACAGTTTTAAAAGTGCTCCTTGGAAGCAGCAACGAACGAGATCATTTGATGACAACATAAAATTTTTTAGCTGTAAATTACAACCAAGAATTCAAGCCTCTGTTTCACCTCAGAGAAGAACATAAAACAATCAAAAACAAAATAATGAAACGTTATTATTAAAATTTAGTAGTGTAGTGTAACAGCTTAAATCACAAGTCTCTTTTACTCCCCCCTCCGTCCTTCATTTTTTTGCGTAAGTGCACAGAAAATACTTTGGTTTTTGATTCTTCGAAAAGGTACTGCGAAAGTTGGGATGGTGTTTGGAACAAAAGAAAAATTACAAAAAATCTCCCCGAAAATTCAGAATATAAATTTATACTGTAAGCTTTCAAGGGCATCTTTTGATTTTGTAAAAGTTTGTAAACTAGTTTTACAAAATTTACTAATTTCCAAGGTTATAAAGTTGGCGTGAACACCCCCATTCTATTAAAATTCTCCGATTTAACGTTATCCTTGTTTTTTTGTAGCTCATTACGACAGGTGAGACGAAAAATAAATCGTGTGATTTGTATAATTGGTCAAAACGATTAAACGATTAAAATATTTCGGAAGTATTTAGTTTTTTTCTTCAATGGGACCGGTTCTAATTAATAGTATTCATATCTGGAATGACGAAATATTTTATATTTTTATCAACAACCTACAATGTCCAGGATGATGGGCATTTCAAGATATGCAAAACATTCATTACCATTATTATTAACAGTAACCATTACATCACATTGAACTTGTGTATTACAATTAAGTCACAAAGTTGGATTTTAAAAATCAACTAACGACGTATCAGACTTGCGTTTTCTCCTCTTGTATGTTCCCGGAAGGGAAGTGCTTTCCTCACTGGCCATGTCTCAGAATTGTGTATGAATTGAACCTACAGCAGGAGGAGGGGCGGAACAGGAACAAGAAGAGAAAATGTTACAATGAGACGTTCTTGTCACACAATGATGACGACAATATGACATGATGTCAGGATGACTAAAATGTCTTAAAATAAAAACTTACTCTTCTCGGTCGGTGATCCTAAGGTGAGGGAAGAAAGCGAGGAGGACAGGTTGACAGCAGAGGAGACGGAGAGCATGGACGGGTATTGTTCCAGGTCTCCGTCCTCCGAGGGTAAACATGTCTCAACCATGGCTTCCAGGCAATTTACAAACAATTCGGCACTCTCCGCAGTACAATTGGACTACAAAATAAATATAAATATTTTATACACGTGGCATTGGAATGGAGACCCCGCATGTGTACATATGTACAATGTGCATATGTATGTATGTGGGTGGATGGAATGAAACACATCAGTGCCAATAATAAATACGAAACCCACCTTGGTGAAAGGCCCCGCAAATCGCCACAAACCACCAAACCCAACGGATTGTAGATAATGAGGTTGTTGTTGAGAACCATCCTCCAACGTGATCATATTTTGGATTATATTTTGAACAGCACTCAGAATTACTTGATCATGACACAAAGAGAGAACGTTTGTGATTTTGGCATCGAGCAATGTATGTCTGAAGACAGAAACCAGAAAGAACAATGAATCATAGAATTTGCCTCTTGTGATCATTACGGTGCAGGAAGTACGACGAAACGACGAAAAGAAGAAAAAAATGCACTTACATGACAGGAAATACTTTGGGAAACACGACGGAAGCTTCGGATAAGTAGTCGTAAAGGACTCTCATCTCAGCCTCGTCGGTGGTATACTTGACAAGAGTGGCGAGAACGGTGAGGAGCAAGGCTTGCGTCTGGATGTCGACGACCACTTCTGGGTCAAGTAATACGTTGTTCTCGTTGGAAACCGAGGTCCTTTTGCAGTCTCCTTCCTAAAATGCATTCAAGTCACATTGAGCATTTGATTTGGTTAAGCAGGATAAAATCGGTGTCGTCAAAGTATTATTTAGGTAGGTAGGTTGAATATGAAGGGCATATGTGATATCAAAATAGGTTTAGGTAGTGGCATATTGGCTCCCATAATTGCGAAAAAAAACATAAACAAAATGCTGCCAGGTAAAGAGATCAAACGGCGTACCTTTCAGTAGTAGTACGTACGTATTAATGGTGGTTCAAGACAAATATTAAAAGTATTGTGTTGTGTAATACACACCCCAAACTATTCACATATATATACATAGCAGCAGACAACATGAAAGACGAGACCCATCAATCAGCAGCAGATACATACATATATTTAGTTGCATTACTTTAGGGTATGGGAAGAAGCAGCAGTATGTATTTAGTATGCATTGTTGCCAAAAATCATCATTTCGTCCACAAGAACAGAATTATTTCAGGCTTATCAAAAGGATAAAAAACGGATAATTAATGATGCCATCATATACCTTAGATTACTCTAGACATTAATGAGACATATATTTATAAGCCAACTCATCAAGACTCTTACACTAATTATTGTTACGAAATGCTAAGGTAATAACATGGTAGGAAATGAAAGATGAAAAAATTAGCAAAAGGGGGGCATTCTTAATAACAGCCAAGAAACCTGAGATGTACCAGAATAAGTTGAAGGGAAGACGGAGGAATTAGCTTGTATATGGAGATTAGTAGTGAAAGTAGCGATAATAATGGGGATAAAATGTGAAAGAAGACAACAGTAACGAGAGGGAGAGAGAGAAAGAGAGTTGTGTACATAGTGGGGAACGGAGGATATTATGCAACTGCGTTCTGTGTATGATTGCAGTAGCAGAGCGATTATACGAAGTATGAGAATAATAATAAATCTTTGTAAGAAAGCACACAGAGAAAGAGAGATGAAATGAAATGAAGGGTGAGATGTGAAACTTCATCTCACTTTGAGTTCATTGCGGACGGGCATGGATGCCGATCTTGAGGACCTGAAGTCTCCCTTCAAACTCTTCACTTGGAGGAGATCACTCACATCACTGAAGGATTGAATAAGGACAGGAGTCCCCTTCCTGCCACCTCCTCTTCCTCCTGAACACTGCTACATGGGTATCACACAACAAGAAGCACACGTACAAAAAACACACTCATCGTCAATCTTTGCAGGACCATGGTCACGGTCGGTTTTTGTTAAAGACGAGGGAAAAAAATAAGTGTCTATATTTGACAACCAGTGTTATGAGGGATATTGTATACAAGAACAACACAAGTGACACATTTTAACGCATTGTCTGGGAAGAAAAGTACCGACAAACACAATAAGATGATATGAATCCCAACAGGTTTTAGACATGGATAGTTTTAACAACAAATACTTTCAACCTCTAACAATCTACAAAACACTCCATGCTGCATTATTATGAATATTATGAGCTTAATAATAACACGGGTCTCATAATCCCATTATTATAGCGGTAAAACATTCACAACAACATAATGGGACTTTTTATTGCGGTACTTACTTGTTGAGAGGGCGTTTGTTTACTTTGTTGCCTTTGGGCTTGCACGAGAGCATTCTGGTCCAACAAATCCCACGATTTTTGTCGCCTATTTGTTGGGGACTTGGGGCTCCAGTTCATGTTTTCATTGGAAGAGGCCAAATGTCGGGATAGGTGGTGGCGAACGTGACATCGGCTTCTTACCTCTTCAGACACGGACACGAGAGCTAGCAGAGAATAGATTTTTGTTAATTATTACTTTGTATTACACAAATACACGAATTTATACTATACTTCAACTAAATTTTAGTTAATTAAACAAAATTACTTACCAGCCAAGTAAGCCACACTTTCACTACTGACTTCAAACTTGTCCCTTTTCATTGGTTTTGCCACAATTCCCAAAAGCATGGTCAGTATTCGAGTTGTTCGAGACACTGTAGTTGGAGTTGGGTGTCGAAATCCTTTCAGGAGGTGTCCCACCAATGCGAAATGAAAGTTGGCTGAAATGTTTGAAATGAAAATTGGTAAATATTTCACATAAAGACGGATATGGTACAAAACCTAAGTTATTTAGGAACAATTTACTTTTAAATGACAGTCCGACGGCATGATCCAACTGTTTAAAATGCCATTCTAAAGGTTCTCGTGTTGACATCATAATATGTTCCAAGCTTTTGTTGTCAAACATCCCTTGCGAATCTAGAGTGTGCAAGTTCTGTTCCAGCAGAGCCAATCCCGATGCATACAGGGAGACTTCGTCTAATTGAAGAACAGAGATTGCTACCCAGAACATCATTCGATGGATGGCACTTTCCTAAAGGTTGCAAAATTTAAAATTCGTAATTTTCAGTTGTAATTTGTCAAATTATCTCTTAAAAATAAATAAACTGCACACTTACAGGTCTTAACAAAGGAAGTAATCGAGTTAAACACATCACAATTGCTTCGATTAAAGTGACATCACTAAAACTTTCCAAGGCCTTGACCAGAATTCGGAGAAGTTGTTTAATATCTTGATCTTGAATTGCTTTGCTGATGCAACCAAAGACAATGAGTGCCCTAGGCTGCAAGGCAGGATTGTACCGAAACGCAAAATTCTTTGATAACTGAGTCCAAATCTGTAGCCAGTCACATTCCGGAATGTCCTTCATACAAGCCTGCACAAAGAAATAGAATACATAGGAATTGTTTTCTTGTTATCGAGTATTTTAGCTATTGAGACCCGAGAATATTTATGGGATTCATCATACCTCAACAATTTCAAGCAACGCGTCGCAAATGACCTCAAGCGATGTTAAAGACAGACGTTCGCGGTCCATGGGTGAGTAATGACCCAACCAACGATCTCCAGCATGACGGTAAGAAGATCGGAAGGCCGTAACAGCGGCTGACTTGACTTTACTAATTCCAAACAACAGATAGAACTTGGGCAGTGAAAATTCATCCAAGCTGAGTCGGAGAACTCGGTGGGTTTCCTCTATATATACGTTCATTCATATGATTATTAATTATATCCTCTTTAATATTATTTTTTAATTAAATATTTCTGAAAGCGTCAAACCTAAAAACTGAGGTTGGGTGCAAGTGCACAATGAGTGAATTATGTTTATCACAAGTCCATGGGTTGATGCCCTCATCGAGACCGAGCCAGTGCAGACCAAGAAACAGACAATATGCACCAAGTATGGCAAATGGTGAGCCACGTCGAGGCAATTGTTGAAGGATAACATAAGCAAGTATCGCGCAAGAATCGCAATATCGTCCCACATCAAATGTTGTTCCAACGTTGCAACTGGTGATGTACAAGTCTTCTCCAAAACACGACACAGCCGACCAATCACCTAAACCAAACAGAATTTGTTAAATATTTTTAGCAATACTCTTAATAATTTGGAAACAATTAGACACACTGTAAAGATATATATGCATATGTAGCTACAGTAGAAATGATCATACTTTTCGAGCAACCAACTGAACATTCGCTGACGCCAGAGCCACAGCAGTATCCGCCATGATTTCAGCCTGTGGAGAACCCAATCCTCCAGTCACACTTCTTTTAATGAAGCTATCCAACACCATGTCAATCAAGTCAGGAACTTGGCCCAAGGAGCCCCAAATTTTTGCTTGAATTGAGGGGTACATTTCAACCTCTTCAATGGTCAGAGTTATCAGCTTATCCAGAATCATGGCCACCTTTTGACGTTTGGTGTCGTCGGAATGCTTACAAAATTTAACCTGCATTAAACAAAATGAAATTTACCAAATTTTCAGCTTACCGTTCGTTCCACAAATTTCGAATGTAAGTTTTACTAACCAAATTTGGAAGCCATGGTGTTATGTATTCCAAGCATAAATGTTTCAACTCAATTGAAGATGCGCTGAATCTATTTTCCAATATAACAAAATTAGTTTGTGCTTTGGCTTCAATGTCCACCCTACATTCAAAAGTAGTTAAGCTCATTTGTTTATTTACCCATGAATACACTCTTCTAAAAATTCCAAAGTTAGTCTAGGCTCATTTTGAGCCAGTTTCTCGGACACACTCTTGATGAATAAAGTGTTATTGGAAGGAATGCAAAGTCCCCAGGTCTCTAGTAGTTGTCCCTAAAAATTAGCAAACCAATTGAAAAATGCACCAGCTAATAATATGATTATGAATTAATTACTATACAAATTCAATGATTTCACATTAGCCCTTACTTCAATTTTTAAATCGAAAGTTGCAGTCAAAGCACAAAGTTGATTGTAAGCTGCTGTACGCAAATTTGGATCAGAAGATCCTAAATTTAACAGCGCCATGTTAAGAAGAGTTCCTGGAACATCCTTTGGTCGGATTTTTTGATGGACAGTCACAGAGTCCTAAAATTTAGCGTGATTTAAATTAAATTTAAATCTCGTTTTTAATGACATACATATTATATAGTAATCTCTACACAAAGTTCGTACCGGTTGTGAGAGCTCCCAGCGGTTACGAATATGTATGACAGCTTGAACAATTGAGTCACAGTCATTGTGAATAAAAGAAAGGGGGCCAGATTCATTTGCAATTGTTAGCGTGAACTGATTGTCATCAACTAGAGAAGGAGGAAAAATAAAATATTTATATTTTTACTTTCTATTTTCTATAAGTTTAAGGAAATCGTATCAACGCAGATTTTAACTAGAAATAACTATTTTTTGGCTACTCAGTATAAGATCGTTATTAAACCGTAATTTGTGACACTTACCTAAGCACACCTCTTCGATTTCGGAAGCGTAGTATACGTCATTTAACAATACGGTATGTGACAGCACCTTGGTTTTCTCAGCAGCTGTGATTTGAATCGCACTAGGACCGACTTTGATTGTTACTTTAGTGTCCTTATGGGACAATTTCAAAGCATTCTGTAAAGTTTGTAACATGTTTAGTTTTTAACAAGAGATGTGCATGTATGACGTTTGATGTGCTCGTATTTGTAAATGACAATCTTACATTAAATACTTTAAGATCCTCATCTAACGACAAAGTTGCACCAGGCAACTTTTGTTGATCAGGATCAATATAATCTGATAAGCGATTTGTGGAATCCAAAAATATCAATTTTCGATTGCCCTAAACAAAAACGAGTAAATGAATTAATGCTATAAAGTTTTTAAGTTTTGAATATTAGAAATACTCGATGTTTACCTTTACCTTTAGCGGTGGAAAAATACGGTCATGATATTTTGTATATTCTCGCACCCAGGAGTTGCAGTTGTAAATGTAAGCTGCATGAAGATTGTCATATGCGACGTCAGGAAGTACGACGAACCACTTTTGAAGGAATTCAGTGCGGAATCGGTTATCGGAACAGGTATGTGTAAAATCTACCACCACTTCAAATGGCTTATGACAAAAGGGTTTTAGTGTCAATATCACATGATAAATTAGCAAGTCTCCGTTCGTTTCACCAATTCTGTTCAAATTCAAACAGGTCGTATATATTAAAATTATTGGACTTTATTATGAAATCAATTACACATAAGCAGGTATTGTCCTTACTTGTGTCTTCTTGCGATATAGTAAAAAATGGGATTCCCAGCTTTGGACGTGCCAGCTTGATAGAAAATGTTTAAAGATTTTATGGATTTGAATTCGTCCTTTTCGTGCATGTTGTGTTTTGCCATGATTTCTTCAAACTTGTTAGAGGTCATGTCCATTGAGCTCCATCGAGTATATGAGGAAAATAGCAAACTGTAATTGTACAAGAATTTAATGAACAACCAACGAATGAAAGAACCATGAGTATTTAAATGTAAAAAATGTCAATATGTGTTAGTAATTAAGTCTACTGGCCTATGATTGACGTACTGTGAGTCGACCGGTTTGTGTTCTGGTGGACCCAGGTAAGCCAACAAGGTTGCCATCTTGTCAAAGGGACGCCTTCCAACTGCCTTGTGGTCACGAGACGATGATAAATAGTCGCCAATTTTTTCTTGATGTGTCCATAAGAGTCGATGAAGAGCGAGGACGTTTGCATCACTTACGAACGATAAGCAATGCGGGCCGCCTGATAAAATACAATGAAATAGTTATATTTGAGCAGTAAGCACGTATAACATGTAAAGCAAAGTGTAAAATGTTACTCACTTTGTTCAACTGTTTCTGAATCTGAGGCAATCTGTACAAAGAACCGTCGTCCACCTTCAAAATTCAAAATTATAGTTATTCGTTTTTTTATTTGTTCAACTATCTATTACCAACAGTTTAAATCAATAAAATGCAATACTTAAGATAAAATCAACTGACCTTCGAAGTTAATTCTCACAAAATCATTGAAAGGCAGCATATGTTGTTCTTTGGAAAATTCCACATGGTTCGCAATATTTTGCTATGAAAGTTTAAGGAAGCAGTAGAATTGTAAATACACCGTATTATTATTTAAAATTTAATGTATACTGACAAATCTCACTTACCAATATTTTGCTAACCAACATCAATCCTCGCTTAATTTTCTGAGGTGGCTGACGGTCCACGATTCCACTTTCGCAAGGACTTACGATGGCAGGATTGATAAATCGTAAGAATATTACGGTTCCAACAGCTCCCATATTATTTTGAGGAAGTTGTGGAAACCGTTTGCTTAAGACTTGATACAAGCAGTGGCACATACTCCGTAGTTGTGGAGGAAATCTAATAATTTATCAGAAGTTAAATTATTTACCACACTTTAATTCATTTTTTTAAATTCTAACCTATCGGCCGAAGAAACAATCACATCGAAAACTTTTTGAGTCAGATTAGTCAAATTTTGGCGATTGGCTTCAATGTCGTCATTAGATTCTAGCCGGGCTGGGTCAACTTCATAGAATAAAGTTGGTTCGTTAAGCAATGGTCGGATGAGTGGTTCTAAAAGATTCTGTAGATATGAAGCTCCATAAATTTTGAAGCAGAAAGACATTATCTTGGAAGCCAATGAGTTTCCTCGGAACAAGGTTTGCATACAGTCCGATGCTTCAACTTCACGATAAAACATATTCCAGAGTAATGGCGAAAGGAGGTGTTTCGCATCAAACAAGGTAACAAGAACCCTGGCTAATTCATCCTATTAAAAAAATTCATAATAAAACCATTAATAGAAATATTTTGTTTGTTAAAGCCAACTATATGCATCGCATAATATTTCAAATTAAAATTACCATTTGATTGAAGGTGACCACGTTGGCCAGTGCCATTGCTATTGGTAGCTCCCCTAAAACATACAAGACATTCACATTTAAATAACATTGCGATCTTGATCAACGGATTTAATTTTTTAAATGTATACCCTTGTCTCCAATCATGGTGACTAGCTGGACAAGCTGCTCAAAGCGATCAGCCAAAACTGTTTCGGCAAGTGTATCAAATTCGGTCCCTTGTTGCAAAATTTTCGTGAGAACCTAGGACACAATTAAATCATAGAAAGTGTTATATGGGATGTTTAAGTTAAATATCTCACCTCCATAAAGGCAGCCCGAGTTTGCAGATCTGGATGATATCCCAAAGATATCGAGTGCATAAGTCCAGAATCAATATTGGCACTCAGAAGGTTAGACATGGCTTGAATGGTGGCATTTCTTAAAGCAGTTAATTTGTTGGCATGAGCCGCTTTGGGACCTTTTTGCTCTAATTCTTGCGCTTCAGTGCACTCGTTGAGTAAATTTTTGAACAGGGTAAAATACCTGATGAGTAAGAAAACGACAAATTTGTTAAACATACACCGATAACTCAAATAAAAATGGCACATGTTTAATCCCAAAAACTATTTACTTTAAAAACAATTGCGATTTTGCCTCCATCAAGTCCCCTCTGTCCGATTCCTCTGGCTGCAAAGGCAATCCTCTAAGCAGTGCAGCGACAGCTTCCATACACGCCTAAATTAAAGGTAGAACAATTATTAGCTTTAGTACAAACTAAATTAGTTTGATTTAAAACGACTTGAATGAATATGACTATATGAACCTGATCAAGATCTCGGGTTATCATTGAGACATCTCCCTGAGTTGGCTGTGATTACGAAAAAGGAAAAGTGATTACAAATTAGCTCTTTCGAGGGCTAATCTAAATGCATGGGATTAAAGTTTATTATACCATGACGCCCCATGCATTTAGATGAACCCTTTGCAGAGATAATTCAGAGCCTCCCTGTAAATTTAATAGTAGGAATATTGTCGAAAGAGAAATCTTTCAATTTTATGAAGGTATTACCGGTGCAATCTGATGAGAGGTTCCCATCACCCAGTCAGTAAGATATTCTACCAACTTGTTTCTGAATTTCATTTCTTGACGAAATGCTAAATCGTCACGTCTGGTCATCATTGCTTCAACTAATTGGCACAGCTTTGTACGAATGTGTAGGGCATGCACAGTCATGTCAATGTGTCTCACATATCTGTAATTTATAGGAAAAACATAATCAAAAAAAATTACCAAGTAAATAAAACGAACTTTCGGGTTTATGTTCTTACCGGACAATTGCTAACATCATTCCTTCAATACTAGTGGCTCCTAAATGCTCCGCTGGCTGGTCCATTTTGTTATCCAATACATTTTTCATGATAAAAATTATATGTTCTATAAATTGAGTATTGATATCGGTGACGATAACCTAAAAAATCGGGACAATTCATGTTTTAAAGAATGGAGAACAATTACATATTACATGTGAATGCTTATCTCGGCATTACCTGTCCTTGTTGGTCAAAGAATTTCTCAACTATGACTTTAATTTGGTCAAAGAGAATTGGATAGAGTGCCGGAGCCATTTCATGACCTACGAGTTCTTTTACATGCTTTTGAATCTGTGCTCCAAACTTTTCATTTGAACAAACGAGCAGTCTAAGCAATTGACTGACAAATTGCGTAACGGGACAGTACTGCATATCCTGTGACGTCAGAACACTAGATTTCCGAGAGTCTAAGGACAAACTTGATGAGGACGACATAGGAATTCTTGCAGGACTCTTCCTTTGTAGACAAACTCCACCCAAGGCACATAAAAGCCCTGTCATGTTAGCCCACTCATTTATTTGGTCCTGAAATTTTAATATTTTTTAAATTAAAAAAATAAATTTAGATACTGCATGCAAAATATCAATGCAGAATATCTGTAATATAATTAATGAACTCTATACATACCTCCAAATCATGGTCGGATGAATGATGAGATGCTCTTCGTTTTCCTCGATGATGAAATTCGCTAATACTTTGGTTTCCATCCTCTGTAGCAATTTTCCCTTTCGGGTATTGTAGGAGATGCTTTGTACACGCATCCCAATTCATGAAACTTTCTTCCCAGGCCTGAAAACGAAGCAAAATTGACTATAATAAGTAACAGTCGACAATTGAATAAATTTGACCATTTCATTTTACAGAACTCGAAATGGAAACTATAACCGAATCAAGTAGCTCATGAAGAAATTTTCGAGAGGACTTTCTCAAATTTAAAAATAATTATAATATAACAACGAAACTAAAATAAAATCATGATAACTAAACCAACCTGTAATACTCCAGTCGTGCAATGCTCAATTTTTCTAAGCAGCGTCATGATTCTCTTCTGCAGTGCAGCTCGGCCTGAAAAAGACAGATAAGTGAGGCCCACTCGGAAGAAAGCTCGCAGTGAGATAGCGGTAATTTGCGCAGTGTGAACTCTTATCCCGGTCCTTGTTTACATAGCGCTTACGACAGGAAACTCTTTTTCGAGAGAAAGTGAAAGCAAAAGATCTTATCGGGACATAAGATGAAAAGTTTTACACTTTGCGAAGGTGCAAGAGTGAACAAATTCGGATATGGGTACGAAGAAATAAAAGGACAAAACAATTAACAAATACAGCTTTTATACCAGTTGTCAAGATTGAGGAAGCTGCAGCCAGCTCCAAGTACACGTGGTAGTTGGGCAACAAACAGGAAATCGTCATTTCGTCAGATCCACATCGAATGTCTGCTTCTTCACAAAGCAACGCAAAGCAGGACATCGCTATTGGAACTGAAATCAGGTAATTAGGTTTGGCAAGTGAGGTTTTTTATTGAATGCATGGATGTGTTGATATTTATGAGCTTGGTCCTTAATACGGTCCAGCGGATGCAATATGTGTCGTAATAATTACCTGCTTCCATATCGATGCTCCACAAATAGACGAAAAACACAACCTTGAACATTAACATGAACAATAAGCGTGGACCACACGTAAGCCAGTAGTGGTGCAAAATCTTATGCTTGCTTTATGACAATTAATTAGTTAATTACCTCCAGCTTGATGTGAGCTATAATACAAGGATTCAAACAATAAATTATAAATTACTCTTATTCGAACAGAACATTTGTAAAACATATCTTACCTTGTCTACAAATTGCAATATGACTTCCAACATTTGCATAGTCTTTGTGTCGGGAAAGAAATGCGTTCCGACAAACCAATATTTCTCGTAGCCACTTGAGTATGTCAGTATAGTTCACAATCAAGTGCTGGATAAGCTTCTGAGATATGGAGAATAGAACCTAAGGAGTTAAGGGTACAAACATACGTTTATTATTCCATAATTAACGGCATACGAAGCATGTTACATTATTTATCTTGTGATTACCTGAGATGAGACGTCCCAAAAAGTGTTTATGGGGGCTTCTGTAAGGGGTAATAATAATCACAGTGAGATGTTAATCTAACCAGAAATTTCAGCTTCATATTTACCTGGGTTCCACATTTCAATTTTTTCTGGACGATGCAACACCAACAAGGCTTCCATCGCTTCTTGAGCTACATCCGGCATTGATGTTTGATGAACGAGTGATACAAGGCCGTTTATTAGCTCCAGCGTTGAACTTTGTATTTCATGACCAGCTTTTCCTTGGTTCTAAAGTAGTAAGCATGACATAAAGCATATATGAAATAAGGAATACAAAGAAAGCATTTGGACATTATAGAAATACGTACGTTTAACATCAGCATCGGATCAGCATGAATCAGTCGCACCATCCAAAACAAGAGATTTTTATAACTGGCAGGTTCTTCAGCTGACTTGTCCTTAAACTTAAGGGTGGAAACTTTTTCCTTCAATGTTAGACTCTGAAAAGATTAATCAATTCCACAAAATGAATGCAACTATTTTACACTCTGGTGTCATAGCAGATAGTACAAACTATATTTCAAGTTTATACCTGACAGATCTATCGGTTTGCAAGAAAGTACACCGAAATAAAAGTTTAATTTTAATCGCGTACAAAATCTTTGTAATTAAAACCACTCACTCACCTGGATCATTTTTAGTGGAGTATGTGTAATGTACCCCTGGGTAACTTTGTTTAGTGTTTCGGTGAACATTGCCCTCAGTTCTGACGACTTGTTGTACACTATGTCAATTTGTGGCCACCACGTTAGGCGCGGTTGAGTAATAATCCTGTTAACATAATACAACAGTTGATAAATGTCTCATAATGTAACAAACGAACAAATGTTATGAATGAACAATCAACTTACTTGTGTAGGGAACTGACTAGAACGAAATGGTAAACGGAAGGAGAATTCGGATTCAGACAAACTTTCAGTGGTTCATTGTTATGCGGATTAATTCGAAAGCAGGAAATAAAACAGTCAATCATTAACTCGACGTCTAAAGTGGCGAAATTTTGACCTCTCGAAAATGGCTTGCATGGATTGAAGAGCAATAGCTACAAAAAGAAAAATATTATTATTTTACAGCGTTCAAGATTAGCTGAAATTTAATTCTGTTCAAGTACCTTCAAATCATTAAAGACACTTTGTACTAAAAGAAATATCACATTGTTCCTGTCTAAAATGTTGATGTAGGTGGAAACCTAGAGTAAATTTGTTTATACAGAGTAAATAGGTTAGTCTTTTATTCAATTTATATAACGCAATGTACATATGTAAATGCATAAAGAGGGTCGCAAAGGGGTCATCAAGATTACCTTGCAAAGCTTTACACAAGTAACTGCTGCTGCTTCAGTCAACTGCTTTGAGGAGCTGTGCGGAAGCAAGGCCTTTTTCAAGCTATCAATAAATTGTTTCTTTTTGTTGTGTCGTGGAGAGCAGGGTGCTCCTGTGAAAACATAATATATGAATGAAATAAGGAAAATAAGGAGTTGGGGCCTCCTCCGTCTAAAAAATGCTAAAAAACTTGTACATATTTAAAATCAAGATAAACGTACCCGCATCGGCATTGACTATTTCTTCAAGAATTTTCTATACGGACAATAAAAATAGAATTACTATTGTGATATGCTAACCTCTTTGTAACCTTTGTTGTTCAGATACTATAGTAATTTATGTATATGTAAACTTTTCTTACTGGGGATAATACAAGTAGCATAATTTCCAAGGGCCACACGGCAGCTCGTCGCTTATTATTTTCAGCAAAATTGTCCAATAACTCAAACAATGATTCACAACATTTCGCAAGGTCCTCACATGGCTTTTTCTTGTGAAATACAAAAATCAAATGAATTTCTTCCTGCATCCGAAACCTGTAATGTAAAATTTGAAAAAATCAACCACCTGCAGTTCCGCAAACTCTTGAGGATCTGAAACAGATAAAGAAACTTATTAGTACACGTCATTTTCGTTTGGAATTGCATTTTTCAATTAAATTTAATGGTAAGGTAGTTCAATGCACATACATGTGTCCATCCAATTCCAAATTGCACGCTCCAGTGAGGTCATCAAAATTACGTGGGCCCCTTTTTTCAAGGACTTGAACTTCAATACAGTTTCTGTCAATTACATTAATAAATTAAATTACTTCCGAGGTATCAGTTTGATGAAACTTTTAGCAAAGAGTTTGCCACGATCAATTAAATATTACCATTTAGGAGTTTATTAAGCCGTTGTAGATCCAAACTGATATGCTGAATGAGTTCGATATCAGCATAATCTGGATTTTCCTCATTGGTCGTGCTCAGTTCTTGCAGTCGGGCAGAAACACGGTTGAACACCGCATTGAAATTGTTAACAGAAAGTGCGAATAGAACTCTGGAAGCAAGATTTCGAAGTTGAATAACCATTGGATTTTCCGCTGGGAGATCTAAATCAATGCATTGCATAAATGTTAATTTCCAAAAAAGGCATAGGCAGAAATTTTGTATATATATTTCCGAACCAATGAACTGGCAAACTTCTCGCAAAAGCAATTTAACATTCATAGCCTCGTCATATCGGGTAGTATCCTTCGGTTGGCCACTGAGACACTTTTCCAGCGTGTCTAAAACTATGAGTAGGGATTCGTAGTAATTTTTATCCAGTTCGGGTCCGTGAGGCCTTTGCGACGATAGAACCTGTACAAACTGAAATTGAATGAAGCCAATTCAAAATGAAGTCTTGGTTCCACAAACACAGAATATTTTGGGCAAACTTACTACGCTTACCGCTTCGTTCACTTTCTGTAAAATTTTGGTCAATCCCGAAATAACCAACGAGAAACGGTAATGTGAAATGTAAATGAGACAGTCCTTGTTCTGTTCCAAATTGTAGCGAGCGTGGGTCGTTTGTGGTCCAGTTCTGCATGGAAGCTGTAATTGTATTTTTTTTAAATTAGTCAATCCAGTCTCAACCCATCCAGTACATAGCTAAATTAATGAATTAATGCTACTTACTTGCTCCTCAAATCTCATAATGAGAGAGGATACCCATTCTACAGGTTTCTGGGACGCCATTTCTCTAACGTTTCGGAAGCTAGAGAAGTCGCAGAGACAAATTAACTATTCGTATTCAGATATCCAAGGACAATTCTTGGATAACGTCTCTGTCACTTCCTCTTTTCCTTCTTCTTTAGAAGGTGTCGTCATTTTTAATTGTTGCGAGAGGAAGATGTGCAATATTGATTTAGCTTGGCGTTGCGTATTATTATTTCTGTACGCCGGTATGTCCGTCCAAAAATACCGACGAACACGAAATTAGGCTTCATCAAGTTTATGTATACTAGCTTATAGCATAGCTCGTCGAATAAGAGGTGGGTGCGGTATTATTATTATTTCTCACCACAATCCAGTTCGAGATATCCAATCGAGCCCATAAAATTAAAGTCACCACAAATTCAAGAATCAAAACTCTTTCGTTCGTTTGGAACACTTTTTCTTAATTCACGCGAACAATGACCTTTATGTTCTTGAAGAGATAAGAATAAATTTTGGAGATAAAATTCAATCTCCTTAATCTCACTAATTTATTTTGCTCGTGGCACCAAACCAACATGCTCTATCTAACCGGTATGTCTTGCTTGTCTACCACCAATGTCAATATTTGCAATTTTGTAGTGCGCTCGTTACGACGACCTCCTCCACCCCCAAAAACCAGGTGTGGTCCTTATCTCTAGCTCCATCACATTATCCGACGTTCTTCTAAATTCTGGTGCATGTTCTGCTGATGATGCCGAGGTCATCCTGCTGCCACCCTAGTTTTAAGTGTGATGTCTCATTCATAAATTCATCCATATGCACTCTCACTCAATCGTCTCTCTCTGTTGTTAGTTAGTTAGTTAACTAAAGTGTGAGTGTGTATTTGTCTGACGGAGTTCACTTTATCTGCATTTCATCGCACACACTTATAGCAAGTCAGTCGGAAGAAGAGAACAATAATAAATAATTGTAGCAATACAAAACAACACTTGAATATTTAACCAACATTTCTCTGTTTATTCCACTACCACTCGAGAACCAAATAAACGCGAGAATGACCAATTACTGAATTCTATTCAATATTTATTGAATTTAAAGAGTATTTTGGTAAATTCTAAACAAAACGTCAATGTTCACTTTGATGTCTTTTTTTTTAGGGAGAAAATAAATTAAAAGTAAACACAATTATTATTCAGATTATTATTGTTTGTTGTGAAGGAAAGAGTTGATCATGTCCAGTTTTTTACTTTTCAGTCACATATTAACCAACCAAGTCAATGGATGCCCTCACTTCTCAGTCGCCAACATGCAACAATGGTTCAGAGACTTTACAGATCTCTCTTCTCATTGTTGTTGTTGTAGGTGGTGTGTGGGATGGATATTGTGGATGAATGACACTGCGGGAATAATATATATGCTGCTACTGGACAATGGATAGAAGAGTAATCATGTAATGGTATGAATGATGTCGTCGTCGAATGTTGTACTTATTATTAATACGTTTATTGATTAACTTGACTTTTTAATAGTATGATTTTACGTACGAGGGCTAATGTTAAGACTTTAAATCTGATTATTATTATTATTTAGTTTTCTCTCACTTGATCGTCTCAGTAAAAAAAGGAAGGAAGAAGAAGACGCAACGCATCTTCATGTCGAGGAGAGATGGTCGTGTACAGAAGAATGACGGGAAAGAGAGAGAGAGAGAGAGTGAAGTTGTTAGTGAATGAGTTTCAGTGGCAAGTCTAAGCGGATGATGCCCTACTAACGTCGGATTCGTGTAGCTTTGTTACATATTTTATCCATGATTTGGTTCAGTTCTTGGTCTCTCTCTCTCTCTCTATCCTGGTCTCGTCGTCTTCATCCATGGGTCGTCGTGTGGTTTACTTAGTGAGGAAGAAGGAAAAGCAGTGGGAGAGATGATTGGTAGTGGTAGTGGTGGCGGCGCAGATTGGAGTTCAGAGAAAGCAGAGGGAGACATGGGAACGGAAGTGAAAGCAAGCTGGCCAGGCAGGAGTAGTGAGTGAGTGAGTGAGTGAGTGAGTAGTAGTCGGAGGAAAGAGAACAAGTTTCTCTCAATGAATGAACCCCCTCCGCCGTCGGTCGGTGTGAGGATAGGATGGGATCGGAGGAGGGATGAGGGAGGAGGAGGTGGAGGTGGAGGAAAGATCGATAAGATGATACAACTCACATACCACCCCACTTACGGAGGAGTCATATTACTGCTGTTAACTACTACCAGTTATATCAGCAGCAGCAGTATCGCATCATCGTGATGCCATGTACACTCAAATGGTTCCTACGACGACTCTACTAGAAGAAGAAGCAGATGGGAACATCCGGTGAAAATTCAGATCCGAAAAAGGATGAGAAGAGAGGGACGCTTCGTTCACTTTCCGTTCATTTGTGTGTACATTCTCCTAAAACATGATAGTATTGATCTCCTAATTCTAGGGATGGATAGATGGATGGATGATGATGATGCGATGATGCTGATGGGATGATTGTGTGCAACATCATCCGATCCTCTTGTTATTTTACAACAACAGCACATCACCCGGCTCCATAGAGGATAGATGGACGAGAGAAGAATATGAGAGTCAATGAAAATGAGAAGAAATATGATTGGAAAATTTACATAACAAATGCATTTCAATGTGGGTTTGCAATTTGGGAATAATCCTCGGCCTCCTCTTTTGTCTGGGTTTATAATGCTACGTAAATTCGCTTAGGGAGTTAGGGAGAGGGAATTGGATCATGGACAAAGAAAGCGTCAACATGATTCCACATTTCGCAACCTTTGTTCGATCAGAGATAGAGAGATCAAGAAATGGAAGTCGAGATTACGGCTGCTCGTGTCAGAGCAGCAACAGAACTAGGGTGTAGGGCTATCACGTACAACTGTGTAGGGCACAGAGTGGATATTCTGCAGATCTGTATAGAATATATGAACAATAAGAGGCAGGGCAGACTAGAGGGTTGACAGAGACAGAGTGAAAGCTGGGATTGATGATGAGACTGTGTGGGTTGGTGTTGTTTGCAATAGTCGATAGTTATTTGCAATTTTCCTGAGAGACTAGGCACATTTTGCAAACTTCACGTGGACTCTATTCAAGACACGAGCTCAAGTATGACTAATCTTAGATTCTTGAGAAGAAGGGGTTGGAGTTCATAATTCTTCAAGGTCATATTCTGCTTGAATATGTAAGAAGACGAGTAGAAGAACTCAAGTAGAATGGCAACGGGTACAAAAGTCGAAATATTATTTCTCCATTTCTCTCTACCTACTACCTACCTACCTTCCTTCCCAAACCTTCAAGAAATGGCAAAATTGAGACAATTAACCTAACTTTCCTTTAACTTTTCTTATACCAACGCATCTCATGGTGTTTAATTTAATACTGAAACTGAACTCGAAATTTCATTCGAAAAATGTGTAGCAAAACTAGTTAGTTTTGGCTTTATTAAATATCGTCAAAATATGTTTTGTTGTATTAAAATCGTGTTTGGCGTATTAACGTCAAAGGTTAAAACGTAACTCTAGGTTTCTCGGAATCACATGGCAAGATCCATATACTTGTGGTGTAAACATAATAATAATACAATCATGATATGCTGCTGAGTTTTGTAATTGTAGTGGTAGTGATGATGTTAACATATTAAACCTTCGACATCACGAAGCTGCTCGTCGAATTCACAAAAGAAATCTTGCCATCGAAGGTCATCCAGTAGACTATTCAGTATCTCTCGTAGCATTGCACGCTTATCGACACAATCCTACAAAGCAAAATGAATTTATTAATTCACATATTGCTTTTCATTTATTTATTTGTTGAAGTTATTAGCGAACCCCTAGTTTAGGAGCCCATGAGACTCCCGAAGCGGCACTGGAATGTGCTGGACCTAATAAGTCTTCACATAATATATGCAACTCTTTTTCCAAACCTGTAACACAAAACACAATTCATATATAGTCATTTTATATTTGGTGATATATTTTATATTCAGTACAAATCAAATCGTATGTTTTGTTACCACAAGAAGCCAATGTTTTCCCCAAAACAACGAGCCATTGTTGGATAGAGCTGGCTTTCTTTAGTTCCAGAGCCTTAATGAGTTGAAGTTTGATGTGAGAGAGTACAGCAGGTTCCGGTTTTCGTCGGCGACCATTTAATTTAGTTTTTCCAAAGGAGGAAGCCAATTCCCCAGCATCAGGCATCATTGGTGACGACACAAGGCCTCCAGCGTCAGCAAACAAAGACCTAAAAAATTAAGAAATAAAAATGGGATGACAATTATTCAAGTTTTTAGTACTGAAATAAGCAGGCTCTTAATTTTAATTGTATGTAACAAACCATGTACACATTCCGTTATTAAATATGAACGATTTCCCATTAGACAAAAATATCACAGGTGAGCTACCGGCAGCAATAAAAATATTTGTAATATCAACAGATTTTTCTGTAACAAGAAACAAAACATATTGTTACTTATGTGGAAGCCAAACTTTAAATTTAATATATGTTTGATACTCTTTCTACTAAAAATAAATATATACGAGGACTCACCACCAGGTTCATTTCCACCAGGTTGGTTCAAAATTGGAACTAATGATTCTGACTTAATGACGACCGTTTTGTTATGAATATCCCAAATGTGTAGGATCCCTTTAATCGTTATAACTAATAAGAGTCGTCCGCTTTGGACCAATCGGCTTGGATAACCAGACAGTACAAAGGGCGACATGGCGTAGCGACCTTTTATGTCAAAAACATGAACGGAAGCATCCTCGCATAAAGCGACAATCCTATGTAAATCTCCAGACACAGCACATATTGGAGCATCGGTGCAACCCGTCCAACCCAACCCTTGCATAGACGATGGCGAATGTTGGCACTTTATCTGATGGCAGATACCATCAGGTCTTTTGTAATTATTGCTAATTTCAAGAGAGTATGCAGTCTCTGGTTTTATATTAACCTGTAACACGTTAAATCAGTAATATAAATCAACTGCGGTGCATTTATTATTTATTTATTTTAAACTAACAAACCTGAAGGGCGAATGTAAATTCAATCTTCATGGGTGGAAGACGGGATTTTGAAGAGCAACCAGTTTTTGTAGGAGCTACTACTCTAGAATTTTGAACTCCAATCTGCTCAAGCGGTGTAGGACTATTTTCATCCGATTTCCTAGCAGGGAAAGTCCTTAGGGATTGTGGAGTAAATTTTTTCTTATTACTTATCACTGGTGGCTTCAGGTCTTCCATGGGTCGTTTCCGCTTAACTTGAATAATATTCACAGGTGGGATTTGATCCGTTAGGGGTGTCTTAGCCGTCTTGAGATCTCCATCCTGCTGCTGCTGACTAGATGTTGTGAGTAACGTTGTCGTCGGCGTTGGTTTGCTTGCTGCTTGAGTAGTAGTTGGATCGACACTACTCGTTCCATTCACAACAGGTTTGGAAATTGTATCCCCATTAGTTACATTATTTAATTCTGCTTGACATGCACTCGCACCATTCACACCATTTTTTACAGGATCAGCAGTGGTCGTTTTCGAATTACTTTCAAATCCATTTACTGTTGTAGGTGTAGGTAATGGATCGATTTCCATCGGTGTCGAAGTGGGAGGAGGAGATTGCTCCTTTTGAGCTGATCCACCGGAACAATTGACAGCATCACTTTTGGCCGCCAACTTTTTACTCTCACCAAATGAAACATCGTCAATGTTCGAAACCATATTTTGAATACTTTCTCTTAAATTTTCTTGTGTCGTTGTAGAAATTCCGTCCTTATTTGTAAATACTGTTGGTTCCTCACTAGAGAGTGGAGACAAAAAGACCGTTAGTAATTACACCATACAACAACACTCGAAAACACTTGAACAAATTATATTGATTTAGAAATTCAAATAATTAAACCTCACAAAATGAGGTTTTCATACGATAAAAAAATGTAAAAACCAAATAATATACTCAAATAATCTTCCTCGTGAAATTATTAGGCCATCAAGTGGGACACTTAATTACTTGTAGTAAAAATAATTCAGTGCAGTAAAACCTCGGCACGTGCAGAGATCATTAAACCAATTAACTCGATTCTACTTTGACTCTTAATTTTTACTCACCATGAAATGCGAAATGAACCAATCGTTAAAAAAACTAACCAAACTCGTCCATCCAAATTAATGCCAATTATTTATATTTTAAAAAGTGTGTTAAAAAGTTTTAAAAAAATTGAAGAGAAAAATACTTCCTCAGATTCATGAGAACCTAAGCTAACTATGAAAAGATTTCTTCAGGCGGGCTCTCTATGCCACAATCTTCCCTCTACTTTAGCTTTCCTTGTTGCCCAGCCATGGTATTGAGACAATCTTTTTGACCACTTTTCCAAAATGAAGTTAAATAAATATTTAAAATAACACAGCATGCATGAGATGAAACAGAGCAATATTATTTGTAATTTGATGTGCATAAAATTGTTATCAAAGATTCTATTTGCCTAAACAATTTATAGCTCTTGCAAACTAGGCATCCCCCATAAACTAAATATAACTAAACCTCAATATGCAGAGTCTATGAACTAAACTAACTATGACCCTAAAATATGTAGTATTATCTACTGTCCTTGCTAAAATATCTGGCGAGGTATTGAGATTAACATAAAGCATGCACGGTATGTATCGTTAGAATTGGAATTTATCGTACCTTGTAGGTATCATGTTGTCTTCGGTGGGGAGGGGTAAGAATTTTGGGGTGATTCTACGTTTCCCATCCGCCGTTCTGGTTTCAATCTGAGTGGTGGGTCCCTTGTTGGTGTTCTCTGGACTGGCGTCTAACATCCTACTACTCGGCGGTGGCATTGAAACTTGTGGGGGAGATGGTTCGATTGCGGGTTTTGCATGAGATAATTCTTCCTGCTTATTTTGTTCTGTTTTCGTGTTTCTCGCCAAGAACACTTCCATGTTTGGTACAATATTCTGCTTGTTTACAGTTAGGCCAGTGTCCCCGTAAAACCGCTGATACAAAGAATCCTACAAAGAGAGAAAAGTTTAAACGACTTCCTTGGACTACTACGAAATTTACTAAAAATGTTATAATTGCGGCAATATGCATGCACGACCTACCGTATCTTCCTGAGAAAGGGGTTTTCCAATCTCTGTATACGAAAACTGAGCAGCCATCACGGACCCATCCCAAGAACAAGCCATCATAATTGTACCACAATGAGACCAAGTTATATCCATCACGGAATGAGAAAAGGCGTCTTTGACAACTACGACGGGACGTTTCAAGGCAGTCGACCAAACTGAAATTGATCGATCGCGAGATCCAATAGCGACACAACATTGTTTAACTCGATTATTTTCTTGAATATTGTTGTTGAAACGCTGAAAATTTTAGAACAAAAAAATTTAGGCCGGATAATCGAATAATCTTGAGATTGTGTATGCATAAACAACGTACCACACAAACGACGGCTTTCCGATGTCCCACAAAGTCTTTGTCCACCTTCCAGCCGTCCCTTTCTATAATTTGAGCAGTTGGGAAGCCAAAATTCATTGAATGTGCGGATACAAGATATAAACCGTCCGGAGACCATCCTAGCCGCAATACATGAGTTGTTCCCCCGCACTGCATACAATAATATTATTTATTTTGCATTTTGGACTTTCATAGATGTCCCGAAAAGCAATTCATACATTTTTTCATATAATTACTTACATCCACAAATGGCTCTTTAACCACATGTTCTGTTGTCCAATCAGACGTTCGCCAAATTCTCAAAGTCTTGTCTACCGATTGACTAGCAATGTATTTTCCTATGGGATCCCACGTTATTCCTTTCACCATGCTCGTATGTCCTATAAAGTTTAAGATTTATATTTATAGATGAATTAAAATAAAATCTACTTTAGAATTTGAAAAGTTAAAATGCGAACCTAGTAAGGTGACAACAACTTGGGGAAAATTTTGAGCATCCCAAATCTTGATGCTGTTATCAATTGAGCAAGTAGCCAAGTATGTATCTTTAGGAGACCATGCCAGGTCGAGAACATCACCATCATGCCCCCTCAAGATGGACACTGTCTTCCAAACCTCCAAATTATTCTTCTCAAATGCAGAATTTGTCACAGCATTTCCAGAATATCTGGTCACTAGCTTCCAAATTATGATGACTTTGTCGTCTCCACCAGATGCTAAGAAACGGCCAGAATTGCTCCATCGGACACAGTTGACACAGGCTAAACAAAAACGAACATTATAATGTTCTCAAAGTTATAAGTAAATATATGCACGGTAGATATATACCACTGTGGTGATCAAGCTGACAAAAAAGTTTTGGAATTGCAGTCTCTGTAGAATTCTCCGATAATACTGCTTTCAAGTTCCATATCACAACTCGGCCAGTGTTGTCGTCGCCTAAAACAATAGTTTGTTACTTAATTAACATAAACATTTACCAAGACAAGGATTTCTCAGAATAATAACAACCAATCTTATACCTTGACCCCCGGTAGCTAAATGCTCGTCGTCTGGATGTATATCAATAGAAAATATTGGATGCCCTGTGTTAAAGTAACACATAAATAAGTCACATATTTACATAATGTTGTCATTGAAGTCGGTATGTATAAGCAAAAAGTAAAATCACATATGACTTACCGTCATGATTTATCCAGGATGGTTTTAGCAACTTCATCCTCTACAAAATATCAGGTAGCTAAACAGTCCTTGGAGGAGCTCAGGAAGAAACTCGAGATCGAATAACGAATAAATTACGAATTACTAAATATTAGAATTGGAAGATCGAATGTCGCTCTTCTTTCCCATCCTTATTAAAGCAACTGACTTTGTCAAGGAACGTTTCAGATTGAGATTTGATATTGTATAACTTTTGCATATTTTAACGTTACTTAACTTAACTACAAATATAGATCAACATTGTAGCATGAATTGGGCACCACCAAAACAATACACGTTGTGTCAAGATTTCGGTCGTGAAACTCCTCGAAAATCGGAGGGTATGCCGACGACTATTGAAGTATTATATTAGTCCACGATTATGGATTAGACATGAGATTCCCGTGAAGGGGTTTTAAACTGATGTGTAAAAATGGTCCCCCAATTTTAAGGTTTGAGAATAAACTGGACTTGATGTAAATCTGGTGTTGGTTGTGGTGCGGGGCAGCTAGATCTTGTCCCTCTCCCGCTCCTCTCGTCTTACGATGAACGACACTTGGTCTCTAATTTCCACTTTCACTCTCTATTTCACGCACGTCAACAACTTTCACTTCCAGGTTTACTAAAAGTTTTCAGTCTAAAACTGAATTTTTTTAGTATGAAAATAGTTCTCTTGTTTAAATTTATATCTCAGAGTTTCTGTACTTAAGTCAACGTTATGGCCACGAAATTGAATGAACATGAAAAAGTTTTTGTATATTATGGAGTTGTGAATATAATAATGGGGAATCTAAAATTGGGCCAAAATACAAAACATTTAATTTTAACTATTGTAACATCATAATACATTCATACTTTGCACATTTCTCAAGAATGTATCTAGTTTTTTAACCCTGAATTCCAGGAATGAGAAGTAAAGTTCTTACATATTCATATGCATTAATATATACCGAATGTTTGAAAATTTACGTACAAGCGATAATTTCAAAAGCTAATATTAATCCAACAGATTTTTCATTTTAGTATTCTCAACACTAGGAAGCAGAATGGGGGAACTCGAACCAAGCGAATTAGTAACCTTCAGCCAGGCCATGTTCATGTCATTGGGTTCGGTTCATGGTTGGGTTCATGTCATGTATGCAATTATCAAATAGCGTGTCAAATCTAAAATTAAAGTGCAACAAATGACCAAGAAGGTGAAGCGTCTTTCTCGTGCATTGTTGTAGTCTCTCCTCCAAAATGTGACCACTCTCCCTCAGCCGTAGTAATGTAGATGGCAGACGCGAAACCATTTTCCTTTTATGATGCAACCCTTTTCTTTCTCTCTCTCTCACACCAGATCCGTTCGTAATCTGTGATGGAACATCCCAGCACAACCCAGCAAAAGAAGAAAGAAGGCAGCAGTACAACAAGTTTTTTTTTGCTTCACTGCCTCAAGTTCTTGTTTGTAGCTCAGCAGAAACTTGTGCAATGAAAAACCAAGCAACGGAGCATAGCAGCAGCAGGTACCACACCACATCATCAGATTCGTCGTCGTCGTCGTGATATTATGGCTTGGCCGGATCCTTTCTTTCTCTCTTAAGAGCCATACGCCAAGCAAGCCACGACGACGACCATCTAACCAAGCAACCAACCATTCTGATGATCATCATAACTTGCAGCAGCAGAAAAGATGCATACTCAACGAGATAGATGATGATTCAACTAACTGATTCATTCCTCTTCCAAAGAAGAGAGAACTTTGCTTTCCCGTTTGTTCGTTTGTCGCAAGTGGTGGTGACGATGATGATGCTCATGCTCGTGTTGCATCCTTGCGAAATAATAATACGAATATGTGTTTCTTTGCGTTATTGCAAAGCTCACTTTTCCGGACGCATTATTATTACCATCATCATCATCAGCTGCAAGAGGAGGAGGAGGAGGAGAAGGACGACCAAGAAGGAGTCGTCACGAATATTAAATATATATGGTTCGACTTTTACTCGGAATATATGAAGCATAGTTTTGCTGGGTAGCTAGCTATCATAAAGTAGCAGCTAAAACTCTACTAGTCCTCCAACTTACTAATACGACTGCATGCATACGTTGCATTGCAACTTCAACCCTAACGCAACCCCACAACAACGGAATGTATATATACACCAAGAATCACACCTCAATTAAAGATTGAATAAGCTCCTTTAGTTTAGTTGCTTTTGTTAGTTATTGTTTTTATGAGAGCATCAGGGTCTAGGTCTCATGTGTGTACGTGCATCATGTGTACATTTATTACGGCTTGGCTCAAACTCGCGTCTCTCCGATGCTTCTGCTGCTGAGGAGCAAAAGTTGCAACAGCAACATCCAAGAACTATTTCAGTTGTTGTACAACTTATTATTATTACGAGTTATTATTACAAGAGAGTTTGGTATTTTGGTCGACGTCGCCCTGTGGTCGTCGCTGTTTTGGCGTCGTCGTCGTCAAGTTTCATTATTTCCCTCTGGGTGCAACAACACGTAAAAAAATTGTTCTTCTCGCTAGCGTTTTTTTTGTTGGCCAAGTCTGCTATAAACGTTGCTGCTGTGGCCGAGGAGGATCAATCTAATCGTGGTGTGGAAGTTAATAGCTGAATTTTGGGGGCAAGTTGAAATTGGCACTTGAGCTTGGGCCGTTCTCTGGTGGCTCCCCTCGTACCGCAGGTTGGACTCGCCTCTCGCCGTGCGATGAGGGGAGAGCGGAGAGTGTGGCGAGGGGCGTCCGGCTCCCAGTCTCACCAACCTTCCTCACCTCACCCGACTTGGACCCTGGCAAAACCCACACAACACAATTCATTCTAGCTACGAAAGCAGCAAAATGTATGTCTCTCAACCTCCATCCCAGTCTGCGATTCGGCTCTCTCAACGGACGGAGAACGAAGATCGGTGAGGCAACGCTTCCCTTTTCCATGGAAGAACTGCCCCCACCACGTTAACAAAGTTGACCTTGTCGTATGAGGGGGTGTCAAAGTTCACATGTACGTTGGCATATGTAACGGGAGGTATTCACATACCACCAGGACGCAGGTCTTGAGAGACATAACTACTCTTTGTAAAGAGGAGATCCGCTTAAAGAGCGTTCATTTAAACAGAAATAAAATTGTGCGTGTCATAATCGCTGACTTGCTCGTTTCCTTTGTACGCCTCGATTTAAACCGAAGGTTTACATCTTTAGCAACCAGGATATAAGTGTTGCGGGGTGGTGTCGCCATACGTTGCGGAGGAGGCACACCCCCTACACCCACTCCCCAGGGGATGGTGGTGGTAGTGCGGTGGTGATAAGTGGTGGTGGTGGTTGGTGGCGAGTGTGGTGCCGACGTGTTGTCGTCGACGACAACGACGACGCGGAGGAGGGGGAAATAATTCTACTGCAGAGCTCATCCCCATCATCGCTCCTCCCGCACCAACATGTACGCCAACGCGGCGGCGGCAAATGAACATGGGCGCTATTTGGCGTACCAAACCTCGCAGCCCCCCACGAACGCTCCCTCGAACGTTTTTCGGAGTGCGGAAGAGAGGGGTGCAGGACCGAATAGTCGGCAGCGGATGTCACTCCTCCCTCCACCGTCACAAAACCAGCAGGGGGAGTACAACATGGGACACGGATCCTCCCCTCTCACCCCCAGGAACGAGAGGCAGGCCCAACAAATGGGATCATCTCACTACGGGTAACAGAGATTTCTCATAATACCCCTTTTTCGTTTTCATAGACTTTTGCATGGAAATAATACCTGAGATTTTTAGCAATATCCACTCCACCGTAGTTGGCATGGGAAATTTAATAGTAGTAGTAGTATCGCGAGTTGAGAGAGAGAGGAGAGTGGGTCGTTGGGGGTCGGAGGAAGTAAAACGTTGTGAAATTGATTTTTTGTTTCCTTCCGTAGTGGGGACGGCGGAATGATGAAGCTGCCTATGAGCGAAAGTCCTCCGTGCAAGAAACCCAGGCTTGGAGATTCCAAACCGGATATGCACATGCCACTGAGGATTGATACTGACAGAGCGAGAAGTGTAAGTAACTCTTATTCGCAAATTTTTCCTAGAAAAAAAATTATTTGATTTCCAATCTTGATTTTTAACGGCAGTAGATAAAATTGAGTTTATGCCGCGTCACTAATTACCAGATCGTTTTTATACCCAAACAGCGCGTTGAATTTTCTTGAAATGTAATGATAATATAAGGCAAGTAGTGGGGTTTAATTAATATTTAGCACACTTGGAGGGACTTTAAATACAGTATTGCAGGAGATTATAAAAATGACTAATTTCAAACTTACCCTCGACCTTGTGGGGATGAGACAAATCGGGATCAGACTACCCCTAATTTTTTATTTTCTGACATTTCTCATATTGGTTTCAATCATTTTTTTCGTCCGGGAGTCAAGTTGGGTTTAAAAATTTGTGTTTTTTTTTAGAATTAGCTTATTTAATTTAGCCTAATTCTCAGGAGAGTTATCAGCTTCCTTTCCTTCCGTAAATAACGATGGCATAATGCAAAAGAACGGGAGTGTTACCGTCTTGTACATATCATTTTTCGTATCTGTAGTTGCCACGTACATGTAGTCAGTCACTATATTTTTGTGAACAATCGTGAAATATGACATACTGATACTGATATGACTGATAGTAAATGTACTAACGTGTATACTTTTGTCTGTGTGTGTGTGTTTAGGGGCCTGCGTATAACCCACAGGTCGAAGCGATAAGCCCAACTCTGCCGTCCGAGTCAATTAGGGATGAGTCACCGTTAAGATCCACAAAGGAAGATTTATTACTAAATATTGCTCGAGTGGATCGAGAAATAGCCAAAACAGAAAGTCAAATCGCAAAATTGAAAAAGAAAAAAATTGAACTCGAAGAAGCTGCTACTCAACCACAGAAGGAGAAAGAGGAAGCCAGTTGTGCATCCGACTCTATTATTCAATCCTTACCTCAAAGCATTTACGCCGAAAATAGAGTACGTTTAAACATATATGTAGATATATATCTATCTCTCATCATTGTTAATATTATTATTATCATGATGATGGAACAGTATTAGTACATCTTAGGATGTACTATAATACTGTAGTAGTGCATGCATTGCAGCACAAATACCATTCCATTCCATTTTTTATGTAATGTTTATTGCATTTTTCTTATTAGAAAAAAGCTGCCGAGGCTCATCACAGCTTGGTTAAATTAGGTCCTCACAATGATCTCGTAAGTATATCCATAGTCTCTTTAATATAATATATATATATATGTGCAAAAAATGCAGAATACTTGATGACGAAGTGCATTTAATGAGAGAGTAAAGGGACACGACGACGGCTCATGTCATACGATACTTTTATTTTATTTTTACAGCCATTATATAATCAGCCATCCGATACGCCGGTGTATCAGGAGAATTCGGCGAAATACAACGAATTCAAGTCCAGGCTAGTGTTGCATTTCAAATCAAAACAAAAGGAAAAAGAGAAACGTGATACCTATTTGACCAAAACATACGCCCAGGTAAGAATTCCATTTTCTATGCTATACATACATATAACTAATAGTAAATGAATACTACTGCACTTGTTTAAATTTATTAATGGAAAACTCACTTTCATTTTTTGTGTAATCATTTTCAATTTTTCAATTCCATTGAATGTCTGTCTTATGCAGCTGTCCATTGAATGGGTGCGAAATGTGGAAAGGATCGAAAATACACCGAAAAAGAAAGCACAAGAAACCAAAAAGCGAGAGCTATTTGAAAAAGTATTTCCCGAATTGCGCAAACAACGCGAGGACAAGGAACGCTTCTCGCGTGTCTCCAGAATTAAGTCTGATGCAGATTTAGAAGAAATTATGGATGGCCTCCATGAGCAAGTGAGTTTTAATTTGTTATGGTTCATTAATTTTATTATGTCATTGTTGCCTGGCTAAATAAAACAATCACAATGCAGTAGTAGTGGTGATGATTTTGGTTGTTTATTATTATTTATTGTGTATTGTATTATGCTAAGTGAGCATTGTTATATACACACTCTTACACTTTTTTTAATACTCAACCACTTCATTTTTCTCTACAGGAAATGGAAGATAAGAAAATGCGAAGTTATGCTGTGATCCCACCTGCTTTATTTGACTTGAAAACTAGGAGTAGGCGTTTTAAGAATACTAACGGGTTAATGGAAGACCCAATGCAGGAATACAAAGATAAACAATTTTTAAATTTGTGGACTGATCAAGAAAAGGAGATATTTAAGGTAATGAGCAATTAATTTCACTTTCCGTCATAATGTTGAGTTTTATTCAATCAAGTTTTTCCTTTTTTAAACTAATAATGTTATCAGTTTTGGTATTAAGTTATGCTAAACTATTTTACTACTGGACTGGATCTGAGTTTATTTAATTGTTTATACAGGAAAAGTATCTCCAGCATCCCAAAAATTTTGGAATAATCAAATCCTACCTGGACCGGAAGTGTATCCCAGATTGTGTGCTCTATTACTACCTAAGCAAGAAAACTGAAAATTATAGGCAGTTGCTTCGAAAGAGCCGAGCAAGACCAAGAACTAGAAATCAGAACTCGCAAAACAACACGAATAACTCATCAAACAATCAAGTGCCAACTGTTGTAAAAACTGAAAACAATGGGGTCACTACGCGTCAACAAAAAGAACAGAAAACTGAACCATCACAAAATGTGTCTTCGTCTGTTCCTTGTTCCCAAGGAAGTAGTACTACCGATGGACTGAACGCTACGTCATCATCTCCGACAATCGTAATGCCAATAGTTAGCGAAGAAAATAATGCCAACAACAACAACAATATTAGTAACAACAATAACAATAATTCCTCACAACAGTCTCCCCCAAAGTACGTATTATTAAAAAAAATATGTTTCTTTTACTAATCCTCCGCGCCCTTCTTCAGACCTACACCTAAAACAACTTGTCCAGAGGTTTAAGGTGATTATAACAGAACACTATTACAAATTTTATTTGATTCTTTTCAGTGATCAATTCGTTGGACAACCTCGAAAAAATCATAAGGATGAGGCTAAGGAGATGAACGACGTGGACACCTCCGACGACGACATGGAACCAAATGGTACAGATACATTCGACTTATCTAATATTTCACCTTCCGTGATTTGTGCTGCAAAAGCTCTGCTTAGCCTGTATATTAACAGCAGGTCTCACTAGAACTTATGTAACTAGTAACACTATCTGCGTCTAACCCTAAATTTTTTGTGAAAGTGCTTTATTTATATTTTCTTTGTTACACTGTTGAACTCACTGTTCCTTCCAGCATTCTTGCTTAATGCCATGTATATCTATTGGTGCTAATTGCTTGTGCCCTTAAAGAGACTGATTTGATATATACAAGATGTGTTTATTTTATGTTTTTCTAATTTAATTTATTACTTAACTATACGCATCCTTGCCCTTGCTTTGAATTATCTGTTGTAGATTGCATTACATATTGTACTCATGGTACTCATGCAATGCTCAGGGTGGTTGGAGACATAAACATACATGTATACACAGTAAGTTGGACAAGCCACTCCCATTACTCATACGACCTTGCTAGTTATCATAAAAGTCCTGACTCTGATACAAACTAATTTAAATGACATAACATCATATTTCGTTCTGTGCAATAGTTTAGAATATTAACATTTTTTTCTAAAAATAACATTTTTTTCTAAAAATAACATTTTTTCGCATCACTCCATGCATGGCTAACAGTTGTTTGAATTGTTATAAAACAACAAAGACCACCCCAAGGAAATGTTCCTCTATAGAAATTCATTTTCATATTTTATTTACAAAATCTACTAGACAGATAGGCTACTTTACTATGTCGTATCAAAGGCATGACACACTTTCCTATGCTTATGCACAAAATAATAGCTCGGAAACTTGGAACCACACTTTTTACAAGGGAAGAATTGCACATTAAGATCCTTGGTCATTGACTTGTTCTCCGAGTGAACCTGAACTCGATTATTTTGCGCACTGGTATGAGTAGCTGTAATGTCTACCGAGACCGGATTCAAGTGTCTCTTTTTGTGTTTTTGATAGCAAAATAAACTTTTGAAACTCTGGTTGCAGTAAATGCACAGATACGTCTTGAGAGCAAGTTGACGACGTTGTTGTTCAAGGGGTTTGTTCTTGTTTTGACATTCCCCTCCTCCGATATTACTGGTGGTAGATTCACTACTGCCGCTGTGTTTCACTGTTAGGGCGAAATTAGGGTTTGACACCTTTTCGAAGACGACTGGTCCATCACAACAAGCAACGTCAAACACTGCAGCCAACAGGGTTGGATTCATCTTCTCCAACTCCACGCAATCAATGTCCTTCTTCCCAGACCCTTCGTGACACTGCACCCTGTGGAAGATCAAAGATAAGATTCAAGTGAAAAATATTAACTGCAACAAAAATCTTGACGACTACGGTTCATCGTATTTTCCTTACGTTGTGCATTTTGATGAAAATTCCTCACATTGCAAACCGGATGTAATATCTAGTTCGGATCGTGCTCCTGTTTTTGAAAATGTTGCGTCTTCCTCTTCTTCTTCGTCCTCTTCCTCCTCCATCGGGTGGTGGTGGTGATGGTTACGACGCCCGTGTTCTCCAAAGCGTTCTGATAAATCGGCCGAGTTGCCGTGCATGTAATTGTTGTACCAGGCACTTTGATACCAGGTGATTGTCCAGGGCAGTCTTGGTATGGGCCTCACCAAAGTATTGACATAGTCAGGTGGCGTCGTAGGAAGGGACACTGATGTCCTGATAGAGAGGTCAATTGCAGTGTTATCCGGATTATTGATATCCATATTGGACACACGTATGTTTTATTGGATTTATTTCCTTGTCGCTCTTGTCAGTGATGTAGGTTGACTGAGGGTGTAACGGGTCTACAACCAAGTTTTATATTGGCGTTGTTTGGCGAGGGTTCGTATTGAAATGTGGTAGTTGAAATAAGACAAGCTCTCGTTACCTTGATATGTCCTGACTGAAGTGGAATATGAGCTCTTCTTCCGTTGTGGCGAAGTTATGATGACTTGTAATATTAGGATTGAATCCCTTTGGGAATTCGCCGTGCGGCAATGTTGACTTTGTCGGACTGCTTTTGGTTCCTTCCTTCTCGTTCAATTTCATAACCAAATTCTGCGTCGACTTCATTTTCAACTTTTCATTTCTCCCAAACCCTTTATTTAAAGATTAATTTGGTGTCGAATTCATAATTATCTCCTAGCACTCGGCTCCGTCTCGATAAATTAGGTTTCGCCACATTTATTTTTACTATTCTCATCAAAATATAAAAGCCCTATTTATTACTAATCATAGCTTCAAGCATATACACACAGCGAGAACGCCAATCATCTTATTTTATAGACTTATTTATTTTTCTAAAACAATCAACAAACTCCTAGTTTTTATGGTATTATGTGCAATGAGTAAAAGTGAACCATTATTTCCCCCATAAAAACTGTCGGGTAGATGCAGAAGGCAGGAGTACCAGTGGTACTGTACCAACCTTACTTTCTACCAACAATTTAACCAGGCTACTTCCTCAACTAGAAATTTGCAGAACGGAATATTGTCGTTGAAGATGAGAAAGGGCCACCCCTTGCATTTTCCCTATATCTTCAACACGAACCGTAACATGGGCGAAACAAGGGACAAAAACTCGGGTTGGCCCTTTTGCATCTTCAACGACGATATTATTATATGCCGAACAATCATAGAAAGCAATTTTATTATTAGAGCAGCAGACAATGCACGATACATAACATACAGTTAGAAGATCAAACATTTATAAAATAAATATTAATTGCGGCTGTTAAGCTGATGATATTTACTGTTGGGAACTGGATACATATATGTTTGCAGCTCAAGTGTAATAGTGTGTGTTGGATTGTAATTAGTGTAAGTGTTTTTCTTTGATTCTCTGAGATTTGTACATTACGTACCGAAACCGGAGAGAGATACGACTCTAGGAGGACGGATTTGTCAATATTTACAAACCGGGAGCATTTCTCTCTCTACGGCATTTCAGCAAATTAGGGACAAAACAAAGATTGCATTGGTGGTTGGTCTGTCGGTCGGGTTGTTTTTGGGATGTTGAAAGACGAAGGGTTGACTTTTGAAATTGAATTCCTCGGCAGTAGTTCTCATGAAAGTGAAACTAAAACTACCATCATTGTTGATGAAAGTGGTCGAGGAAGTAAAAGAGCCAGGCCACCAAAATTTATTTATTTCTCTCCGTTAGTTATGCATTACTTTATTAGACTGAGAATGGATTGAGTGAAACGCAAGCTTTTGATCTATCTCCACAGATTCAATTTGCTTGCACTGAGGAGTGAGGCGTTTATTTAGCGACAATAATAATACTCTTGCTCGTAATACGAACCTCGTATGTAAATTTCAAGTATGTTTAAGCCATGCGATACCCAGAGCAAATACGTGGTTTAATCAGTCTCACTCTGTTTTTTTATTTGCCAACCGGCCAGATACTAAACCAGCAAATCAGCCAAACGTATTTAATTTCTAGTGGTATTCTAAAGAGTGCAGGTTTCGACATAAATTAATTATCCTAAATTTCGGTTGGACTACCAGGATTTTATTTCCTGCAACTGCTTTCACCTCCTTCTGCTAATAAATGACAACTTTATTATAAATTTATTTAACCTCGAATGCTTTCACTTTATGTCTTCTTCTGTCCTTGCGGCCTGACTCATTTAGCAATTTGCCCGATTGGTTTACGTTTACTACCTACACTACTTTGAAATGTAACGGTACAGGAGAGGTGGTAGTGGTGGTGCTGAGTTGAGTGAGTAGTACACCTTTGAATATTTAAATCATTACATCCCACGACAATTCACTCACTCACTCGCTAAATACATTTCAATCGTTCTTGTTTTCATGCCTACTTTTGGTAGGTTGTCATTATTGTCAGGTTCTCAGAAGTAGAAATACAGCCAGAGTTATTATTCTGATTGAGAGAGACGTGTGGTGTGGTCTCGCATGTAACGATAATATTGCTTTAGCCGTACCAATATATGAACGCCTGGTTTTCGACGTGGTGATTATCGGCAAAAAATACCCATGAGCCTTGGAGAAGGAAATAAGTACACTTTCTTCGTCTTCATAACGCATAACCCGGCATAGTCAGTATAGGATTTCTGCTTTATTTAACACACACTAATATGTACTGTAATGCATGTATAAGTACATAACTTTCACTTTTGCTGAGTTTTTACCCCGCACCAACTTCATTACTAATTCCACATTCCTAAACATAAATCGATTTGCCTAATCATGTTTTTCTCTCTATTTCTCAGGTGAAAAGGGTGGTCCGCATACTTGTGTATGTTGTAAAACGCAAGTAGAAAACTTCCTTCAGTCCAGACCAATTTCAAGAAATCAAGCGTCAATGTATGGATTGAATGAGATTGATATACAGCCCTCAGATCGTGTCTGCATTTCATGCCGTTGCAAAGCAGTCCGAAGACGAACAAAATCATCACAATGCCCGATCCCCACCTGTCCAGCGAAACGTGCAAGAATAAAACGGTTGAGACCATTTCCACCAAAATGGACCGAACTGGATGACTATAGACGCTCCGCCATTATCGCTAAATATCGTAAGTAAATTTGTGGTATAGTCTTAACGTAGTAGATATGCTGTTTATGACCAATTTGTTCATGGTTTTGACGAGTGGTTTCTTTAAATTTGCAGAAATACCAGAAAACTGCACAAAATGTTGTACGGCGTGTTTCAACCGAATCAACAGGCGAATGGCACCCAACGCTAGTTTGGATACTCCAGATGATCCTGGCTGTGATACCACTCGCTGGAGTGATGAGGAAATTGAGTGGATGAAAAAGGGCCTTTCAGAGGTAAATTAATTTGCTTTGGTTAACTTGCTTTGTCAGAGGTTTTTATATAAATTGACAGCAGCACGTAATTATTACTACTTACTTGTATGTAAATGGTACTAAATGTCCCCAGGTTGGAACGGATTGGGTGAAACTATCCGAAAGAATTCCATCAAAATCTGAGCTTCAGTGTAGAAATTTTTACTTCAACTTTCGGAAGAAGTTCGGCCTAGAGTCTCTCGTGCAAGAGCACAAAAAGGTCTGGAGCTTGCTCACTTTCGACTGAATTTTCTTTCCATCAGCCGCGTGGACTATGATTGTTAATTGTGCTCATTAGGACTTTTCCCTATTTCAGAGCAAGGGTGGGCATGGTCCTCCCACGCTGACAGATGAAGAAGAGTCTGGGTCTACCACTTCCAGGTGAGTCTACGAAGCGTTTTGTTGGTTAATATTTTTTTTATTCGACACAAGAAGCATGCCAGTAGTGGCGAACGAAAAAGTAATCTAATTGATTAGTGAATTTAAATTGAATTTCAATTTTCAGCTGTGATGAAACCGGTGCAACTTCCCATGAACAACCACCTCGTCCGTCCAACATTAACGAAAAGAAACAAGATGACTACGACTCTTCTGCCACTGTAAGAGTCGCATATCCTCCACACTATCATGTCATATTTATATGTACCGGGTAATAACGATTGTAATACTTGTTCAGGTGAGTGCTGAGGAAGGAATTGCCGAACCTGATAAACCCAATTCCCATGAAGACATCAAAGTGTTTCCCAATAACCCTGAGAGTCCCCTCTCCCTCACCATCCGAGCAAGCATGAACAACCAAAGTCCATTCGCCCCCTCTTCTCATAGCAGTAACAACAAGCCAATGAATCTGAACCCATCCCCACATTCTATTGTCTCAGGACAACATGGAATTCGCTCGGCCAGTCCTGGTCAAGGGCCGCACGTACCTACAGTGTCGATTACCCCAAGGCATCCCCATTCTTCAGTAATGCATCATACCCAAATTACTAGTTCTCCAAGTCATCATCAATTCCCACCTCAAAATTTTCCTCTTCATATGCAGTCAAACGTGGTGCATCCGGGGTTGGGACCAAGCTCAATGAGTGGCGTTCCACATCACATGTCATCCCACCAAGGTAACATATCTACCTGTGTGTGATACCAGTTCTGTATCCATCCGTGATGATCTAATTCCGTCATTCCTGTGGGTATGTTATGGATGGTGTCCCTAATTTATTCCCTATTTATAGGATCTCGGAGATATCCTAGTCCAGACAATAGTGATCAGGAACCAATGACATTAAAAGTAAACGATATACTTCACGCAACAATTGAACGCCAGTTGCGCATACAGGGACCTATAAGCAACAATAACTCGGTACGTTTTGTAAGTACTTATTGCAGAAATAAAAATTAGGTTTACCAAAGGCATGTATCTATTGAGAATATTTATAATGACCATTTACTTACGCCCACTGTTGTATATTTAGACCCATCCCGGTCCTAGCGTTTCTCCAACTATAACATCAATATTAAAAAGTCAAGATCGAAGTCACTTACCTCCGCCAGGGACGCAGCAGATAATGACTCAAATACATCATAGTTCACAGCAAAAACAGCAACAACAGCAGAATGAACAACCCCAACATCACCCTCAGTTGACAGTGACCCCGAGCATATTCCCTCATCAACACCCATCATACTATGGTCCCACCAAAGTTGAACGAATATCTCAACATCACATAACTCACGATGGCTTATCTCTAATCCAAGTTCCTCCTAGAGATGAATGTGGTACGTTGGATTTGAGTATGAAAAAGCGGTCTCCATCCCCTCACATGACGGTTCATCGTCCCCCTTCAAACGGGCCTCCACCAGCTCATCAACCTTTGGACTTTACTCCTCGGCAGCAGCCCATAAATGACATTTATTTCCAACAAGGAAACAAGTTTTCTCCGATTAGAGGAAGGCCAGGACCACTTCCACCACCGCCGGCGAAACAATCAAAAGTGCCTCCGCCACCTCCACTAACCAAACAACCTAGTTTATCCCCGATGAAGGATGGATCAATTACTCATGGAACCCCACTGCATCATCCTCAAGTATATACGACTACTGTGATTTTGATCAAGTTTGATTCTATTTCTCTAATTCCCTTATCTCTCTTATTACAGTCAATTTCATCCAAGTACGAAGGGTTGCTGCGTCCGAAGGAGGGGTCAATTACTCAAGGGACGCCAATGGAGAAAATGAGAGGAAAGGAAGGTGTTCCTGCAGCATATGTCTCATTCGATAGATCAGCGGATTACTATAAAAGAGTTCCGCCAAATGCTCCATACTTTCATGGTAATAATTAATAAATAAATTGATTTCTCTAACTGGGTTATTTAAATTAATTCTAGCGTGTAAGTTACACGTATTTCTAATGATAATTAATACGATAATTGTAATGTTTCAGGGTCTCAAAACCAATTTTATGGTCAAAGGCCACCATCGACTGGTCAACGTAGTTCGCCCCCCACGAGTCATCAACAACAACAACAACAGCAACAACAACAACATCCATCAAATTATTCAACAGATCAGCATAACACTTCCCGACAGATTATCATAAATGATTATTATACGTCACAACAAATGCAAAATCCTCCAGTTCAACAAAATCCTCACATTTCACAAAACTCTATTGGACAACAACAACAGCAACGGATAGATCCGTCAAAACGGAATTCGGTTCCTACCATGTCAATTTCCAGTCCCAATCCAATGTATTCTGTTCAATCTCGACCAGATATGTATCGACAGTCCCCTTCCCCGTCTTGTCCTCCACACCAACAACAACGACAAGGAGTCATACAGAGGGCAAACGCAAACCGTAAGCGCAGATATATTTATTTCCTAATGAGATGAGTGAAAAAGCTAATAACAATCTAAATCACCGTCTTGTTTGATACACGATTTAGGGGTTGTGAAAGTCGAACCTGGCCAAAACCACGATGCATTTTCTAGACTTGTGGATGTAGCCGTAAATGCTCCAAGTTTACCTGTTCCTAAGGAGGAACCCCGTAATCGAGTTAATCTCCCACGAGGTAATTATATATATATATCCCTATTTGTCTGGTTAACTTTACTTGACTTTTAAATATCTTAATTTTCATAATTTTCATGTTCAGTGGACATGGTGAGGGAAGGACTTGGTAAAAGCATGGCAGAAATAGAGCGTAATCGCAACACCGGACCTCCTCCCCAGCAGATGCAGCAACAACAGCAGATGCAGAATAGCATGTACAGGAATCCAAATATTTCCTTGACACAATCGGGGGTATTATCCGAGGCAGTCAGATCGGAAAGGTATGAATAAACAAATTAATAAAATTTCGTTCAAGGGTTAAAGAGAAGCTTGTACTAATTTTTAATGCAACTGTGCTTTACAGAATGAGACTAGAACAGGAGGCGAGATACGGTCGTGGAAATGAAGGACAGGACGCCACTCTCACCGCTGCTTCATTGATTGACGCCATTATTACTCATCAAATAAACCAACCTTCTCCCAACGATCGTCAGTCTCCTGCCCCTTCAAAGTCAGACCGTTTGTTTGCATCCTTTCAACGAGCTTCCTCTCAACCACAACAGCAGCAGCAACAACAACATACCAATTCCCCTATGCATAATGCTCATCAACAACAACAGCAGCAACAACACCACCAGCACCAACAGCAACGACATCAACAGCAACAACAACATAACCCAGTGCACCTCTCGAACATGCAACAACACATGGATGAGAAAATGGAAGACAACAACCGTGGAATGAACCACAAAAATTCTCCAGGTAATTGTCACAGTCAATCCATTCAGTACTATGTATAGATGAGAATAGCAGGCTTATTTTGCAAGCTGGGAATTGTTGGCTTAGGTGGCACTTGGGGAGAACATAATATATAATTAACCTGTCATCAGTTCTTGGGTCTCATCCATTGTTCATGGATCTTGGTATTAGCTCCCTCCGACAGACGTTTATTTTTCTTCAAAGGAGGTTGTACCTGCAGAGGCAAAAAATATTACTACATTTATTTCTTTTATCACGTAATTGCCTCCTCATTTTCTATAAATTGGACTCATAGGAACTGAGTATCCGACAATGTGTATATTTTGGCGACAATTCGACAAGATTGTTGTTATTAAAACTGACAAAACTCTTGGACTCTTTTTTATTAAAAAATTGTTACAATTCTTATGCTCCCAGCCATTTTTAAGTGGAATTTAATTTTTGTGATCAATTCATATTAATTAGATAATTGTAACTTGCATTTATTCTAATCTGCAGTCTTTTCCAGAAACCCGTAACAAATAATAATACACAAAATTATTTCTTTAATCATAGGTCTCAATGTCTTGGAACATATTAACTTGGTTATATCCAACGACTATAATTCGGGGAAAAATTCCAGTGGGCCACCGATGGGTTCAGTAGATGTATCTTCTCACCTTCCGCCACAATCCTCCCATTCATCCTCCTCCATCTCGGTCATGCCCAGTCAGTCTCCAAAAAAGGAAGATCTTCAAGGTCAAGGCTATCTAAGTTGGAAATTACGACGGGCTCTCCAACGAGAAAATGAAATGCCAAAGGAAAACCACCCAGATGAACGTCACATAATAAGAGTAGCTCAAAATGAGGACAGTGGTAGTAGTCGACCGTCGTCCAGACCTCCATCCCATCCTACCTCAATTCATGAATCTAATGAGAATGGGTGAGTCAGGCTTTCCTCAATTAAAGTATCTATCATTCATTTAATTACAAGTCTTTTGTTAAAATCCAAAGGCTTTCAAGTATGGACGACAAAATAACACAATAATTGGTTACTAATTATACATTATTCTTATGATTTTGACCAGGAGCGATGAATTAAATGTACCTGCAACCTCTTCTGCCTCGGGAAACCACAGTGGCCCCCCAACCGATGACAGATTTAGTGGGAAACCCGGCTCAAAGAATATTTCGCCTCTAGATTATGTCAACAATTTAATCAAGGTCAGGATGAGGAAGGAAAATGCTGAGGACAAAGAAGACGAGAAACAACAACAAAAGGTTAATCATGAAGGGGGTGGGTCCTCCTCATCCAACTTGTCAAATCTTCACCATTCTTCCTCCATCCACTCGTCCGGACCTCCCACATCCTCCTCCAGTCAACTCAATAATGACGAAAATTTTCAGAGCAACTCTGCCCTCAATGACGACCCTTCCTCAAGCTCCTAAAATAAACCATATACATAATAAATGTATGCATAATACGTAAAATATATATTATTGTGATTATTATTATTATTAGCCTGAAGAAGAAGATAATCAATTGCGTAAGATTAGTTTCCGTACCCAGCTATCACATTAAAACATGAATATATATTATATTATATTATATTATATTATATTATAGTATAGTATTTCTGACTTATTATTATCGTTATTATTTCCTTAATGTTTAATTAATCATCGTCATGATATACTACTGACTAATTATGTTGACTCGATTTCATATACAGCTATATATATATATATATCTATCTATTTCTTAAGCGATTTCGTAAGTATACATACATATATTCATTGTTATTGTTAAAAATTCGTACCATCGGAAATAAAAAGTGGGATATAAAAACGAAAGCCTTCTTGCTCTATATACATTTTATTTTACTTTAAAATTTTGACTCCAACAACGAATCATATACTCCAAGTAGATATAGGTACATATACTGATACATATGTAAAAGTTGTGTTCATGCAGTTACGTACATTTACCATTGTCTCATCATCTTAACGTCACCATTTAATGGCCGGTTACATGACATCATGACAAGGTCGAGCCGATTGGAAAGCAATCCAAGTGTTTGATTAAACTTATTTTTGGGGTTATCTTGTACTATTTAAACTTTGATACTGCAGAAATGCATGTTGCAGAAGACGAGATTTTTTGTCTCAACATGGGCTTACTCACTCGAAAAATGTCATCTGATTTACATTAAAACTCTCTGAAACTCGATCAGTAGTACATAAGTACATATCCATGCGAAAATGCTAGTAAGTAGAGAAACAAATAACAAACAAACGAGATTTGCAACATTTTTGAGTTTGAAACCTTAGCCAATTTTAGTCAACTTACTGCGTCGTCGAATTTGGCATGAGGCATTGCAGGTTGTGGTTTTTAGTTGAGTGAGTGACAGAAAATCTTGGTTGGCTCCTCGTCGGCCACGAAATTCAAGCCAATCTCCCCCGTGGAAATTATAATTAGAGTTCAAATATTTATTTTGCACATATTTATTTCATAAAGTCTGTTTGTCCTCAACACAAAAATGGGTGTGTCACTGATGAACAGTCTCCGCGTTTTCTTGACCCAGAGTTCTCAAAAAATTGGTGTTGTCAGCAGTGCGGGTGTGATAAGCTTGCTGGGTCATCAGTATCAAGGTGCTACTATAAGTCCTGTGGGGATTTATCACGTCCCGAGACGTACTGTCACGAGGTGAGTCTTTTAGGTTGTCGTAATTACAAATTAAGACAATTAGAAGTAACGATTCTCCCTGATTCTTGTCCAGGTTGGCTGAGGTAGGAAAATTGGAGATACCTCGACTGGATGCTAGCTATGATGTAGGGCAAATTTTTCTGCATCGGGTTTTCGGCTACCGTGGAGTCATATTGTTCCCGTGGGTGGCGAAAGTGTACGACCGTGATCAAGCCATATCGACAAAGGCCAAGGACAAGTGAGGCATAAAGAGACTGCCGGATTGAGACTAGGATTCGGGATTAATTAATTCTTCATGTCAATCTTTAATTCCTAGTTTTAAAATTTTAATCCTAAATCCCTAATTCTTAATCTCAATCCCAAGATTTTGAAATTTAATCCTTAATCCCGATATCGTTATGGCCGATATGCAAATGACATCATTTCATGGAAATGTATTATTTTCATGTTTTTTAGAAGTGTTGAAGGTGGTCAAGAAATGGACGAGCCGACCGTGTTTAGTCATATCGGTAGAGAAGTGAAATCTAAATCGCAAAACTACTACCAGGTCCTTATAGACTCTCGAGATTGTCCCTATATTCGTGCACAGACGGAAGCGGTAACGTTTCTGGGTAATCAGGAGAATAGCCGAAGTGAGGAAATGTCGCCAACTATTTATAATAATTGTATTTTTATTAAGAATCCAATTCATTATTCTCCTGTAGGTTTGTACGCTATTCCTGGGTTGGATTATGTTTCTCATGATGACATAATTCCCTATGCATCAACCGAAAAGAATCCAATGAATCACGAATTATTTGATAAGTTTCTGCAGTATAATCCGGAAGGAGATCCGCCTTACTGGAAACCAAGGTATGATAACAACTAATTCAGTTATATAACGGTGTTTAACTTGTCAACTGGTACATTCATTCTGGTTGTGGAATAGAGAGACTTTGAAAGCCTGGCAAGGTTAGTATGATTTTATTGTATATTATTGAATATAACGAATAATGAATAATTGTGATCAAGCTACGTTGACAATTCTCATCTACATACATCTGAACTACTTTCAAACCTTCCCCCCCCCCCCAAAAAAAAATGCGGCAGTGAAAATATATTTCTTTATAAGCTCGTTGATTATGCCCAGTGACTTCATATCAAAGTGTTAATGCAGTACGATGAGAAGAGTCGGCGTCGTAGTCACCCGGGTTAATAATTATTGTCATTACTACGATGTTTAATTTTTTAGAAAAGAATCATCCGTGGCTGGAACTCTCGGATGTTCACAAAGAGACTACGGAGAACGTCAGGGTCACTGTCGTACCATTTTATATGGGTTGCCGAGAGTCTCATAACAACAATGTGTACTGGGTATGTTATTTTTTGTTATTCCAGAACTCTAACTTGATTAAGAAGTAATTAGTTATGATATGTTTTTGGGTTAGTGGAGGTATTGCATTCGAGTGGAGAATGTAGGAGAACTCAATACACAGCTTAGAGAACGACATTGGCGAATTTTTAGCTTATCAGGAACTTTAGAAACGGTACCGGCACAATTTTTTTTACAAAAAACAGAGATGTTTAACTAACCGAATTCCTATTGCGATAACTCAGGTTCGTGGAAGAGGGGTGGTTGGACAAGAACCAATTCTCACTAAAGCTAGTCCAGCATTTCAATATTCTTCCCATGTGTCCCTGCAAGCGCCTTCTGGACACATGTGGTATTTAAGGTTTAGTTAATTTTTACTTGTGATACGTTTGCTAAAGTTAGACCATGAACATTTCCCAGGGGTACCTTCCGAATGGAGAGAGAGGACGGATGTACTTTTGACTGTCGGATTCCACCATTTTCATTAGAATCCAAAGGTATGACAATGCTGCACATATGAAGAAACTCTCACTCAACGGACTTTTTTTTATCTTATCATAGGTGCTGATGAAGGGAAGGTTGATTAAGTTATTACGAAGTTATTACAAACAGAACACTAGCAGCTCACTTTTAAACGTGCATAATTAATATAGAATTGTGTCATCGATAAAATTTCCATGACTCTAAATCTCTTCGATTATCAGTAATTTTTGTATGTAGCTCAGTCCAGCGAATTTTCTATTTTGCAAATGTCTATGGTGTGGTTAGCTTTTAGTACAATTGGACGACTGACAACGAGAAAATTTTAATTTTATAATGATAAAGTATTTCGCCTGAAATTCTATCACGATACTACATTATATAAATCTTTGTGCACAACCTAAACTATGTATAATAACATAATGAGGTTTGGATATATTAAGTCAATGTAATTGTAATCATAAATTGGAACAAAATTTGTTTGATTCGGTTAAGTTGTTGCTTTGGTTTACTTGTTAATTAGAGATCTCAAATTGTTATCCCTTTTATGCTGCTGGTGCTAAGCTTAAAAGTATTAATTTTGTTTATGCTTAAATATTAGAATCCACATGATTTACTCTCCCAATTGATTTTTTCATATCTGGTGCTGTGTTTTGTTAATTTTCTAAATTCCCCATAAAATTTGAAATCTTAGTATTAAATGCGGTGTCTTCTTATATTACTTGCTAGCAAGTACATTTTACTATACATATTCAAGTCGTCATTAGGCATTATCTGAGATTATCGCAACCCTAATAATAAAGATCCTAACGACATGTCAGCTATCTTACAAGAATTTTTTATTACATTGCTTATAGCAGTTTTCAGACTTTTAAAGATCACAGGAATAATGAACACATGGTAGTGGTAGCACGCAACGATGTTTTGAATATATATTTGAATATATCAATCAACGCCGACGGGTTCATCATTGACCAGAGTCGGAATGAACTGTAAAGCAGAAAAAATAGTTTGTATCCGCCCAAATCAAATTTACTACGTATTTATAACTTACCAAAAACTCTACAAAAGAGTCAGATTGCGTTAAAAGAAACGACAAACTCAAAACCCCTTCCCTATTCATCTTAAGAATGAATTTGTCCACAATTTGCATTGCCCTGAAAGCATACTTGAGCGAGGCCAATCGATAACTGGCAGCGCTTTCAACTTGTCCACATTCGAAATATTCAATTACGCTGCTGGTGGATGAAAAGGTAGCCTAGTGACAAGTGAAAATTGAACGGGTAATTAGCCCCGTCTCATCCTAATGTACTTATAATAAATAGTTTGATGCAAAATTGACTCACGAGTACGCTCCCAGTCGAGGTATGCCCCGAAAATAAAATATCCTTTGGACCAGCCAGAATTTCAATATTTACCGTCTCCATTCCCACCCGATCGATTTCTTGTATGACTTCATAAAATCCAGCACCATTCAATCCTATCTTGCAGTCCACTGGATCTATCTCTATTTCCATTAAGTCTTCAACGTCTTCAGTTTTCAGCCTTATTTCAGTCTGAATTCCGTTCTCATCCAGCCTGCATACATATGCACAGTACGACCAGAATAAAATCATGCCACATTTGTTTACAAATGTACAACTAAATTTCTATAAACCATTTTTAACTTACAAAATTTCAAACGGGGATCCGTATTTTGCATACTTCAACTTGATCGACGTGTTTGCCAAGTTCATGGACATATCTATCCCTTTTCCGTCACTACAAAATATCTTCAAAAACTCTAGCAATTCTTTCAGAGGAATTCTAAAAGCAGCCTCATCAACCGTCAGCTCAAACTCCTATGAACACATTTGAGAATCCATTTTAAAAATCTACCTAAAGATAATTATGAAATCCTTCTTACCTGGAACACTTGTTTGTGCATCAGGACGTAAGCCTGGACATTTTTACCTTCCTCCACCGTAAACTTCATACCGTTATCGGAAATGAAAACGTTGACTCGCTACAAACAAAAAATGGTTACTAATTCATTATTAACCAAATCTTGTATCTCTTATTATTAATTAATTAAGATCTTATATTCAATTACAAGTTGTAATTTGCAACTCACATCAGTAAACGCGACCGATTTCAACAAGGTTGCAATTGTTCCCACACTATCCAATTTTGCCTGAAAAATGAAGTCCTCGTTGGTCAGAGATCCTGCAGAAGCCATGTTTCAATATATCAATTTTGAATTTATCAGATAATACTCGAGGTAAAAATTGTCAAAAATGTGAATTAGAATTTGGAGAATGAAATGAACGCCGGTGTCCGCGCTGCTGTAGGTTTGGTTTGATCTCAAACGACGATTTGGGGTGTTGACAGACAGAGAAAGTCACTCTGCGTTCATGAAAATGCCCAAAAACTGCATCCCGATTCGCATTTTGACTGAATAAAATCAATTGAAACGTCTTAATTTTTTGATGCCGTTGCAAATGAATCCATTGAAAAAACTCTTTGCATATGTCACCGTTTTATCATAATAAATCCAAGAAAAATTTAATAATTTACAAAAAACGACTCATCAGTATGTGTCATGTAAGAGAGTTAATTCTACCAAGTTTCATCGGTTTGGGTAATTAAATTCCTATATATGCTATTTTTAGTTACGTTTATTTTTGTTTTCTATACGTCTAATGTCAGGCTAATCGGTGTGTATGTGAAAAGGGGTGGGGCTTACGATTAGTCTACATAAATGCATGGTCATGCAAATGGAAATTCATATAGTTGGCTCATGGATTGTCAGTGTAAACATTTTGTGTTCAGAGGTTCAGAGTGAATATTTATGACAGTTTTGTATGTACGTGAAATTTACTGTTTACAATGTATTTAAAGGGTATATTATTCTTTCACTTCAGTAGTTTTGTGATTTAAAGTTCTAGTGTAAAACGCATGCATACAAAATTTGATACACCTGTGGTAAATATTCAGTCAAAAATTTCTATGCATATTCACACATGCCAGTCTGATGCTATTTTAGGCTCTTTTGTAACATTGCATTCTTCCTCCTCAGACTGATCGCGATTAAGATTTCAAACCCCAAAATTTAAACTTTATCGACTGTACTTACAGATGCTCATATTGCAAGATATCCTTTATTGAACGAACCCTTTCACCTGCGGCCGAATCTCTAAATCGAAGGGTTTTAATCCCATCAAAGTCTATTGTTCTAAGAAACTGGATTATTTTTATGTCGTAGTTATTACTCTTATCATGTCACATGTCATGCTCGTTTTGTTAAATGCATTTCATGCGACTCGATCAATAAGGTCACATGCACCACCACTGTGGATGGACAAGACACATGTCAAGAAAATTTTTAGTACTCTACAATTATAGTTTCATATTGTATTGCACGCAATAGAAAAGGTGTAATTGATTTTTTGCTAAAGTATTTAAGGTTTGAGCGAATACGCATTTATAAACACTTTCTCCACAACACAAACGTCTGAAAAGTTTGCGAGTGTGTCGAACCGTCTTGCTTGGTGCAGTATAATCTTAAGAAAACACTCAAGACAATAAATTGCAAGGGTAATTTACCCTTAAATATTTCCATTCAAAGTTTTTGAAACCTTCACTAAAATGAAAACTCATTAACTCCGGTCAACTCATCGTTTTTCGTTTTCTAAGGTTAAATCTTCTTTTTAATATGCGTACAAGTGGAGAAAGCTGGTGAGGTGAGATATAATTTTGACTTTCAAGAATATTTAAATAATTCATTCCTAGCAATAACATTAGTGTCAGAATTTTGTGTCTGTCTAATTAATAGTCGAGTATTCTTTACTTTTTAAGATTTTATAAATGCTCAACCATACGGGAGATTTCCTGATTACTCTTCCTGTGACTGAGATGGACAACGAATCTAATACTCCGACTATGCAATATTTCCCAATGCTGAAGAACTATCTGGCTGATCTTAGTCACCAATTTTCTGCAGCTATTCAGTCCTCCGACCACTGTGACACTAATTATCATGTGATGGAGAGTACAGCGTCTCAAAATACCGAGCTAGAAAGAACGTCAACACAGTCTGCGTCAATTATGGCAACTGCTCAAGACTATATAAATTATTATCTGACACCGACAACGCAAAATCATAAAAACGACGATGAGAAATTCGACTGCTGCTCATGTCTGCAATTTTTCGGATGCTGGAGCAAAGGTGTAAACGATCAAGATGAAGTGAGCAGCACGGTCACCTTTCCCCAGTTCGAAAGCACTACTGCGATGCAAATTGAGAGTGAAAGAAGTTCCAGAAAATCTTGGCTTGCCAGAATGAAGAATAAATTTTTTCCAAGTACACTTCCTGTCATTTCATCTATGGAAATGGAAGACGTGCCTTGTGAAAGTATTACCGATCTGCTAATGGTGCATCCCGTGGAACAGTCAGGTGGAGAAAGTGGCGAACCTCCCACCGTCGTCGTCACTTTTACTCCACCAGATACCGACGCTCCAGAAGAGATTAATTAAAATCAATGCCAATAGTAATCAAAATCAATGTCAATAGATAACAGAAAAATATTCATGCATTCCTTCAATTAAATTACTGACAATAAATGAACATTGTGACATTAGTTACTTAATTCACAGCACCCGAGGTGAGGTAACCACTCATGGAACTAAATTAAACTAGTAATACTCCTTTACGTCTTGATATTACATTAATTGTAGCTGCCAATTACATACTTTTGTCTGCCGGTAACTACTTATCAATTTTAATAACCAGGTTGTTGTCGTTCTAAGTTATTTATCTATTCTTTGTAAAATCTGGATATTTAATAAATCTTTACGTTACAGCAATTTCAATAGAACGTGCATCATTAATGGTAATAAAAACCCAAGCATATTTTTTTTCTAACTATAATTCACAAATACAGTTTACAAATTGAATATTTAAACGATCAGATAATACGTGTATGAAGATCAGTTATTATTAAAGGAAAAAATTTAAGTCATCCATAAAGACCTTGCCTCAAATTCCCCAACGAAAAATATACTGAACTCCAAACTACAACCTATTAATTGAAGTGTGTCAATTACATCAACTAATTGTGCTACGTTCAACTTCTTCCATGTTCACCCACATTTTGCCATCAAAACCCCACTAAGATCACACACCAAACATATTTCGGTGTGAACTGTGAATCAAATGAAATGAGGATTTCCTCTCGCTTATTTAATCAAGGAGTCTCACTTGTCTCACTTTATAATAACTCGCACTGTGGATAGAGCATCATTTGTTCCAATAAAATAAAATGTACAATGAAAATGAAAATGAAGTCCCTCATTCAGCCTCACTCGACATAATCACCTTTTACAAGAGGCAGTCGAATGATAGATTTCTATTGTCGAATTAAAACACGGATCATCAAACAATACATTAGTTTCGGGTTGATGAGTCCGGTCCATGTTTCCGGTCGCAATAGGTTTTAATGCACGGTGTGAAATTGCACGACATGACGAGTACATACATTCAATAGATGAAATCTTCAACAATATGAACCCCGTCAGTGTACAATTAACAAACAACAACAGGTGTATTTTTGGAAGTGTAGCATCCGTAAATTCCAGAATCCTGTACAATACAAATTTATCCACTATCTGTGAATACAAAAACCAACTACATAATACTTGTAATGTGTTCAGTCAGTAGAGCGTGGATTTCATGTACAGGCAGATTTATGTACACCACGCAATTGCTCCAACCATATGGAAAGCTTTTATGTAGAGTCGCATGGTAGGGAGTGAAGTCGTCTCAAGTGGTACGTTGCATATGCCATCGTCTCAATTTACAATCACGAATAATGGCCTCATCTGGCTCAACGTGGTTTCAATGTGCATTCTGAAATTCCTTAAATTCATCATGTCACTGTGCTATGAAATGAAACGAGTATGTTAAATTCCTTCAATCTTGTCAACTTGAACCTGACCTTTTCCACGTTCTGGTTTCCTCCTCGTATACATATTTCTTACTTGTATATTTCTACGAAGATGGTGCAAGAATTTATGAAACTAAAATAAAACTCCGCATAAAATGAAAATCATTTTCTACACAAAAAACTCGAGTGCAATTTTTTCTATAGCTTTAAAAATAGGTTTCATTATCAATTACAACCATTGAATGCATATCCCTTACGTAGCCACTAAACAAGATAATTCCTGAGTGATGTGCAACATTTTGAAGTTTTATTTTCAGAAATCCAGTCAGAGCCCTCCTTCCTTTCTTTCCATTTTTCCAATTATTTTGAAAGGTTGAATTACCACTTATTACATTTCCTCCACCCAGTGATAGAGTTTCTCTCAAATTGGATGAGATGTACCCCAGGTGCATAAATCAATCCCTCCTGCCACTTATTTGGCCGGTAAGAAAAATCCGTATGAGACACCCAACTACTCGAAAGTCTTATTGTGCTTTCATTCCTTGTTTACTTGAATTTCATTTCTACTATCTCTTTCTTCTTCTCTTCATGACTCATCGTCATCTCACCCGCTATGAAACTCCCCCGACATCATCGTAAGCGTAAAGGTATGTCGTACTTACTTGTACTAATATTAGGGGAAAAAATTAAACGAAATGAGAACCATATTTGCGTCGACACGTACATATAAGTTGGGTGGTAAAACCACTGAAAACTCTATTTTTTCATGGTGGGATGTGTAATCTTTGCAATGTATATAAAAAGAGAGAAAAAGTAATAAACAAGCCGTTGCATTCTTTACTCAAATCTAATATTTCGACGAAAAAAATAGGGCCAACTAACCGAAATTCACTGCTCTTTTGAATTTATATATATTTGTCGAGATTGAGAAACACGTACTTTTAACAGAATTCTTAGAAAGTAATTAAGAACTGGAAGATTATTTAGGATAGGTTTAGACTGGATTTGTGACTTAATTAATTGACTAAGAAGAATCATACCATTACATATACACCACATTTATAATTTACCAGTCAGTTGGCCCTATTTTTTTCGTCGAAATATTAGATTTGAGTAAAGAATGCAACGGCTTGTTTATTACTTTTTCTCTCTTTTTATATACATTGCAAAGATTACACATCCCACCATGAAAAAATAGAGTTTTCAGTGGTTTTACCACCCAACTTATTTGATACTTTTCACCATTAAATTTTAGGCAACAGTATTATGTACATAAATACATACATCGTTCCGCATAAAGAAAAAAAACGACGCAGCTTTGAAAGATCAATGTTTATTCACACAAAGGAAATGTAAAAAAAAACATGACAAAATGTATACATATTTCTTCATAGCTACAAACCGCGGAGCCGGGTCATCTCTGCAATTAGCTTGTCCGGTGGCTTGACCTTCAATTTGTTGTCGTCCATATCCATAATAGCAACTCCCTCAAGCATTCGAACACGACTAAGAGCAACATAGGCCTGCCCATGCGCGAAGATCTCTGCCCCCAAGTAGATGACAGCTTTATCGATGGTGATTCCTTGTACCTTATGTACCGTTACCGCCCAGCACAGGACAATCGGTAACATACATCGCTGAATTTCCTCCTTTCCCTTCCCGGTGTAGACAACATTTGATGGTTTCAGGTCGAAGATGCCATCCGGGGTTCCTGCGATGTGCCAATCATCAAACTTCACTACGATGCTTGATGGTAGATCTCCTTGGTGATGTTGGTCCCTAGCCAGTTCGTCCCATTTGAAATCGACAACAGTGCCCATTGAGCCATTTACCAGATATCGGTTCGTCTGTGAGTTTCTGATAACCATAATTCTAGACCCAACTGCCAGCTCAATGGACGGTTGGAAACCACCACACTTGTTGGTATCACGATGACTGTAAGCTAACGGAGCTCGCGATCCAGCTTTTGTTCCAGAGAAAAATGTGTCTCTAGCTTTTATCTTGTAGACCCGGGTATTGGGATCATTTCTTAGAAACCTGGTCTTAAGTCGATTATAGGCCGCTGCTTGATTTCTTGTTGGGAAAATTCTAAGAGCATCTTTAAAATTGTGTTTCATATCTGCACTAGAAGTTTCCTCATTGAATTCCCTCATACGGAGATTGTGGAGATCGGCGGTAGTGATATTTCCTTCGCGTAGATTGTTGCAGATATGAAGAAGGGGATCCTGTCCTTGTCTCATGTTCACCGTAAGTTCACGGAAAGCAAATTGCTGCCAAAGATGTTCCTCTGCTCCTAATTGACGAGGCTGATCGTAAATGCAGTGTCCGTTAACAGGTTCCAGTTGAAAGAGATCCCCTACCACTATCACGTTCCTTCCCCCAAATGGGTCGGCGTTGTCAAAACATTCCCCCAGACGCCTGCTTACTTGCCGAAATACCTATAAGGAACGAAATTATTGTAAGAAGGTGATTGGTAATTTGACTTAAATGCTACTTATTAAGACTCTCACTTCATAAGATATCATGGAAACCTCGTCCATAATTATCCAGTCCACTTCCCGAAACTTATCCCGCATTCTTTGAAGCATTTGAGCACCAAGTGGAGCATATCGCGGAACCGAACCTGATTCCACAGCGAGATGAAAACTGCCATGAAGTGTTTGTCCATTTATGTTGAGAGCAGCGACACCAGTTGGCGCTGCTAGAACCAAACCGGCAATTCCTGGACCTTCTTCCTTTGAACGAATAAGGTTTGACAGTAGCGAGATGAGGAAGGATTTTCCTGTTCCACCCGCACCAGAAATGAAGAGCTGGAGTTGTCCTCGACTAGGATTGGAGATATGTTGGTCAACCATGTCGTAGATTGATTTTTGGTCTCCATTCATTTTGGACCTCTCTATGGCGAAATTATGTTCATCTAAAAGAGGAATACTATATTCCTCATGAGCTGGAAGGACGTTGCTGGCATTATAGATATCGGGCAGTTGTGCAAAATCATCTTCGTCGTCCACCGGAGCATCATCTTCAGCTTCACGAGAATCTGCAATCCGGAGAGCTGCGGCTTCCAAAGCTTGTTCCATGTCAGGTCGGATAAGTGGAAAGTTCTGATTTGTCCTCATGTTAGCCTTGTGTCTTTCGTACGATTCCTCAACAGATTCACCATCAGCCATGAAATTCTCTTGTTCGAAAGGGACATAAAGTAGTAAATGGCTGTAAATAAAATTAGCCGCATCCGAATCGCTGTGAAAAGGGGGGCTTTTGACTACGGCAAACTTGTCTCTTTCTCTCCACATTCCCATTCTTCTGTCTTTTAGGTAGAATGGTCGTGGTCTCGTAGAAGTAGAACGTGTTTGTTGATCTGGATCTTCACCCTCGTCAAGGTCGTCGTCTGGATGCTGGAAATTTCGGACAGGCTGATACTTTGAAGCGAACTCGAAAAGAGATATGCTGGCCAGGTCGTCAGGACGGTTACAATACTTATCGATGATGTTGCTGCAAAAGAAAAATAAGTTGGTTAACTATTTAATTTTAGTCAATGTTAAAACTTGTTTTAAAAATATACCTAGCAAACTGAACTTCTTCTCGTTCCAAGTAAACATTTTTCTTTAACAGCCGTATACGATCCCCAGGAAGGTATGTGGGGATGAAGACAAACCCACGTGAACTGTGTCGCATAGGTAGATGCACCATTCGATAAGCAGCTTCTTGTGACCCAACTGTTCGGCGACTCAATAAAAGACGAGCCACCTAGAAACAAAAGATCAAAATCATTTTTAAGATGCCGATGTACTTGCACATTAATTATTTTCAGTGCAATTGGGTGATAATTATTAATTACCTTTTGCATTTGCGCGCGGATGTGTTGACGGCTGTCTCGTAATGTTTGAAGGGTGTGGCGAATATCATCACGGAGGGTTTCAGGCTCATTCTTTCCGATATATTTTGCAATATATAGTGCCACTGCTGCAACACCAGTTACGACTTGGATGTCCATGTTGCAACGAAGGAGATTCAAAAGTTTAGGGTGATAATTGTTTACCCTCTCTTCCCCTTTTCGTCGACGTAAGAGAACGCCGTGCCCTTTGCTACATTCTTCAGAGACTAGTGTCGTTTCGGCCACTAATTCACGAGGGAACCCAAATCGACACTCGGAACCTTTTTTGAAGCATGTTGGTGTATCCTTATGCCATTGATACCGACGTACGACATCTTCCATCCCACTTCCGTCCAGCCTGCAGGACACGTTGCGGTCCAAAAATCGTGTGGTCGGTCGTGAGTAACTTAATTAGTTCTTGAGTCCTGAGGTTGAAGTGACGAGCAGCGGCAACCGGATTGGAATTTAATAGCTCGCGGCGTGTGTCAAATGGAAGATCTTGTATATTATCAGGGGGTTGATCATTTCTCGCATGAGATGCCTTCCACATGGCATTTAGAACGTCTGGGGAGCCCATGTCGTCATATGAAACAGTGAGGAAAAATGTTGGGGGACCAAGTCGGGTTACCATTGCCATGATGTCTCCAGTGTATTTCTTCCAATATGATCTGGACCCACGAATTGCGCTCATATACAAATGCAAATTTTCAGCGGCCGGAGCGTTGTTGTTATCCTCACTTTGATATTGCATATTCCCACAAATATTGATTTTGGACTGGATAATTGATTCCTCAGATCTTGACAGAGCATAGAATAGATAATCGTTGCCATGAAAACGTGAATCAGCTGACATAATTCTAGTTTGGAAATATGTGTGTGTAGTTAGACGGAGACGTTGATCTCGCTCTTCATCCAAACCAAATTGGCCATGAGGGAAACATTTAATGAAGCATTTCTCTTCCAGGTGATTTTCATCGTTTACACGAACAGGTGGGGCGCCTGTTCGATTGAGAGTGAAGGACTCGAATCTTGGCTCGATAAAGTCTACAGGATGTAACATAGTCCTCCAGAGCTTCTTCGCCAAATTCCACGGGTTCTTGAGGCTCGAGATTCTCGACTATTGGAGCTGGTTCTTCGGCAGGTAGATTATGGTGTGGAACATCATCAAGAACAGTAACATTGAGAGGAGTTATTGTGATGATTGAAGAATTACGGCCAGCGACACAATTTTTGTTGACGAGAAAGCTGATGTGGTTGATACCGACTGGTTGACGTCGATCGATTTTCAACACCACGGCCTTGGGATATCTTGCTAATGATATATGACCTTGTTTGCTCCGAGCGTGGCTGTCGAAATAATACAGGAAATCCCCACTGCGGATGAGTCCCATCGTATACGCCCCTATAGAAAATTAAGTAATTATCAATACTAGTGACCTTATGAATATTATAGGGTATAATTTACCAGCTGTGAGCAGGCCGTAATTTGAAGGACCCGTAAGGAACTGAGAAACTGCGGTGGCAACTGAATTATTTGTTACCGGTTCGGCCTCCAGCATAAACCTATCAAATGCTCCATAAATGACAGTACCTCCATCGATTAGTTCGATACGTACAATTTTGCCGTAACAATTATTTACATCTCCGACAATTTCGTCCGCGGCCAGATGATTTTCATTTGCAATGGTACGAGATGCACCTGATGGAAAATACAATTTGCTATTAAATTAAATTATTGTCAATTAAAATTAAATTTGCAAGCAGAATATATTACGCGTTAGATTATTGCGACATTGATTGTAATAAAAGTCGCCCTCCGTCATAATTCGATCCCCGTCTGAGATGGTCCAGCTCTCTGGTGGTTTAACTGCTGCATATGCCGTTGCAACACCACAAATTGCTGTACATTGCTTTCCAGCTGAGTCCCCAAAGATTGACGCAGTTTGACAGAAACTCAACTCCAACGACGACATCCACGGTTTGCCTGCCACGTTGGCGTAAGAATTCTGTATTCGGTGTGCTCGGCGTCTAATATTTGCAACAGGACTTGGGGTACAGCAAGCTTCCTCTTGTTGAACCACGACATCCAGAATCCTAATTCCATCCACATTAAATTGGTCGATTGTGACATTGGAGTAGCCTGGGTTATGGATCAAGAGCCACTCTAGAGCCTCACGAAGTTCTGTGAAATATTGTTACAATTAATTTTTTTGTAGGGAATTTAGTTAACATCTTGGAGTAAATATTTGAGCACTGACCCTGTGGACGAATCTGGTAAGTAGCGGAGTGGGGAAAGTTTCCAACATGTTCTTTTACTATAATGGTCCCGTAATTGTTGTCTGGTCCGAGTCTTAGCTGTTCTTGTACCTCCTCCACACTTTGGGCAAAGTGAATGACCTGCCCTCGCAACGCTGATTGACCCCTACCTCGACCCAGCTTGTAAATTTTTAAAAATGCCTTGGCTCGACTCACACATCTGGACTCAACATCAGATAATTTGATGATAACTTCCGGCGACGCTGGTACGAACATGTTGTTAAGAAGAGCTGCAGCTGGCACTTTTCCTTTCTTCAGATTATCATGACAACGCCAACAACAGTCTATGATTTCCAAGACTAATGGTAGGAGATGTACCTTCACTAGAGGATCATATTTGTTGGGGACGGCGGCAAGGAGGTCATGCATTGTTTGAGTTACAGTAAGCGGTCTGTGTAAATAATTGTTAGTATTTATCAAAAAATAAATAAATCGTTAATGATTATTGTGTTTAAATATAATTTCAAAATACTTACCGAATGCCTTTATTATACCAAGTACGGTCACAAATTCGACATTTCCTGTCTGCAGCTTGATTGATGTTACACTTGAATAAAATTTGCTGCGGTGTATCCTCCAAACAATTTTCAGGGCGTATTTCGACGTCGGTGGCACTAACATCCGGTAGCTTGTTAGTGTCGTCATGGGAAGTTGCGGCACGCTTTCGATCCTTAAAGTATTTTCGCTTTTTTTGTGCTCTGGTAGGCATTTTTAAACTTTTTTCGAAAACTGTTAATTTAAATAATATTTAGAACCACCACAGGTGGTAGAGTAATGGAGTATAACAGTGATGTGTTATTGTTGATTCCCACTCACCCTGGGGTATAAAGAGACGTTGTTTTTGGTTAACTTGATGCAATAATCAATTTTTGTGAATTATTCAACTACTCTTCCTCCTACGCCAATTTCAAAAATTTATTAGGTAAAGCACCTCCTCGCACATCTAAGGAACAATATTACGTCGAGATTGGCTCAAAAAATTGAATCACTTAGGCTGTACACTGTTTACAATGAAGTGACCCAAAATTGGACATTTTGAATTTTAGCGCCTCAGGAAGGCTTTAATTCGAAAAAATCGCCAAATTAATGTTGTAGCCAGATCAATTGTGGATATAATTGCAATTTCCTTCAACTCTCTATCTCGCACCCAATTCATTCACGATAACATTTAGTAATTTTTGTCGCAAAAACACGTTTTAGTGGATATTTAAGAAAGTTTTCAAAATTTCGAAAAACGGCTCGCGTTGTCCTATCCTTATTTTTCGAAATGGTCCTAATGCTCTTTACCGCAACCTTGTATCTCTTAAGGGGCCGCCACACGGTCAAAAAAAATTTACATTGAGCTTGTGGTGAAAACATACTATACCTTTCACATACATACTACCGGCAGTAGTAAATATGGGGAAAAAATAGAAAAACAACACAATAAGCACAACACGAACAATAATGGAGAGCAATAATTCCGTCGCCAGGACATGCTTTATTATAAACAACGACGCTTTCCAACCGCAGTACAGTGGTCGTCCATCCACAGAGAGACGAGATTCGTATCACTCATTATCTCATCATCAAAAATCAACTACTTTTGCATTCAGTCTCATAATAATAACATGCTATTTACAACATAGCTTCAGTGCCATACTCGTCCAGCGTGTGCTTCCACATATTATTTCGACATTAAATTAGTATTCGTGGCAGGCAGGAGTAGCAGCATTCAGCAGAAAATAGTAACGTGAGACCGAGGAGGCGAACATACTGTCGGAGGGGAGGACGTTGTAGTGGTAAGTAGAAAAACGGTACTGCTTTCCCTTTTCTCATTTCATTCATGCACATTCTCTCCCGAAAACCGAATTCGGTGACTTGCTCCTCGTTCGGTCTGAAGAGGGAGTTTCCAATTATGCTGCATATCACTGCTCCTTCTGAACTTGGGTGAACTCTTGTGGATGTGATTTCTCTCGAAAAACCGAACCTTATTCTACTGCATTTTCCTCTCCACAACCCTTCGGCATGAGTACTGTTGCTGTCTCCGGTTGCGGTGACTAACCAGCAAACATTCTCACATCGACTTAATAAGAGGCAGACATAAGAGGCCTTCTCTTGAAGTGGTGAAGATCTGAGGTTTGTGTACTCGTCAATTTGCAACAAGGTGTGAAATATAGGAGGAGGAAATTTGGTAAGTGAAAATATTTAGTGGGATAATATTAACTTAATTGGCATGATCAAGGAAGAATAATTCATGAAAAGGGAGACTAGTACGTACGTATACTGACTGGCCGGCATCTCGTCCTATCTGTCATCGACATGGGCTGATCTCTCTCATATAAACAAATTAATGCAATGTAAACTAGTCTTTTACAAGGCTTCGTTTTTTGGACTTGTTTATTATCTTATCTACCACCCTGGTTTTAAGAGGAAAGGGAGAAATAGAGAGAGAGAGATGAACATGAAAATGCGGCACTTATTTGCACTGAAATGTGCAAATAGATAAGCTGCACATATGTATCTACGTCCATTAAAAGTACAATGACATTTCTTATTATGTAATCTGACAGAGACGCGCCTGTCATGTCACAAATATGATATTTTTGAACTTGACAGGACAGGATGAATAGCAATGATGATGCTGGCATAAGAATGACAATGGACTCGCAATAATCTTATAGCTAGGCCTCTGGTTTTAGTCGTTGAATTTGTAACAAAGAGGCGCACCTGGTCAACGACTAATAGCAGAGGAATTGTGAGAATAAAGTATATTCATGACTTTTGTTGGTGGTTGGTTTGGGTGGGAAGATTGCACCTCTCTTGGCAGTTGCAAGCCGGTAAATAGCTACAGTTTATTGTCTCCTCGCTCGCTCGCCGGTTATATTTCTGACTATATTTCTGACTGACTAATTTGGGTGAAAGAGGTTAGTTTTCGAGCACAAATTCGAAATATGGTTGAAGTTTTATGCAAAACTGTTAGTAGGAAACTTAAGCCACATACATCTAATTGAATTTATATTATTTGTTTTCAGGTTAGGAACATTGACGGTTATAATTGACAGTTGTTGAAAAAGTTTGAAAATATGTCGTCCCAACGTGGTGCATCTGGTGGTTCCAATCCGGTCAAAAAGGTCCCAATTCATCTCCAGGTTTGTGCTTTGCATTGTTAATCAAATAGTTTTTCATATATGAATAATCGATGTTCATTTCAGAGTTCTCAAAATCGGTTGATTTTGAAATCTGGTAAGATTGTGAATGCTGATGGAATGACGGATGGAGATGTCTTTATTGAGGACGGATGTATCAAGTAAGACATAACGAAGTATGATTATTTTGTTTGGTTGGATGATTGATTGATTGATTGTGTTTTATTTCGCAGGGAAATTGGAAAAAATCTGATTATTCCTGGTGGAACAAGGAGTATTGATGCGAGGGGAAAGTATATCATGCCTGGTGAGTCGATAGTTATTGGTTGCATGCCTAAAGCAAATAAATATATCGCTTGATTCCTTTAATAAATGGACGAATGGTAATCATATTTCAGGGGGTATCGACGTCAGCACTCATTTCCAGATGCCTTGCATCGGAATAAAATCTGCTGATGATTTTTACACCGGAACGAAAGCTGCCGTGGCTGGAGGAACTACCATGATTTGTATGTTTCTAACTTTAATGTATTTTATATCATCCTGTCATGTAAGAAAAATTTTGCAAGTGGTTTTTGCATTTCTACTTTGCAGTTGATACTGTTGTTCCTGAGAAAGGAGAATCTCTTTTGGATGCATATGGCAAATGGCGAACTTGGGCGGAAAATCAGGTCTGCTGTGACTATACAGTTCGTGTGGCTCTAACCTCATGGTCTGAGAAGGTGAGAAATTTAAACTATTGAAAACTTATGGTTGTATTACAAATCTAAGACTTAATATGTACCTTGTCATTCCAGGTTAAAGGCGAGATGGAAGTTTTGGTTCGGGATCATGGCGTCAACTCGTTCAAGATTTACATGTCCAATAAAGATGAATCAATGCTGAGAGACAATGAAATTTACGCTGCTCTGGAGACTTGTAAGAAACTCGGTGCGCTTGCACTGATTCATGCTGAAAACGGAGATATTATTGCAGAGGTTAGTTACATATGCATAATATAAGTAACAAGAAAGGTACATATATTCTGAATTTGTGTAATTACAGAATTCAAAGAAAATAATTGCTGCTGGCATCACCGGTCCTGAAGGACACGAATTGTCCCGGCCTGAAGAAGTTGAAACGGAAGCGACCCATCGGGCATGTGTTCTTGGGAGCCAAGTCAACTGTCCCGTGTACGTCGTCCCTGTGATGAGCAAGAGTGCAGGGGATATCATTGCTGAGAAACGTCAACAAGGTTGTGTTGTCTTTGGGGAGGCGATCGCAGCCAGCGTTGGAACCGATGGAACCAACTACAGAAATCCCTCATGGCGTCATGCTGCGGCTCACGTTGTTAATCCACCACTGCGACCTGATCCAGAGACACCTGCACATCTCTTGAATCTCTTGGCTCGGTAATTAATAATTTGATTGATCTCTACGAAAACAAATCAAATCTATTATGTGGAGCCTATTCAATTGTCTAAAATACTCTTTCTTAGGGATGACTTGCAAGTTGTTGGATCTGAAAATTGTACGTTTACTCATGAACAAAAGAAATTGGGAGCAACCGATTTTCGAAAAATTCCAAGTGGAGTAAACGGAGTTGAAGATCGAATGTCTGTTGTGTGGCAGAAGGGAGTTCAAGAAGGTCGGATGGATCCAACCCGATTTGTTGCTGTTACTAGCACAAACGCAGCCAAAATTTTTAATGTCTTCCCTCAGAAGGTAAGAATATACTCATAATCTCACAAAGTAATAGATAACAAGTAAAACATATATAAATTATTATACAGGGCGCAGTGTTGGCTGGATCTGATGCAGATCTCGTAATTTGGGATCCACGAAAGACCAGGACAATCTCGGCCAAGACGCATCATCATGCCACGGACAACAACATTTTTGAAGGCATGACTTGTTTCGGTGAGTAAATGTTTTGCTTTTTCCTGTAGGTTAGTGAGGGATAACAAATGGATTCAAAAGAATTTTCGTAGCAATATCCAGTGCACAAATTGTATCTGCAGCTTTCATGCACAGTAAGGTACTAATTTTTTATCATTATCCTTCTGTGTAGGTGTTCCTGAATATGTCATCTGCAATGGGCGTGTTTGTGTCGATGAGGGTCAGGTGAAAGTGCTGCAAGGGTTTGGAAACTTTGTTCAAACTCCACCATTTGCTCCATTTGTATATGATTTGATCAGAGATTCGGATCAGGTACACAACTACCTGATACTTAATTGTATAGTATATTTCATATTAGAAATTTCAAAAAAATCGTATTTAATTTAAGAAGAATGATCGTGATTGGTGTGAAAGTAGAATAACAATTTCGTGTTTCTTCTCTTTGTCTTACCCAATGAATAGAGGAAGCTTGCTAAACTGAAGCCCGTTCTTCGGGATGGAACTGACGGAGAGATGATGAGCAAAGTACAAAACGGGGTTGAACATGTTCATGTATCCGAGTCTCCAAAGCCAGTGACTAATTCTGGTGGTGGGGGGTTTTATGACAATGCAAGAAAGGAATCCGTACAGAGCCTTCCTCCTCCCACTCCGGTAGAAGAGATCATGGTAAAGTCTCCATCTGGGGTGCGTAACATGCAAGAGTCCACACTGGACAAGGAGCGTAAGTCTTTATTAATAGTTCATTTAATTTATTTGTTCGTTACTGCAATGCGTTGCACATTTTGCTTCAGTGTTGTTGATTTATTTTGTTGGCTGTGCCTGTGCACCCATTTACACTTTATTTTGCCATTATTTGTAATCAGCTAAAATTGAAGAGATAGAAAAAATTGAGGTGCCAGCCCCTGCAGTGAAACTAATTGAAGAACAAGCTGAACCTCAGCGAGCCACCATCCGAGTGAAGGCTCCACCAGGTTAGCGTCACTAATTTATTAATGCAAACCCGTGATATCTATAAAAAGTATTGAGAACAGTCAGAAAGAGATGAACAAAAAAATGACTAAAAGAGAAAGACGGCTTACCAAGGATAAGCTATGCTTCAATTAAACAATAGAATTTGAAAAGAGTCAATTAAATAGATCCTCATTGGGAACTCGTATTCAAAAATGTGCATGATCCTTGAAGTTCTTGAATTTACTATTAGGAAACTAAAGTCCTAAATCCAATTCCTTCGAAATATTTTGCCATTCTGACAAAAATTGCATATATCAAATCCATTTTCGTTTAAAAATAATCGATATTGGTAATTTAAAAACATTAGTAATTTACTACTATTAAATAATCAGAGCAAGAATTTCAAATTATGCACAAGTAGATTTTTCCGACTGCATTTATAGTATTACTTAAATCATGTTTCTGACAGTCTGACACTATTATAAATATTTTATTTCATATTTTATTTCTATATTAATGTTCCTACCAGGAGGATTCTCTTCCGGTCTTTGGTGAAATGCCTGCGATTCTCAAAAAATACAATCCTATACTTTCTCAAAGTACAACACAACGAATTGAGTGCCAACCCAATCCAGCTAGTATTAAAAAAGCTATAGAAGCTAAAATCCAGAATTCCTGTGTGTCACCAATCCATGTCCTAATTTTTTGTATTATTGCATTTTTGTTTGCCACTTAATTATGCTAAACGCACTTGTTAATTATTTACAGCTTTTTATTACTGAATAAAAACATTTGCATTTTTGATATCTATTATAAAAATAATGAATATATTTTAATGTTGATTGGATATAAATTTATGAAATTATAGCGGCGGAGGCTAAGACTACGGTGAGAGTTCGACAACCACCGGGTGGGAGGTCATCAGGCTTGTGGTGAATCATCCCCTCGTCCTCTTTCTGAGACGACTTCATTCTGTTTGTTCGTCAAAAAAACATGATTAGACCATTAATCTCGAAAGCTACTACAGTTTTGAATTTGATTGACGCCAGTGATTGTGAGCAGCTTCCATTTATTATTACATTTTACCCAAGCGTGCAGAGTATAGAATATTCCCTATTATACAAGTAATTATTACATTACTATCAGCTATGGTTATTAGCTTTACAAGCAACTTCCTATGATTATTATGCTAAGCAATAATATGTCAACCTGAAATTCTGGCATTGTGTCTCTTCCCACTCCGAAAAAAATGACAATTTGAAGAGATTTTCCTATTTTTTAATTAAGGATATTACCACCACGACTTCCTATAAATAGACCGTAGCCAGGTAGCCGATGTGATGGTGAAAGCTTTATTTCTTATGGGAAATGAGGTGATGATGAGTGGGTTGGACTTTACTGGTAATAAGACTTATTTTGCCACGTCTGCAGCTATTTATTTATTATATGAGTAGGCGTTGACTGCGTGTGTGTGGTGATGTCGCCTTTTGTGGTCCTATATTAGCAGCGAGGTCAGATGAGAGAAAGTAAAGTTGGACATGTTGTTCGTTGCTACGGCCGACCGACTCCTGCCTACCTGCCTACACTCCCTTCTCAAGTTTCATACTTTGCTAATGGTGAAAGCAGCGTGATACAAGTGAGATGATGACGATGAAGAAGATGAGGTGATGATGTGCACGTGTCCCACCCCAGACCAAGGATGATAATGATACAGAAAAATAAACTTTCACGAAAAAAACTGCCTTTCTGATAAAGTAAAGAGTCGTAGAAAATTACTCTTCTTGTTGTTCTTCTCGTCAAACATGAATGACGCTATTGCATATTATAAATCCTCCATATCTATCTTTTTTTTACAAAATGTATGCAATTGGTATCATGCGATGGTGATGATGATGATGATAATGGTCGTGGTGATCACGTAAATTTTGGATCTTGTAAATGTGAATGTGTATGGAAAAGCTGTAAATAAAATAAAAGTCTTGTAATGCGGAATATAAAATGGAGATATTAGTCTCAAAAAGTGAGATCTCCTCGTTGCTAAACTTACTATTCACTATATGCTCAAAAACTCCTATATACTACTGCTCACCCTACATACTTTATAACTTAATAAGCACCACCTCGTCTAGCCCCCTGACCTTTTACCCTGCAATATAAGTAGTTTCACTCAAATGGACTTTGCAATTTGTTTGGTCGTCGTGGTTCTCTTTTGTAAGCATCAAGTATGAATTTCTGGGAGAAAGTTCTCCAACTCTAGTCAGACTACAAACCCTCATTCGTAAATATATTAAGTAGTTAAGGCTATACTACTTTGAAGGATAACACCAACCGTGCTTATTACATTACACAATTCACAATGAACCAAATCAACCCAACAGAGGAGAAAGTTGTTATCATTGCTTCCATTTTTTCGAACAGGGATTCAACGGATCTAGCCATAGTGGTGGTGGTGGTTCTTCTGGTAGTGGTGGTTCTGGTGTGTGGAGAAAGTTTCTGCTTTCATCAGCACTCGTAGAATAAAAAAAAACTCGACAACTTTCAAGTGGAGGCAGGAGTTAGTTAGCAGGAAAAAGAGAGAAAGGCGTTGAAGCCCAGCCAAACCAACCACCATCGTCATCGTCGTCCTGCTTTCTCCCCCGCCCACGGCCTGCCTTTCTCTAACTGTGCAATGATATGTGACCTAACGTGCCAGTTGGAGTTCATCTTCATTATTTCAACTCAACTTTCAAATTTTAAGCGGATCGATCCAAGTTGATTTAGTATTTACATTTTAAAATTTGATGCTGTCTCGTATGTGCAATCATAATATCCGCTCAAAATAACTTAAAAAGGTCAGACGAGGGTTCAACTACGATTATTCTTATTATTTATTTAGCTATTAATACACTTCTTTTGTCTCATCATGTGAATTTCGACTGGAATATGGAGCGATAAACCTTCCCTATCTCCTCTCATCATCGACCTCTCGTCCCACGTAGTTATGTTATGTATGTACATACACGTAACTCAACAACACAATGGTAGAAGATTGCCCATTTTTTAGCCATTCCTTATTTTTCTCCTTCAAATGGATACAATTTTCAGCCCATTCTGCAAAACAAGTCTTGCCTGCGTGGCATTAGGAGTTTGGAGAAAGGAGAAGAAAAGGCAAAAATTCTCATTAAAATTCACTTTCTCTCTTTGCATTGATGTCTTTGTCATTTGTTAGTCCATAAATGTTCTCGGAATCACCAGTGCTTTCCAAAATTACATTTTCTTTATAAACGGAGAATAACGAGGTAGACAAAGAAAAGAGAGAGCAGTTTTCGACCCAGATTTCGCCAGTTCCCAGTTGTATAATTTGCCTTATTTACAACATAGTAGGCAGAAAGAGCATGCAAGCAGTAACCTAACCTTCCGACTTTCCGACCTCTCTAATATGCATCCGATCCTCAATGTCCCACTACTTTGGCAGTAGTTAATGTTTGGCTGGGTGTTTCGGGCTGTCCATCATTCCCGAGGTCACGTCCCCCTCGTCAAGGGGACTACTTCTACCCCCCACAAACTGACCGTAACCATCTCATCATTTAATTTCACGTTATCGGCCACACTTTCCGTGAAGGTTCCGCACCCAAAGTCTGGAATGTGTGTGTATCTCTCTGCCTCTCTCTCTCTTGCTAAAAGTTTGTGTGTAGTGCTGGAACAAGTTAAGTAATAATACGAGCACAGAAGTGGAGTGTCTGTAGTCGTCGTGATGTGATGTTACATTTGCTGGAAGAAGGAAACTATTTTGTGTGTGCAGAAATCTACTTGTTCTTCTTACTCCTACTTTCTGCTGGTCCTGTGTTCTTCTCTGTCTGCCTGGCGTTGTTTATGGAGAGAGAGGCATTCAAACTAGATCCACGACTGCAACACCAACCTCATTGCACAATCTACTTGGCGTGGGCTGGCTGATTCCACTACTGAGACTGAGACATCCAGCACACGACGACGAGTTTACATCCTCCACTTTTTATCTCCTTTTTACAGCACAATTAACTATTAAGTAAGTGTGTAGGTAGGTAGTGATGACCATCGAATAGTACCGTAGGCTAATTAGGGTTAATAGTCTCATAAATGTTGCCACACTGCAACTGCTGATCTTCTATAGGCATAAGTAAAAGACTAGACTTTCTCCTAACTTCACATCAGTCATCAGTGAAAGTCCTGTCGGGAGGCGTTTTTTGGTAAGTTTTCCATTTCAGTGGTATATTTATATGTGCATATGTACATGTGACGGAAAGGAGGTTTTTGTTTTTGGGCTGGTTGCTGAAATTGTGGATGTGCCATAGAGGAGTAGTGTTTGATGTTTGTTTCTTTTATGAGCACAGGTGTCACAATTTCAACAGACAGTTTCTGAGAATAGGGTTGGTTTCGTGATATGGTTGACTTGGTCAAATTTTGGTTCGCCCACTTCCTGCCAGTCAAGTCAGCCAGCTCTGTTTACCAATATTATCCAAACTATAAACCCACCACTATTATGCATTATGCATAATTAATTAATATAGTGTTGTCCCACTGCTGAATTGTTTATTTCTTTGTTGGAATATTATATTCGTCGAATATCACAAGTTGTATTGTGCACTAGTTCATAATTGTTAATTGTGGCGTGGCTGTTGTTCATCTTTTAGGAGGAGTGACTTAATGCTGACAAAGTGAAGAAACTAATCAAATTCTGGAGGAACGGGAGTACAATGAAGAAGCACAAAAACAAACACGTGGAAAACAACGCTGCAGCAGAGAGGTTGGCTGATTATCGCGGCGAAAATGCCGGAGGGTTGGTTTTATTCTTTGGATGGCGAAATACTTTGCTTATCCATACGATGAGAACGAACAATATGCTGCTGGGCTGCTTAGAATTAAGCTTGGCTACACATTTATTAATGAGGTGGTATTTTGTGATTTGATTTCAGTGCTGTTAGTCCTAGTCCTGGCTCACCGGATGCAGAATCTAGTCTTGACCTGCAGGAATCATCTTCAGAAAAGGAACAGACGGCTCCCAGTGCGCCACCGGTGAAGGAAACTGCGAAGGTAAAATTAGTGAATTAATATTATTATAATATAATGAATAAATGTACATATGCATGCATATTCTCTGTAGGAAAAGAAATTGTCTTCCGGGTCTTTAGCAGTGGCAGAGACTGCGCGACCCAAGATGGTCACTGTTAAGCACCCGGAATCAAACAAACCAAAACCAACTGTGAAGAAGAACAAACCAATTCAAGCAGACTTGGATGTTGCAAAGGAATTTACAAAGTGTAAAGACGAACAGCTACATAGACTAGATTTAAGTAAATCAAGTGTAAGCGCACTCAACTGTTATAAATTCGAACTGATTTAATTGGGCAAGATTGTATGTCTTTATGGGATCCTTTTGATTTTGCAGATCACTCAAATTCCTTCATCGGTTCGAGAACTGACACACCTACTCGAATTTTATCTTTATGGTAACAAGTTGGTTACTCTACCAGTTGAAATGGGATCGTTAGTCAATCTACAAACTTTGGGTATGAAAAACATGAAGGCCGATTTAATGTGGTTATGTGGTTGTTAATAATTTGACTCGATTTTTTCCCAATCAGCACTCAACGAAAATTCGCTTACAAGTCTTCCTGATACGTTAGCAAATCTGAAAAATGTTAAAGTTCTTGATTTAAGGCATAACAAGCTCAGCGAGGTTGGCAAATTCATTTTAAATTAAAAAGTATGTTTTCAATAGGATAAATTTAGTAATCGTTGTAATTGCTCTTCACAGATTCCAGAAGTCGTGTACAAAATGACATCCCTGACCACGTTGTTTTTACGTTTTAATAGAATCCGTATTGTTGGTGATGACCTCAGAAATTTGACAGTACGAACTAAATTATACAGTTTTCCATAAAATTTCCAAATAATTGGTTTATTTATGTACGTGTGTTTTATTATTATTAGAATCTACAGATGCTAAGCCTCAGAGAAAATAAAATTAAGTCACTTCCTGCTGGAATTGGAAGCCTGGTTAATCTTGTCATGTTGGACATCTCTCATAATCATTTAGAACAGTAAGCAATAAATGATGGTTTCCAACACCTGATGAATCTCTAAAACTCACCATCACTTTTCCACTCTTTAACTCTGATTATTAATAAAATTCTGAACGACAAATTTGTAGTAAGCAAGTTGATTAATAGAATGGCTGTGAGTTTTTTAAACCAGTTTCAATGAGTTCTAATTTTTCTAAAGGCTCCTTAAATTGAGATCTCCTTCAATGACCATCAAAATCTGGAGTGTATATTTTTAAAAATTAGCCAGCTCTACAAATTTGTCGTCCAGAATTTTAAAACAAATTCCCAGTCCCGAGAAATGATTAAAAATGTGATGAGTTTGACGATTATGGCGATGAGCCATCGGACCCTACGTTAAGAGAAAGCTATCAAGCGGGTTCTGCTTCTTATCATAATTTTTTGTTATCGGGTCTAAAAATTAAAAACTAGAATCAGCAATTGAAATTTTGTAAAATCAAAGAGTAGAAAATTGTAAAATCTGTACCCTCTTGCACTATGACCTTGAGTTGAGAGGGCCATAATAATGCAGTGATGTTTTTTTGTTAGCCTTCCAGAAGAAATTGGGAAATGTATCCAGCTCTCTACACTCGATCTCCAGCACAATGAACTAATGGATATTCCAGATACTTTGGGAAATTTGAAGTCACTCACCAGAATCGGATTAAGGTTTGACATATAGAAAATAAAGCATTATTGCATCATTAGTTAATTTAAATAGCTAATCAATGTCCATCAATTTTACAGATACAATCGACTGTCAACTGTCCCAAAAGCACTAAGTAATTGCACAAACATGGATGAATTCAACGTGGAAGGGAATTCTATTTCTCAGGTATTAGCATGAAAATTTTTAAAAAAATTGCAAGATTCAAATAACTAGAATTTCATATCATGCCACATTTTTCTCAGTTACCAGAAGGACTTTTATCGAGCTTGACCAAACTGACGAATATCACTCTGTCAAGGAACTCTTTTTCGGCCTATCCTACTGGTAACATCTAATGATTTGATTTGAATACAATGTTCTGACATTTTGAACCATTCTCCTTTGTTTTGCTACAGGTGGCCCAGCCCAGTTTACTAATGTTTATTCAATAAACATGGAGCACAATCAAATTGATAAAATTCCCTACGGAATTTTTTCTAGAGCCAAAAATTTAACAAAGCTCAATATGAAAGAAAACTCATTGACATCGCTGCCTCTTGGTAATAATAATAACATGCATAGACTCAATTACCGAGATCTATCCAATCCTAACTCCAGTCTAATTATTTCATAGACATTGGTACATGGACAAATATGGTAGAGTTAAATCTTGCAACAAATCAACTGTCAAAAATTCCGGATGATATTCAGTGTCTGCAATCTTTGGAGGTGTTAATCATGTCAAACAATAACTTGAAAGTATGCCGAGCTATTAATTTAAATTATTATTATTCCATAATTTATAATAATAATTTAATGACTGACTTTATTTTACTTTCAGAAATTGCCGGCTAGTATCGGAAATGTTAGGAAATTGCGGGTTTTAGACTTGGAAGAGAATAAACTGGACTCATTACCTAATGAAATTGGATTTTTAAAAGACTTGCAAAAGTTGATTCTCCAATCAAATCAACTCGCGTGTCTCCCGAGAGCCATTGGGTATAAATCAATATCAATAGCATATAAATTCAGCATGACAGACCATCATTTGCCATTTAGTCTAGTCACAACTTTCTCTTGCACTACAACTTTATAATAAGGTTGCAAAGTACTAAATATATGTATAGACATATGTTTCATGTCCATACACAATAGATTTACATATTGTCAGATAATTTACTAGCACTATAGGACATACCTACATTGGTGTCGTGATCTCATGCTCTATATAATCCTATTCTCACAACTACATTTGCAAATGTTGATGGCTTGATTTCCTATTCTAACTCTTTTGGCTTAATTGATTTAATTATAATTTTCACAGCCATCTAATGAGCTTGACTCATTTGAGCGTCGGGGAGAATAACCTTACAAGTCTACCCGAAGAAATTGGAACACTGGAAAATTTGGAAAGCTTGTATGTGAATGATAATCCGTTGCACTCATTGCCGTTTGAGTTAGCACTGTGTACTAACTTACAAATAATGAGTATTGAAAACTGTCCATTGACCCAAATACCGGGCGATGTAATCGCAGGAGGTCCTTCCTTGGTAATTCAGGTACCGATTCCTCAAAATTTATAGCCACCACTCTTGGGCACTGAATTAATGAAATGACTAAAAATATTTTTTTAAATACTTTTTTTAGTATCTGAAGGTGCAAGGTCCGTACCGACTCGCAGTTTAGAAACAAAAACAAAGAAAAAGAACGTACAGCAAGTTATTTTGCTGAACAACAACGACATTCATTATTGTTTGTTTGTTATTAATTTCGAACTTATTGTTGCAAGTCTTAAAAAAGTATGTTACTACATTATATAGGCACTGAGCCTATTTTCTCTACTCAAGTTTACGTTTCTCAAAAAAACATACATACAAATAACTGATTTCATTTGTAGACTGAGCTTTTCAAGTTTTCTTTTAATTTTTATTTATTTATAATAAGTTCCCATTATACGTTTATCCCTAATGTACTTTCGTGTTGAATTTAACAACAGCGTTTACACATATATATGTTTTGTATTTTTGGTCAAACATTATATACTGTTAATTATTGCAAATTACTAGCCAGACGATGAGTTATACCACAGTTCCTCTTTGAATCTTAATGTTCTTAAACATTAAACCTTGTTTAAGTATACTATTATTATTAATAAGTATGTATGTGTAATACATTTACGTCATGTAACTTGTCAGATAACAATCGACAAGTTTAGTATTCTGCAGTGCAGCACATTACAGCGTATTACTTCAGTACTGAGGTAACCATTATTCTACGTCAGTTGTTGGACATGTTTAACCAATTATGTAACAAAGTACTCTTACACTTGGACTACGGTGGGCAGAATGTGATAACTTTTTTTAATTACAAATTTCCAATATGGCGGAAATCCTGCGAAAGTATGGTACCTATTTATCGTGATGATTATACATGTAGATGCTTACATGCACTCTCTTTGTTGTCAAGTTCATTTCCTAATAGCCGTTTCATCCAATATTTTGAGTCTTTCTCTCGCCCCTTTCACTGGTTTTTTCGTTGTTCAAGTACAATCATGTTCAGATATATATTTCAATCAGATAAATGTATTATTATTATTTATAATTCACAATTTCCACGAACGCACAGTACCGGTAATATGACAATCTAGGAATAGATTTCCTCACTTTGCGTTTATGATAAGAATGCGTTTGGTTCTTAGAAATGGGTTCTTGAAATATTATTGTTTTCATCATTCTTTTAGTTTCTAGCAATTCTTCTGAAATATTACAATTAGCGTAATAATCACTATGTGAAAAACAAATGGAATGTTACCCATTGGTGAAATGACCATCAAGAGACAGAATAAATACAAGCTCCAATCAAACAAACACATATAATCTGGTTTTCTTTCATGTCTATCGCTTTCTTCCCACACATGACACATTTGACATTTCATGATCAACTGGTGCATGATATTTAAATATGTTTCTATCAAGTTTTATCATGGTGTCTAACTTTATAGGTATATTCCTAACTAAATTTTCAACCCACATACTCAAATTTGAGTCAACAACGTCGTCGAGAATCTCACAAAAATTATGTTTAAAACAATGGGCTCACAATAGATAAGACACACAGTAACTAACAATAAGCTTAGCAATGCTTGCTTTCATGGAAAGGGAGGGTCACGATTGGAAAGGACTAGGTCCATTAATCCTAGGTAATAGAGTAAATAGAGTAAAAATACTGCCCCTTATTTAAAACCTACAGTTTTCTACAAGGCACCTGTCATTATTTACCTGCCATGTTTTGTTTTTTTTACCGTCATCTACAATTTCATTACGGCAAACAATAATATTTTCAGTTTTATGGAAACTTGAGAAGACACGGAAAGACGTCTTTCTCTAGTGAAAGCAGTCCATTACTTGCATGCCCATTCTCAAATGTATTTATTGATATTTCTAAATTCACCTAATCTGCATTTATTTTAAGCCTTGTTGGCATGTGTCGTTTCGTTGGATAACGAATTTTTGTAAGCAGAATATGAACTTCTGATCATCACAAATAATGAACTCGTTTGTGCAAGTACTCAATACAACCCACTGTATGAGTGCACCGTATCATTGTTTTAGAAAAGTGTCCTTTTTCCTGTATTCGGTTACTTAGAATCTCAGGAGAAGTAATGGAATGGAAAACAATACATTGGTAACAATGTATTGTTTTCCATTCCCAGGAAAACGTTTTGAGATTATATTTCAGTTTTCTTTCCGGTGTAGTATAAAACTTTTGGTGAAAAATACAGTTACAGCAAAAAAAATGTGACTATAAAAATTGTCTATATAGCTGAATCAGTATCTATTTTCTGAAAATGCTAAATATACTTCATGACAAATTAAGTAAAACTCCTTACCTTCAATATTTCACCGAGTTGGGAAGAGATGATATATTCAAGAGGAGACGAAAATCTCACTATTCCCACAATTTAAGATCTTGGTCAATTCCAAACGGACCGTACTTTCTCCAATGTTTTGAATAGCTGTCCTGTAGTTGCTGTAGAACATTGATTGGTAGCAAGTTATTAATTGCCTTATCAATTTCCTAATCTCCGACGAGAGTATTAAATAATCCCGTGGGAGAGAAAGCAGCAGCCGCGAGAGAATGGGACCAGCTCCCAGATGTGTATTCTCTTGGAGAATATTACTAATTTTCTGGCGTGTAGATTAACCAGAACGAACGACTCAAAAGTGATGTCGAGAGGGAAGGAGTTGTTCAGCATCATCTTCCTGATCCTGTTTGGTTCCTTCTACTTATTTGAAAAATTAATCAATAAACACGAAAGTCCAATGTATAACAATACAATTTCTACATTATAGTTGTTTTTAAGCTACGACAAGAAATGAACCAACTTACTTCGTCCAGTTGATGCTTCCATCCAGCCAGAGTCAGAGATGATGACTGCGGATTTAGAGGAAGACGAAGAAGAAAGCTAAATATGACACATGGCTTGGCGTGTCCTATGCATTCTTAATTTTACACAGTTTCACAATACTGAAGGGTTGATTTGGAAATTAAATTACAAAGTTTGCTCCTCATTAGCACTATGGTATGATACCTGTAATTGGCCAAATAGGAGATCATGCATAGAAATGAATGAAATTGGGAAGACACAGCTCGTTTCATATTTATTATTGTTGACTGCCTGACTGGTCTTTTCATACGCTCGAGTTCCACATTTCTTACATTTATACAAAATTAATGATGTTGGATTGCAACATCAAAGTTTAAAAGTTTCCTGTGATATAAACTTTTCTAGATTTACTGTAATAATAACTACCTAACGAAATGATAACTTGGATCTAAAAGTAGCTCGTACGAGTGGGATGTTTTTGTTCTCTTCAACAAAAAATATTATATTTCATCATCACGTAATAATGAAGATTCGATGCCTTATTTCGCAATAGGAATGATGCTCATTTAATTTTGCTAAATAATGAAAAAGAAATAATTGAATTGCAAAATATCTCTTGAGATGAGATACCGGTAAGATTTCTGTCTGTACATGACAGCCATACACAATACCCCTGCGAGAAAGTGGAACGCAAGTTGGAATCTTTACAGGCATAAAGGGTGGATTTAAAAGTTGGGAAAACGCTAATTATAGTAATGATTGACTATAACACGGTGTTTCTCATGAGGTGAAGTTTGACGAATCTGTTGTAACTACAATATAAGATTAGTCATTTAACATTACAGAAGAAGGGAAAGTACCCAACAAGTTGAAACATACGAACATGATTATTAGCCTTCCATACATGCCCCACTACAAACAAGAGTTTGATGCCTTTGTGTGAAAAGAAGAAATCATAGATGAGATTGGGACATGTTAAAATTTCACCATATTCAATCTCGATCTCTTTGCTTTTACGCAGGCCATTTGGAGTGAGGGAAGGAGAACGAGTGATACAAATACAGGGATACACAAGTCTTCCTTTCTTATTGCGACGACTTTCCCTCCTCTTATTTTAATCCCTTTTTGGACAAGTTTTGTAAGGAGGGGGACACAAACCAAAAATTGAGTCAATCCGTATACAAGAGCTTCCGTATTACGAAACTAAGAGTATGATCATGATGGACTTTTGTATAATTGGGATGATCTAGTTTCCTATTTTGAGTTGACATTTCGCTTTCCAGGGACTCACATGAAGCAAAATTATTTATTGTCATTTCATCTTCTTATTTCTTCCTGATTATCTCTAATGAGAGTGAAATTGTGAAATTCTTTTCTACGTACGCCCACTGTAGCAGTGCGCCAGTCAGTCAGCCAGTGATTGCAGATCGAGACCTATGATCAAGACGTGCTAAGCAGTATCACATCTTAGAGCAGAGTCTCACTTTGCCTAAGAAAGTACTGGGTTTGGAAAGGTCCAATTTTTTATTGCTTTATTTTCTCTCCAAATACCCCGAATTTTGAGTAAATCTTGTTCTGATCTCCTTTTTTGAAGGAATCTACAAGTAGGAAATTATTTTCAAAATTAATTTTAAGGGAAGTAGGTGAAAGTAGGATCTGGCCAGAGTGGTGAAAGTGCTACTTATTCTGATTGAGACGGGGGAAAGTGAGACTGGATAGATTTTCTTGTCTCAACTTGCATCCTATCACGAAACTACGGCTACTTTTTCACATCTGATACAGAAAAGGGATAATTTCTTGACATGATGCGTCCCAGACTAGTTTTGACGTTTCCTTGTCTCATCATCCGTCTTCTCTTCATCTTTGTGGCCATCATCGTCATACTCGCAACGGCTGTACAGTAAGTCTCGTCTACTTATTTTCCTTACCAATTCCATGCAAAATTGCTTTTATAATCGTATACCTTATATACATGTTTCTTCATACTTATATTCAATCATATTTCCATGTCGGTGTTTGTATTGATAATTGCTTGTATTAAAGACGCTTTTACTATATGGACTTTCTTTCTTCTGGGGAAATTGAGAATATGCGTGTAAAATCACCAATGTATCATATTCTATTCTTCAATTTCAACGCTTTGTCTCACTGCTCGAGGTGTTTTCCATTTTGGCATCAATGAAGCGTTCCAACTCACTCACATTTGAAAATCCATGATCAAACGCATAAACTGTTATCGTCTCGTAGTTGGTCCTTTCCACAGTCCACCGTCACCCTTCATGACTGAACATTTGACAAAGTTAATGCAATCTAGGTTATCAAAATCAATTTCTGCTGGGAGTAACAAGAAAGAAGCGACTTGTAAATTTTACGTACGTGAGGAAAGAATTAACATGACAAAGGACTAGCTACGTACGACCTAATTTTTTTGTTCGTCAACTCATCCGATTTCCTGCTTACTTTAATTTAATAAAAGGACAGGAAACTTTCGTTCCCGATTTTTGGTAGAAAATCGGAAACGATAAGTGTTACAAAATTAAGAGAAAGAACCCAGCCCAGAATTAATCTTTAACAAGATGTCCAACAAATATTCAATTAGGGTTAACATGACGTGATGAGTAAATAAATATAAACTGATGGGAGCAGAAGAGATGTCAGGGAAGTCGATCTCGATTTCGATGGCTCAGAAAAGAGTTTGCCGTGACACGGAGTGTGTCTAGATCGAGGGGAAAATCCAAGTTATTCAGATGCATGAACCGAGTTTCACCAAACCTCCGGGTTACATGCTCTCAAATGTCTTTCCCTGTAATCAGTGTGACTCACTACTAAATACATAAATGGTATTTGCTTCGGTTGCGATATTCCATGAAATCACAATCTTGTGATCACTTAGTTGTGGTTGCTAATCACTTAGTTCAAGACCTAAGTGATTACCACAATTTTGGTCGTGTGTGGAGTGGATTTGTCTCAATTAAGAATATATTGCACACTTGACAAGCCCTCTTGCATGCTATTGGTATCATATTATGGTCATTTAATTATCAAAAAAACCTCTAGAAAGTCCACCCTTGTTGTAATTAACTACTTAAGTAAGCATACTTTTATTCCTCATGCTACGCAAAAATTCCTAGCATTTTTTTTATCATCCACTTTCTCCACTCCAATAAAGGATGACGGACTTGAAATTAATTGCTACTTACTTACCAGTACATATGTTGCGCATCCTTGTCAAATTCTCAAAATGAACCTTGCTCACCCGTACAACGAATGATTTATGATTACACAAACTCCATATGATTTCTGGTAGTTAAGATGATTGATAAGGAAGCGGATGGTGAGGTGAGATTAAGCCAACATCAATTTGCTGATCTGCAATGGTAATTCAACGTTACTCTAGTTGAGTGCGAGGAGCGTATAAAAAATCGGGATTTGCTCTTTCATATAATTAATTTAGAGTTAAGTCAGTCAGTTAGTAGATGAACTGAGGAGAAGTAAAAAAAAAAGTCTAGATGACGACTCACTATTCCTCTCAGCTCCTTTCTTTCTTTATTAAGCAGTAAAACAACATACTTTCACTACTTTAAATTCTGCTTCCATAGACTGAGCGATATCGGCCTCACTGAAAACTCCGGTGTGGATCCACTCTCTTCCAACTTCACTGGAGGACACGGAGGAGATGACGACTTTGACACATTTCGCGATGATTTCGAGAAACCCATGCTATTTTCCGACCTAATTCCGAATCCGAGATTGTATGACAAAATGAGACCTCCAAAAATTGACAACAAACCGACAAAAATCGGATTTCACGTCACCGTGATGGGACTCGACTCTATTGATGAGTACTCCATGGTACAGGAGTTCGATCAATCCATAGTTTTCCTTTATACAAAAACCACTCTTATTTTCTCACCTATTATCGGTGGTTAATGCCCGTTATGATTTTAAATTACAGACTTATGCTGCTGACATATTTTTCGCCCAGAAGTGGAGAGATAATCGCCTCCGATTACCTGGAAACATGACAACTGAGTACAGGTACAACAATTTCGGATATTTATGTATATGGGGAAACGTAGCATATATGTACATACAGCGTTAAGACTATGGGATCAGTCAGATGCTGACAATCTCACACGCAATCAGTGTCACTCCTTCATGCGCTGAAGGATGAGTTGAGAAAACGTGAAAATACTTGTCTCCCTGCCTCGTGTATACCTTTCACTCTCAGAAACATGGTTGCTTTCCCCGAAACCAACGGATATACTTATAAAGCACATAATATACATATATATACCTTCATCCAATACTTATTAGTTGGCTGGTTGACACGAGGTCGCATTATTGTCGGTACACAACACTTGACAATAACTCTCTTACTTTCTCTTCAAGGTGATTACCTTTTTATTTCTTGAGCAGAGGAGACAAGTACTTGCGAAAGATCTCCTGCTCCTCCAGAAGACCACACAATTTCGTTCGAATGCTCAACAAAAGAGTCTCCTTTCTCTCTCTTTAATGGGTCTTCAAAGAATGGATGCTTAGTTAGTGGCGATTATTCCGACAGTAAACTTATGCTCGAGTGATTTCACTTATCTTCCACCCTCATAAAAATTAGACTATTATCCATCCCTCTCAGAAAGGAGGGCAAGTATTTAACTAATCCACACAACGTTTTGACTCTGGATATTAAATGGGAAGAGAAAAGGAGAACTAATAAAGTCAAAGGGAAAGTTTAGACCAAAATTTATATATACTTAATTATTTCGCGAAAGGAAACATTTAATCACTACTTAAGTAAATGTAATCTAATTGTTTTAAAGTTTGCTTGACCCAAGTTTTAGACATGAATTTGGCATCGATACTATATTTGTCATAATTATGAGACAGGAATAGTAAATCTCAAGCCATGCTTAAAATTAATGAGAATATTGAAATTAATTAACCCATCTTTGATTGGTTTGGAACTTGCTCAGCAGAATATAATGCAATTAGCATGGAGGTTGTTAGCAGCACATAGCATACTCGGTGTGTGAGTAGGTGAGAGCAGATGAGCGATGATGGTGATGATCCTCGAACGGAGAAAGCAAGGAGAAAGCACGACATGCTACTTTTTGGCCTGAATTGATTTCTTTTAATGGTGAAATGGCCTCCAGGCTTCTGGAAGTGGACTGGCTGCAGAAAATGTGGCGACCCGATTCCTTCTTCAAAAATGCCAAGCAAGTCACATTTCAAACCATGACGGTCCCAAATCACTACTTGTGGCTGTACAAGGATAAAAGCATCCTCTACATGGTCAAGTAATACGTACTTGTTTAATGTGCCATTATTTTTGCATGGAATGCCCACCTCGCCGGTGTGCAATAATTAATCATTGTAATTACATTAATTGTCTGGAATATTCCCTAGACTTACTTTGACATTATCGTGTGCGATGAACTTTGTGATGTACCCGCACGACACTCAGGAATGTAAACTTCAAATGGAAAGTTGTGAGTGAAATGTTTGCTTAAACTTTGGTGTTCATTAGGCGTGGTGAACTTGTCTGGTGGAGGAAGACTAGCCAGCCAAAGACAATTAAACGCTTTTATTCTCTCCTCCTTTTTCCTCCCTACTTCCTCCCAATCCGTGTCACGTCTAGTGTCGCACACCACGGCGGACTTGGTCTTCGAATGGGAAGAGGTGCTTCCCTTGGCCGTGGATCAAATTGAACTCCCTCAGCTCCAACTTGTCACAAATCGGATTCAAGACTGCACTCAGGTCTATTCCACAGGTATAGCAAGCACCTACGTAAAAGTAAAAGTAAATGGAACATGAAATCATGAAACGGTTCAGAAAGAGCGTGTATACGCATTTTGTAGATCGAACTGCTAAGTATAGTTAACTAATTAATGTAATTATGTGTTCCGACAAGAGAAGAAAGACCTGAAAAGCAATCATGCCTTAATTTCCTTGAAAATCAGTGGAAAATATTTGCATAATCAGTAATAAAATTGGAACCTGTGCTGTGAATCAGGAAACTTTACCTGTTTGGAGATCGTGTTCGTGCTGAAGAGGCGACTTGGCTATTACTTGTTCCACACGTACCTGCCGACATGTCTCATAGTTATTATATCGGTATAACCATCTTGTTCTCAGTTTTCTCTCTTGCCAGCTGAAAATTTTATGTTTCAATTAACTAATTAGCTAATTTCTAATTGCAGTGGGTCTCATTTTGGATTCAGGTGATCCTCGGAATTGGATTGCATGTGAATAATAATGCAATTTTTTAGTGGCATGCAAAACAATGGTACATATGTTTTTTCTTTATCATTTTGCACATGATGGGTCCATTTTTCAGCCGGAAGCTGCCCCTGCAAGGGTCACGTTGGGCGTCACCTCGATCCTCACACTGTCCACGCAGCATGCGAAATCTCAGGCTGCACTTCCACCCGTTTCATACCTCAAGGCGATTGATCTCTTCATGTCGGCTTGCACGATGTATGAAAATGCGATTCACTTTCTCTTCTTCTTGAGAAAAGCGTCGTAAATTTGTCTCACTTTTCTTCTGTTTTGTCAGATTTGTCTTCATGGCTCTGATGGAATACTGTTTGGTCAACATTTTACTTGGAGATACCTTTGACGACCCGCCGCCCACTCGTAGGAATAGGCACCGACCAAGGGTTTATAATTTGCGCCCACAACTCCGGACCGCTCCAGCTGCTGTTACTGTGAACATGACCAATTTGCAACAGGTTACTTTTAGTTAAGCTATCACATGCATTCTATTTACGTATCCTTAATATCTTTCATCCTGTAAAGAATCAGAATGAGGATGACAAAATTGACAGCAACACCACCAACACCAACACCAACACCAACACTGCCACGATTGATATGGAACCCATGAATTACGAAATACCACCACCGCCACCCCCACCAACCTCGAAACCACCAAAGGATGCGAATTGCATACATGCGGAACGACGCCGACGAGCATTGGCAGTTGATCGAATCTCACGATTCTTCTTTCCACTGACCTTCACGTTTGTCAACGTGTTGTACTGGTTCCGGTTTGCATCTTATCTGTAAATTCCTGATTGGATTGGGCACACTACCACCAGCCCAGCAACTATGGATAAAAACACCTCTGGAAATATATTTAGTAACCAATCAATTCAGTTGACTGAAGCTGTAAGCTTGTCAACATAAAATGAACAAAGGGTTTGATCTTGTACTCTGAATGTATGTAATATGATATAGTAGCGAGCTGTAGGAGTAGAGTAGATAGTTTTTGTATGCATATGTAGCTGATGGATATATTGTATAAAATCTAAATGTACCTTACACATTTGTTCACAAAATTCGAGACCTGCCAAATTGATATGTATAAATTACACGACCACTGATATGAATCTTTGAGGAAAACAAAAACAAAATTTATTTCCAATGTCAAATACTTACATTTTAATGTAAATAATGTTATCAAAAGTAATTTATAGTCCGTATCTCACGACCTGTTTTAGTAATTTAATTTACTATTCTTCTATTAAATACGATGTTTTAGTCAGTAAATGCGTAAATCAGTAAACATAATACGTAGGAATTTTCATTTCATTTCTTAAGGCAAGCTGGCTTTTAGTTGCTGAAAGAATGACTGGAATATAAAAATAAATCAATGTTATTTCCTCAAAACGTAAAGCTTACGATGCATTACATTCATTATTACCTTCAAAAACAGTCTAAAATCTTTTGGGCTTCGCTGTAGAGCTTCGAGGAATTCTACAATTTTTGGAACGGGTATATTAAGCGTAGGTAAATAGTGGGTCTGAAGATATACTCGAAATTCGTCTTTCTGCAATTAAATTAAAGTATTTTAATAAGCTACGTCAATCTCACTTCAACAGTTACATGTTAATACTCTTACTCTTTTCTCTAAAATAACCAGTAAACAATTCCCAATTTCGTTCAAGGCTAGCAGTGTTTGTGCATCGCTGATGTCAAAGTGTGGTTTTAACGGAGCCATAAAACACGCCGGAAGGATATTTTTATATAAGAAATCAATGAAACCCTCTGGATTATCTTGACCGCCCCACATTTCCACAAATTTTTTCATGATTGAAAAACAAGCTCGTTGTGCCTAGAAATCATATTTTTTCGCTCAATTAATTGTAATTCCATAGTAGGTATATATATATTTATAATTACCACAGGATCTGGAAACTCCACTGAGCCTTGAATAACGCTAAGCATTACTTGGTGTAGAATTGCTGAATTTTCCTCCGCAGACAACACCTCCATCACATTGCTTGTCACAATGGTAGCAATGAAATTGTAATATTGTCGTTGCAACATTCTTCTCTCACCCGTAGCAATTTGGTCGTTTAATTCGATTGGTTCAGCAAGTGCTCTAAAAACACTCTGTACCATTGGAGTAAACATCTGATTCAAGAAGGGCACTACCTCTTTCTGGAATATCCATGATAACTATAAATCCAAAATTTACAAAACTTTCCCAATGATGAAGCTTTTCACGTAAAAAAGTTCAAAAGACAACAGAAATAGCACTACAACAGGATATTAAATAACTAAGGAAGAAGAATAAGGAAAATTTTTAAATTTTTAAACACATGCATATATTTAATACCCAACTATTAGATAAGCACATAAACGCGCAAGTTTGTAAAAATTTTCCCAATTGTACCAACCTTAAACTTAGTAATGACTTGATTGATGAGCGGCATATATTCTTGAATGCTTTTGCAATCACAGTTCTTCAACAATGCTTGGGATGCTAAAGGAATGTAGGGTAACAATTCTTCTTCTACGCAAACAAAAAATAGTTGTATTAATAATAATTTGAAAAGAAAATCCTCTAATCAACTACACCTCAAACCAAATATTTTCTATATTTTCACATGCCCAGGCAAACGACCATCCGGTGTAGATATTGACGAACACAGCTCTGCAAACTTATTTGCTGAGTGTCAGGGGCCACCTTTAGTTTTAATATATTGTCTTGAAATATTCCGATACTTTGCAAATAATACAAGTATAAAGGAATGACAAACATACCTGAACTGATTGGATAAAAATTTGTAAAGCATCCAGAAAAATTGAAGTACAATTGTAAGTCTTCATGGTTAACTGGTTGCTAAATGCTTTACTCAGTCTGCTTGTAACGGATATTGCTTGACTACACATGCATGCAAAAGAATAATAGAGAAGAAATTAGTGAATATTCCAATCTTGAAAAATATTGCTTAAATATCTATGTATATTGTGCTACTTACATTACTACATTCGCAAGTTCTTCTTGTCGATGCGGGTCCTTTTCTGCAGCCAATTCCTCTGTAACACGGCGAGACGTTTCCAACAAAGGGGTTACGACTTTCTTCATGAGCTCGCCTTTCTATTAATTTAGTAAGTGTTACAGTCAGCAGTCAAGAATTCAATCGTAAGTGAATCTGAATCATGAAATTAGCTCACCTCATTTCCTTTATCTCCTGAAATAATAACTACGCCGACTACTTCGTATAAATAGAGCTGGTCATCTGAAGACATTAATGGTTCAGTTCCTTGGAATTTGGAAGGAGTAACCAGAGCTAGTAATGGTTGAATTGCATGAATGATGTCATTCGTGAGCTGATCTGTTATATGACATCTGCAAATAAAATAAATCAAAATTAATAGTAAATTGTTTAATGCAACTTCAAATTTCACTTACCGAACAGATTTTATAAAACGACAAAACAAATATGAGCATCTTGATCTGACTCTCTTGTCAGGGTGAAATAGTCCAGTTTCTTTGAGAAAACTAGCTAGCACGCTCGCAATATAGTCCGGATGACAGACGAAAAACTTTTCATATCTGTAGTATAAAAACAGAGTGAAAAAATAATAATGTAAAAACCGAGTATTTAAACTTATCGCTAAAAGCATACCTGACTATAATTTCAAAATATTGGAGAACAACGGATTGATGAGTATGAAGATAAATATCTGAGTTCATGATCAACAACAAAAGTACTTGTATTGGGGAAGATTTTGCTAAATCAGCAGTAAACAGGGATACCCCTGCCGCAGGTATTGCTTCCCCAAGATAATACATCAACAATAAGGCCACCTCCGAATCCTGAAATAATAATTTAGTAAAATATTAACTGGTGTATTTGAAATTACTAAGAAGTATTTATCTCGTACATGAAATGGAAGCATTTTCCAATTATGTATCGCAATGTTTAAAATGTTCTTGACGTGCTCAATCACAGTCATCTTATTAATCTGAGCCAAATTCTCAAAAATAATCTTAAGTTGTTTCCTGAAGTTAAAAAAAAACAATTAATGTTAAATTAAGATACGCTAGTAAAGGATAACTATCTAAACAGAAAGCTTTTACCTAAATTCTTGGAAATCTGCCTCTGTTTCTCGCTCTTTCATAAAATTATAATCCTCATCAAACTGTAATTTTCTAGTAATTATTTCAAGTGTCATTTGAAAGTATTTATTTTGCTGCTCTGTAAGGGCTGGAGATTGCTTTAATAACTGGAATTGTTAAACATCAAAAAATTATTATGAATGTCTTGTTGTTATTATTCCATAGTTCAATACATGAATGTTGTAATTTCTTACGTGTAAATAATCTTTTAAATAATCTAAAATTGATGCTGACGCATCATCGTCTTCATTTGCCAAAAATTCCAATATTAATGGAACCTTATTTTCGATAGCAATAAATATGTATTGGCAAACTTCTCCTTGCTTGTCTCCCGTCTTGGCTAGTTTATTGTAACCATCAATCACAGTGCACCCCATGGCATTCACAATTCTACCCAAGCTGGACAGAAAGGGACTTCCATTCTAAAATTACCAAAACACAAAAGTAAGTTTTAAGACCTAAAACCACAATAACAACAAGCTTTTTGGACTCACTTTGAGACTATCCCACACTTGAGCATTTGTCAGCACAGTGTAGAAAGATTCTACTAATTTTGTCTTCGACAAAGGGTCCATTCCTTTGCAAATTATATCATGAATGCAGTCAGCAGCAGCATCTTGTACCTCAGATTCTGACAAATTCTTGACAAGGACTGAAACAAAACGGTCATTCGCCACCAAATTGATGTCCATCCAAAGAATGTATTTTCCAATCACTTGTAGACATTGGCACACAATGTCAGGCTTGGAAGAATCAAACGTAGTCTACAAAAACATGGTCAGATTAGTTTTCTGGAATCTAGCTGCAAAATATCTGACTGAATGAACTGAATAATAAATAACTTACTAATATACGATACCACGAATCAGCCAATCGTTCAACCACTCCTTCTCTCATTGCGTCTTTAATTAAATTATTTCTTTGAAGTTCGACGTTTGTGCGAGCAATGTCTCGATCAGCAATCTTAAAAATATTTGGTACATTCATTTAAGTTTGACACGTATGTTGCACATTAAAATTATCACGCAATATATGATTTTCTGCTACCTCTGTGTCAATTGCATACAAAATCCGAAGGTACATATTAATGTTAGCCTCCCCACCTGTCTCCATTGTAGAAAACAGGTCGTCGTAAAAATTAGGCCATCCTGAAAGTGGGTACAAAGGTCAAAAGAAGTACATCAGTTTGTATTAACCAATAAAATCTGTGTTTGAATCTAAAGCGTAAACACTTACTCATTGGATAATCTTGGATGAAAATTAAAGCTATTATCTGAGCAACTTTGTTGTATAGGAAGGCACGTGGCTGTACAACCTAGTCAATAATAAATAGATTATTAATTTGATATACTACTTTCTATTTGGTCAGTCATGTTAAATGTTTCATCATTGACCTGCATTCCTGTCCAGCGGAATAGAAAATTCTTCAGAATATTCTGATGTTCAGTCGAAGATGCTAAATACCTCGTCTTGACAAAATTCTCAATGACTTGCAAACAGAAAAACTGGGTCTCTGAATCCACAGTTTTCCCCGTCGTTGACAAGTACTGGACACACAATTGCCAACCGGTGTCTGAAAGTTTGAGCTGCTCGAAGTAGTTGATGGCCTAAAAATATTTAAATAAACCAAATAAAATAACCCAGTGTAACTCAGTTTGATTGATCTTCTTCATTCCACTGACCTTCATGTGACGTTCGAAACTTCCCGAAGCATTGCCCAGGCCAAGCAATATCCCCTCGTCCATGGCAGCTGTTGTTGTTGTTTGTGATGTTTAGCGACGTGTTAGTGTTTAGCGACGTTCTTCGTCGTCACAGCTGGTCAGCTTGACTCCTTCCAATTACAGTCAACCACCCAGATATCCACCATTCTCCACGTGGACCGAGTGGGAAAAAAATACGTAAAAAGGTCACGGTTCACACGAAATATGATGACCAACGATGTCCACAAACCCACATGGATGGATTTGAGATGGTTCAGACAACGGAATTGTCTTACCGACCTGACCCAAAGGGTCAAAGGGTCAAACAGTAGAGGGAAAAGTGGGACAAAATCCTTATCCGCCTTGGTAGATAAGCAGGTGGTGATTTTAGAAGTAGTAGAGTTAGTCAACGAACATGCGGTCGTGGTAATGAAACTCAACTCTCCCTTCTTCACAACGTGGCTCAAAGGCAACCGCTGTCTTCCCAGTCGGACAGGGTATTTCAGCCACAAAAGAGTAGTGCCCCATCGTAGAAAAAAGCCTTGTTATAAATAACACTCCACAAATAGCATGTTTAGCATGAAAAACTATGTATAATAATAAAGTATGCGACATTTTTTGGCCTTCTTGCCTTGGACGAAGGGGACTTGGGGAGATGGAACCAATAAGAGTAGAGAGAAAAAGGTTAAAATGATGCTCATTAAACATGAGACAGAGCAATTTCAGTGCATTGTGTAAATGTTGTGTACATACATTTGAACTTTTGAACTAACATTATTTGGATGTAGACCTCAAATAAGAATCTCATTCATACTTTTCAATATCTATTTTTTAATATTTAAGATTAAAATTTCTCTAATGAACCAATTTATTCATTTTACAGTGTACATTTCAAAGCAATAAAATATTGAGGCGTCGTCTTCTTGACAGGATTTTACTTATTGGGCTTTCACTGCGCTGCTGTCTCCATAAATAAACCCTCTTCTGGCCTGAAGTCCTAAAGTGCAACACTTCCAAGAATATGGTCTGATGATACTGCATCGGATCTTTTAGGGTCAATTGAGTCATCTTTTGGATCGCTGTCAGCGATTCGCTGACATCCTTATTTTATTTATTTTTGTGTATATATTCTTTTTTCGGAACGAATTATTATCAATAAGTATAAGTGGGATGGGATATTGTATCGGTATTGGCCGTGAGTGTGTAGGAGGTGGGTGTGTAAGAGGTGGGTGTATATTTTACTTGTCGTGGGTTGTTGGCTATCCAGCCAGGTAAGCTAATCCTAACAAGCCAAGACCCTCATGTTATGATCCGATAAGAGTGTCGGGAAAGTTGAGAGCACGGAGGAGTGGAGTTTGGTGAACGGAGTTTTAGTTGGATAACGAAGGACAAAGTTTTCCCAGCATTTTCATTTCTACTTTTTACTTACTTAGAATTGTGTATGGGCAACAATTGGAAATTCTGGATGGCTCTGGGACAAGCAAACGAGACAAGCATACTATTTGACTCACACGAAAAATAAAATTGGGGCGATTTTTTTTCTAAATTGCTAAAAATAAATAGTAATATGCCAAATGTGCTACCTACATATATATTTATGTACCTCCGCTGGATTGAATAGTTGACTTGCTTACGCATTTCATCGGCTACATGAATTTCAGAGAAATAATTTATGTTTTTGAAGGGTTGAGAACACTTCAGAAACATGATAATGCCTGCCAGCCATAATTGTTCGGTCCAACCTTGTTCATCATCACATCTCTCTGAGACATGGGTGGCTGGCGTGGTTATTCAGTATTTGTTAGAGGTACTTGACTTGGAAATCTAGTGCTAAAAACACTTACTCTAAATAGAAAGGTCTATATTATCACTTCGAATGGCGATGATTCATAGTCGAGATTGATTTAGAGTTTGATTTGTTCATGAAAATGCGACCCTCTTCTCCCTTCTTTTCCTTCCGTTGCTCAACAACGTCGTCGGCGTCGTTGTCGTTCTACATAACATGATGTCCAACGAAACGACGAGATTTCAGGATGAGGAAGAGGTGATAACTACAAATATTATTGTGCACATTATACCATTGACTGGAAGTGAATACAGGAGTGAGAACTTCGATTTGAGTGAAATGCACAGATGTATGTACATAAGCAACAAGCAGCGGAAATGTCCTAATGGTACTTTCCCATCAAATAATTTTAGTGAGAGACATGATGACAAGATAATTCTCACTCAAGTATCTCATCCCTAGCAAGTATTTTCAAACCAGCTGCTGCATACATGTTATTTAACCTTTCCAAATATTTATTAAGCTTTCACAATTTCATTTCAATTTGGACGGGAGAGATGACGAGATGAGATGAGATGGATCTGCTATATGGTAATCTATCAAGTTATAAAATGATTTTATCTCATCTCGTTGAAGGTTCGTCACGTATGTGTCGCTCGAGCGATTACTATGTACATACATACTTTTGCTCTTCTAGATTTGCAAATAAACTTGTTTGAAAATAAGTTGCACTGAAAGGAAGAAGAAACAACGTCCAGCACCGTGTTGCATGGTCAGATATCTTTCTATCCTTTTGGGATTTGACGATTCCATTGAATATTGATGGCTTCGGCCTTTTGGGTGGGTGCGGAATGTACGTTGCGCGTGGCTTGTTCACAATAAGTATGTATGTACGTCCACATTTTTTTTTTACTTCACTCTTCTCAACACGGTCTCAAATTTACGGTTACATTCGCATTACACAACTAAGTATGTAGGAAGGTGGAAAGTGGATGAATGAGCGTACCAGTAAGTGCCATACGCTTTTGGAGAAAGTTAGATTTCCCTGTGAGCGAGCTAGTCGAGGAGACGCTGGTGGATGGACTGACATTATTTGCTGGCTCACTCACTCGCTCAGTAGCAGTTCACCTGTTGCCACATCCATAAAAGGGTTGAAAAGTCAGTCTTCGTCTCAAGTCTGCAAAGTAGAAGCAGTTGCACAACTTTCTTGACCATCTCGACTCGATCACCGTCTCTGCTTTCGCAAGACGAGACTCCTCCACTTCAGTAGCAAAGGACATTTCACTTGGACCACGCCACGTACTTACACCATCGCCACCCACCTTTTCCGCGGAACACACGTCCCAATTAGGAGGTTTACCTTTCCTACTCCTCACCAGAACACGAAAGGTGAGATTTGACCAAGAAATCGGCAGCAATTTCCATATCGATATATAGATTCATCTATTTTGTTAGATCATTTTGCCCGGTGGACAGGTCGAAAATTGTACCAAAGTCATCTCTTCACTTGGCAGAGTGACGTCTCATTTCGCCTCCAAGGTAAGAGAAATATCAATCGTGCTTACGCATCAACTTTCTCCGCAAAGTGGAATGATTTGTAAATAAAAAGTAGATAAATTACTTGGAACCTTGTTAATCAATAGTCTCAAAGGTTGCATGACTATTAAACTGACCTTCAGAGTTTAGTATCATCGGTACAATATCTGATTGCTGTTGATTTTCTACCAATTAGTATTCCCAGTCATGCATACTCAAGGGTTCTTAATTACAGCGTTCAGAGTTTTATAGACAAGTACTTAAATTAATTAGTTCATCATGCATACCATATTTCAATGCATACACACAAGAACGGGTACATATGCACATACGCAATTTTTTAGAACCTCGTCACTTTTTTATTTGTGAATTCAGATTCATATTTCTTTAGAAAACGAAAGTCTATTTTTAAGACATGGTAGAATTAAGACATGATCAAAGTGCATTCATTCTGAGCCAGAATTTCTGACTACATTCTTGAATTACAATAAACGGATTTTAATTCAACTTTCACTCATTGTCAGTGAAAGCTGAAACGTACGTGGGGGAGTATATACAATATGGTCTGAGAAACTAAATCGGGGTAAATTGAGAATTTGAGACGTTCGTCAATCTTAAATTTCAAGCTTTGCAGCAAGTTCAATTAATTGCCGAAGTAAAAGGAGAAAATTGCATTGACACTTTCTCAGCATCGTCACCTAATTGCATACAGCTTCTGGAATCAAATTCCAACTAACAGGCCGGGCCAACTAGTGAAGAAGGAAATTAATTATTATTAGATTATTATTATCATCTTGCTTCATAATGTGTTTTCTCCTTCACTTCCCCTTCCCACCCACCACAGGTAAAAGTTATCATTACTTTGATCTCCACTACCGCTTTCCTTCTCGCTATGGAATTTAATGGCTTGTCGAAAACTCAAAGGAAATATCGCGACATTTAATGACGCAATTTCTAAGAATTGTTGTGTGCCAATATTCTGGAGGCAACAACAAGAGAAACCCCGACATCCTGACTGAATGACGACAGTTGCCATTAACAATAGAATCAATTGTGTGTAACCTTCAATTTGATTCACTTTCATATTCAACCAATCCGTGCATGAAATCTACAAATTTCGCAAAATGCTTTAACCTAATTTAATAATCTCAAACTCAGCGTGATGCCTCCTATCTCGAATTTCTCTCTGGGATTGATTTGCCGTCTAAAAATCTCAACCGCAACTTTCTTCCCTACTACAACAGATTCCAATATTTGATTTCATGACACTACACGGGTGCATTTTTCGCTTAAAGTTACTACTTTTTTGAGATGTATGAAGAATGACATCAACTTAACGTGCCTTGATGTACGTATGTAACCACATACAAAAAGTTGTACTCAATCAACTTCATTCCTGATTCATCCCCGTCTCAATTCTAATATTGAGTTGTAAGGTCAGATTAAATGTGTGCGTTAGATTTGAGTCATACTGACACTTCTCTGAAATTTTTTCTAGTTTAGTTGGTTACGAGGTGATGTAAACTGATTCTAGGAAAATGTATTGTTTTCGACGCCAATTTCGCTTCGTTTCAATTACGGCCCACGTCTCCATCTCAATTTAAAATACTTTCTCCCAACACGAGCCATAATAACGAAATACATTTAATAAAGGGTCGCTTATTGTTGCGCAAGGTTACAAAGGAAATGAAATGAAATGTAAGGTAGCAGCAGTCATTGCGTGTCCTTTGGTTACGGATAAGTTTCAAATCTCTCATTTCTATAAGCCCACCTTCACCACGGGCATATTTCTGAAAACCAAGCGAAACCACAGACCGAAACCTGCACAGTGGTTTTGATGTGGGCAATGAAATGAAATATAGTATATTAATTTAGTTGAAGTTCTAAGCGGAAATATGGTCTACCTCACTAAATTGTTTCACGAGTACGTCGTAAATTAATATTGCACGTGCTGCTAGATAAGTTACAGATTTCCAGTCTTCATTGTTTGCGTATACCAAGTAGCAATTAATTATCTTCAAGTATGCGGTATATATGGAAGTGTGTAGGCGTCGGCATTGTGTTTTGGACGCAATTTCCGCAAAATCATGTAATTGCTAGCGATACTAATTACTTGTTGATTCGAATTTTGATCATGGCATCTAAAATTGTATGCAGTTAATCAAAAATTATTTCATTAAATAAGAGAGAGAGAGAGCTCCTAACTCGAAATTCTAGTTGATGTCCAAGTTCGAATTATGTGGAGAGAAGCCATTCAAAATTCTAAAGTTCATGAATGAATCTTACTATGAATGTACACTAATTGGTCTACGTGCGATTATTTAATTTAACAACAAGCTATTTTTGTCCTTTCGCAAACATTCTACATTTCCTGTTATTTTGAATCTAGCAACAGGATTGGAAAATAATCAGAAAAAATACGAGGATTTCTGCGTGGGCAGGTACCAAATCTTACCTCGACAACAACTTTCTCTCTCTCAAGCCTCTACACCTTGACATTGGATCAGTCGAATTCGTGGAACAGAAGAAAAAACAACAAGCAATTTTGAGAAATTGAATACGGTTGATGATGATGCACCGTATTTTCGCATTATTCTGGATCTTCGTTCTCACAAGCAGTTTGGTTATCGCAGTTCCACTCTACACCCAGTAAGCGTCCTTATTTTATAACTTTACACACAAAGGAAGCGTCCTGGATGTTATGATGCGATGACAATGACGTCAATCAGGAATGGACATGTTCCCCAATTTTTCATAATTGCACTTTTTTTTTCCTAGGCACAAACGGCAATCGGACCAAAGGTTGGCCGAGTTGGAGACGTTGCTGGCTCTGCACAAGTATGGCGTTAGTCCTCGCAGGGTCGGAGGGAGGAACTCGGCTGGCTATGGGCTCATCGACTTCAACTACATGTAAGCCACCATTCCTAATTTCTCCCATTTTTTTCATAAGAAAGTGTCATCTCACTTTCACCAAAAAACTTTTACGGCTTCATCAACTTTTTTAACTGTTATTTCAACTTGGATCATCTAAATGCAAATTAAGCGAGACTCATAATGCCACTTGCTTTTGCGCATAATTCATCATGAAAACCTTGTAGTGCAGGTTTGACAGCAAATTTGGGTTTATGACTATATATGTATTTAGTTTGTTTTCTATGAAATTTTTGATTGAATGGTACTCAGCTATTAATTAAATTATTTTACACCTATGATAATTCGGATTTTTTGTTGTTAGTAACCGGCAAAATTATTTTTTTAAATTTTAGTAAAACGCATTACAAACTTTTTCCTGTGTATTTTATTTGAATATTATAAGTTGTGGCAATCGCTATTTTTCCGAATTCACCTTAAACCCCTTTTGTTATTTCATGTCATATTTCCACCGTCGCATGACGGGTATATGTTTTTATACTCCGGCCGGCACAAATTGTATAAATGACTGATTTTGTCGTGGCTAAAACAGTGGGAGAAGGAAGAAGTCTGCCTCTGCTCCTGGAGGCGATGAAGACATTTCTGCTGCTGGGGGGATTTATTTGCCAGGATTAATGATGAATGGTCAACAACAACTCCAAAAGGTTCACCCCCTCGTCGCCAACTCTTATCGTTCTCAACTTGCCGGAGCTGAACTTGGTCATTCCACGGCTGACATTTCACCACCAGGATCCATGCAAAATCTGCAACTTTCTTCCATCATGCACAACGGTGGTTACATGGAATGAGGCAAGGATGATGATGATATTTTCCTTTGGGAGAAATAAAATGGCCAATTTGTTTTGCAGTATTGATAAAGTTTGGTTTATTTAGCAAAAATAATTGCTTTCAGTTCCACCCCAATGTAACGACGAGGAGGTAAAAATTAGTCCATTTGATTTATGTTGTGTATAATATTGTCACAATTCTAGGCTGACTTTTGGTACGAACTGCAAGGACATGTGCTGACTCGTGTCGTTCTAAAATTATATATTTTGGCAAACTTATCAGCATATGTATAGTAAGAATTTGGTTTATAGCTATTAATTCAGTCAAAATATAGCTGGAGACACGTATGCAATGGGGAAAGATGGGTCCTCCTTTGGTTAGAAAATGTGTTTTGTGTGAAACATAGTTTAATTAATAAATCCACTCAGGCATAAATGAAGCTATTATCACTGGGCAACTCTTTCCATTTCTATTCATGAGCATGTTGTTTGTGTTGAAAGAGCGGAATTGAGATTTATGAGTGGGCACTGCATATACGGATCTAATTACTCATTGGTCTGTGTTGTGTGGTGGGTAGAAAGTAGAAAGGAGAAAGCAGGTTGGAGAACTCGTGTACCATGTGAGACTTGTTGTATTGCATTGCAGGTGCTACGCTACAGTGGTGAATATCGTCTCATTTTGTCCTCAGTCCGATGATAATGGGTTCGAGTTTGTCACTATAAATAAATAAATAATGTCAACGTGTGACCATTCCAATTATTGTAAAATCGAGTACCATAATACCTCCTTCTAAATAGGCTATTAAATTTTATTCATATTCCTCTTAATATTCTTTGCAAAATCATTATGTTGTTGTGGGCGGGTTGCATTGCATTTTACACAAACTACTTTAGAAAATACTTATATTTAAATGCACATCCTTCCTTCCTGTTGTATATATGATGCACCATCATCGAGTATGAATATGTATGATAACATGTAATGATGTAATAAATGTACAATGAAATGTAGATGAAATAAAAACTTTTAGATGAGATGTAAATTTCACAGAAACGGCATTTATTTCAAAAAGTAGGATCAAAAATTAACACTGTTCTTATACAGTTTCCTGAACTGGTGGTTCATAGTCGTCAGGTTTGTCTACTTTCTCGCCAGTTTCTTCAGTTGCACCCTTTCCACCATCGCCGTGCATTTCCAAGAGCTTGGAAAGATCAAATCGGGGCTTCTTAAGGACCTTGACCTGAAGAAGGATTGAATAAAATTAGTAGGATAATTAGTTTGTTGGGGGTATGGATGGAGACATAACCAGTTTAGTAGGTGATTAATAATGTGGTACCTTTCGGATGTAGACATCGTGAAGTGGATAAATACCGTGGCACGCCTTCTCGATGTCCTTGCTAATAGAATCTGGAATTAGCTTATTCACGACCTCCTTCATGTCGTTTGAATTTACTTCCTTAGAGATGATGTCGACCATCTTCTTGCGAATAGCTTTGACCTAAAAAAGAAAAAGCATACATAATTAAATTATGCACAACTTCGCTCATATCGTTATCAACTTGTCGTCACCCATTAACAATATTAATAACAAGATTGACCAATCCTCACCTGAGTATGCTGAGCGTAGCAAGTCTTCTTTTTCGAGGCCTGGTCCTTGTGCGTGTATCCAATACAGAAAACGCGAAGAAGAAATCCATCAGTTGTCTTAACATCAGTCGTTGCTTCAATCAGTGTTTGCCATTTCTTAACCATGGAACGAAGTTTGTCCGTGGTCAAATTCATTCCGTGAAAGTTGGTCAGCACGTTGTGACCCTGGACATCTTCTGAAATCAGCTTAAACTTTCGGAAAGACCTCTCAGCATCATTGTCATTTTGCAAATCTGCCAACGACACTTCAAAAACACGGCCCTTCAAGCCCTCCGACGCGATCTCTGTAATTATACAAATCATTTGTTACCACTTATCATCATCCTAAAAACATTTTCATTTCTCATCATCCACTCACTTGTTCCTTGGGTCCGGTTGACCAGCGTTTTTCCAACTTGACGAACTTTGAAGATGGATGGAGCCTTGACATCATACCAATCCTTCCTCGTGAATGGATCAATACTACATACAAACAATTAATCACCACAATTAATTAACTTTTCTACTCTCTTTCTCAAATTCCTTCTCCACATTTGCTTATCAAAAATACCAAGTTAATAGTGAAACTACTTACATCTTCTTCTTGGCACCCTTCTTGCCTCCCTTGCTGAGCCCCTTATTCTTCCCCACAGCCATGATGATGAAGATAAGTCACGAATTGATGACCAAAATCCGGAGTGTGAGCTGACCGGCAGTTGAAGTTCACAGAAGACGAAGGAGTGAAGAATGAGCTGAAATGTGTGTGCTCGCAGCAGTGGAACAATGTGCACGCCGGAATAAACGTGCTGGGTGAGGGCCGAGGTGGCAGCACTGCCCAGCACACAAACTGAATGGACATCAACCTCAAGAGGCCAACCAAATAGGATGTCGCATGAAGTGGGTGCGGTTTTTGTGGGTGTGGCTGAATTTTAAACCTTGCGTAGTTATCATCGATGAGTCCTTATCGAGTTGTGGATGACCCCTGTTCACGAATTTAGGCGACAGGACGTGGTTTCTGTCGGGGCAAGGAGAGAAATTATGACAAGTTTAATCAAAAAGACGCGGTTGGGAGGGAATAGGCTCGAATTTACTGCACGCGTTCAGTCAGAAAAGCAAATCGAAATTTTGTTCAAGTCGTCAACTTAAAGAATTGTAAAATTTTTACATATTTTTGCAATTAATTGGCAGTGGTTTGTTTGGTAGTAGGACAAGATGGATTCTGAAGATGAATTCGATTCTGAGGTCGATCGAATCCCTACTATGATGCGTACGCCAGGATTAACTGGATTTCAAATGAGGTTAGAAGGTTTTTCACTGTACTCTATTCTTGTTGAGATTTACAACAAGTAATTGTGCATGTATTTATTTAATCCTAATTTAGTCAGAGTTATCAGGCTAGTCTCAGTTCTGAAGCTCCAATACAGAAGGTTGATCAGATTGTACCTCAGTTTAATGATGAGGAAGACGACGAAGAACTCAGAGCCTGTAACATGCTCCCTAGAAAGCACTATCATGCAAAGTATACTAGAACGCAACTAGTGGAAGAGTTATATAAGGATTATATGACTCAAGACTTCAACAATTTAAAGATCAGCGACGATAATGAGAACATGGACAGTGTTCCGTTTGAGGAACAGGCTCGCAGAATGGAGCCAATCACGCCGGATGGTGGAGTCAAGAAAAAGGTTATTAATATATACGACATACATACAATAATGATGATATTATTCTACTTGGTAACTATTGTTATCTTAATTTACAGGTCGTGATTAATGGACGCGGTGGAAAAATAAAAGTTGGCCAAGTAGTTTACATCGACTATTTGATCACGCTCGAAGCTGGTGATGAAACCTTGAGATATGAACAAGTAGTGGATACGTCAAAAATTCCAGACAGAGGGGATGAGCCATATAGGTTCAAAGTCGGGGTTGGCAATGTTCTGAAAGTTTTGGACATTGGAGTGCTGACGATGGAACCCTTTGAGTCCGCTAAGTTTCTGGCGACATATCAATATGCGTATGGAAATTTGGGGTTATATCAGGAAGTTCCGCCAAGTATGTTTTGATTGAATCTATTTTCATTATTAATAATACCTATCGTGTTGTAAAACTGGAATATGTACTACTTACTAGAAACGACCATCATGGTTGAGATTGTGATTAAGAAGGTTGTCGATGGTTGCGAGAATTTGAAGGTGTGGGAGATGGACGCTGATGACAGGGCCAACCTTAGTGTCGGTCAACGACTTACGGCTGGAGAAGAGCTCAAAACTTATGGAAATGATCTATTCAAACGACACAAATATCAGCAAGCCAGGCTGAAGTACGAATTTAAAATTATCCTGCAGGCATAATTCGATTAATTTGTATATTTTTATGGTTTCTTAGGTATAAACAAGCTCTTAAGATCGTTATCGAAATATTAACCCCCGTGAAAGAGGAATTAGATAAGATAACACAGTTCTTGTTTATTTTGTATAATAATATTGCGCAATGTCGTATGAAAGAGGATGAATATCGGAGGGCTCAACATTATTTGGAGGAAGCTATAAAACTGGATCTTACGGATCTCAAGAAACTTAAAGCTTATTACAGGTAAGAAGACGTCAATTATGAAATGTTTGCTTTTTCTTTTCTTTCATAGAGTAGGAATTATAGAATAAAGTTATAACAATTGTTTAATTCTTTTTAATTGTAGATTAGCCATTTGTCACTCTGAGCAGAGTGAGTTTGAGACTGCTACAAAATTCGTTGACTTGGCGAAATCACTCGATGGTGCTAATCAAGATATTGATGGTTTGTATAGAAAGGTAATGGTTAAATTATTTTAAAAATTATTTAGGTCATGATTAGGTGCGTGATTTGTCAAACTGTTTTCTAAATTTCGCAGCTTCATCAGAAGAAGCTGGAGGATATGAAAAAAGAGAAGGCGTACTCGAAAATGATGTTCAAATAAAATTTCCTACTGGAGTCCTTAAGTAAAAAATAATATGTTGATATGATGATCCTTTGATTGTTAAACATAAGACTGAGACAGCATTTAATATTTATATGGTATTCTTAGCGTTGATGGTGCTTTTTAATATTTACACTTAAACATTGAATAGTTAAATTCGCAAATCCTATCTGATTTGATATATTTATAATCTCAATATTTGGTGGAGGGTTATTACATTATGATGTAGTTATAATGGTTATTTTTTTACATGGCTCAATGATGCTCAGTTAATGTTACAAGGAAAAAACGTTATGTTAACAGATACCTATTTTAGTCATACTTAAAAATCACCCTGTTTCCTTTATATTTATATTCAATAAATATGAAATAAAATAAAATACTAAAATCTCACTAATAATTTCCAATTTCCAAACTCATAAACAAATCATAATCTCAAATGGCTAAATCTTGTGTCGCATGCCCCAATCTGAAGAGAAGAAGATGATATCATCGCGGCAGTTTTGCTATAATATGCAGAGAAACTAGAGCAAAATAACCATATTAAATTAACTAAGTTTAAAGATAACATTTATTTATATAACTACTAGACTGGATAATATCAGGAATCAATCACACAGTATTATTGTAAACAAATCATCAATTTTTAGTAATCTACGAATCTCAACTTTAATCAGCTCATCGTCTTCCTGTTTTCGATTTATAAAAACTTGATCTAAATTGGGACAATACTACATATTTAAGAGCCACCTTTAAAATTAGTTTGTAGCTGTTCTTGAATATATGAATAATCTTAATCTTAAATTAACACAATGCAGTATTATCCGTGCACCATTCAAAAACAAGGAAGGAAGGGCGAATGCAACAACAAATTTATTTTGTAGTAGAGCAAATTAAAAATATATTATTAGACACTAATAGAAATAGAGAGGGAGAAGAAAATATGACAATTACGACGATATTTTTTATCACGGTACTATTAAATTCTTGAGCTGAATCGTCGAAGGACGTAGAGGGTGATAATCACCATCATCTCAATAATCTCATGCCATGAATGTGGAGAGAATTTCTCAAGATTGTAACCCAAGGTACATACATACGAACGAATATGCATCTTATTAATTATCAACGTTATAAGTAAGTTATATTAATTAATAGAAACTTTCTAATGAATTATTACAGTAAATTTTTGGTGTACTCCTGCCTATTCGTTTTCACAATACTGTTGGCCTTGCGACAAGACGGAGTAATAACATGGAGCTACTGGATAATATTCACGCCTATTTGGGTGTGGAAGACGACTACGGTGCTGGGGGCGGTGGTAGGGAGTTTCATCTGGTGGAGACATCCCCACTATCGGTGAGTCATAGTCATATGAATTATGCCATGCATAATCTAATTTTGAAGTATTTTCCGTTTAATTTCCAGAATCGAGGGGGAGGCTTATATCCAATATAAAGCGATGATTATCACATTTGCTCTGCATTTGCTGTTATTGTTATTTGAACTGTTAGCCTGCGACAATCTGGAATCGCAAAGACACTTTTGGATCCTGGTTTTTATCCCGTTGATCTTTATATCAATCATATCCATTGCAATTTGTATCTGGGCAGTGAAGAACGATCGATCATTTGATGTGAGGACATAAAATATTACAGTTGTAAATTAAGAGAAATTCAAATTGAATCTACATGGTTTTGTTCATTTTATCCTGTAGTTGGAATTATTCTGTTCCGTCAACATCCTTCAATTCATCTTTCTTGCCTTGAGACTCGACAATTTTATTCAATGGACCTGGGAAGTTATCTTTGTGCCGAGCTGGATCCTACTCTGCGTTTCACTCGTCGGAGTTTTGTACAGTATCATTTTCGCTGGAATCATTTTTCGTGCCCCAGAAGTAAGTGCAGAACAGAGAAGAAATTCGACGAGTGCAGCTATCGGGCACACTTTTCTTGTCGTCCCTGTCTTAGTCTTTCAGGTATATGAGAACTATGTATATAATTATTGAATAGTATAGTTACGGATTGCCATTAATAAACAATCATCTTACGTTTTGTCGTACCTAGGTACTCTTAACAAACAAATTGGACGGGGATATAAATATTAGTTATATGGGTGTAATATCACCACTGTGTCTCACCTTTGCGGGTACGTGAGATATTTTATTTTATTTCTGACAATACTAGAATGCAAATTTATTCATTGCATATGCTTTCCCATTATAGGTCTGATATTAATGTCGCTTAGTAATAAGCGAAGTAATAAATGTAAGTCTTTTATTTTCTGCATAATGTTTTTAATCTACTGTATTTTGTGGGTGGAGTGCTTAAAACTCATTAAAAGCGATCATAATGATGAAGAAAAATTGCTTCTTAATTTGCAGGGTGGTTCGGAATACGGAAAAGCTTCTGTCACTTTCTTTTAGACATATGTCCCTGTTTCCAAGAGTATTGTAATATATCATACAGTGTTCAAAGTCAAGATGAAGAAAATCATCACCGAAGAGAGAATAATGCGACTGAGCCTGGAACATCAGCATCGGAGTCTCAATCACAAAAACTTAAAACTGTTATCCTAGCCTCCAAATTGAACAAACCTGTTGTCCCAATAATATCTGTTGAAACTCCGGATTAAAAATTCAATATAAACCGTACATCATAAGTACACACACATACATACACACACACATCTCCTTATACATCGTGATATATCTACATTAAAATTACAACCCCGTTATACCTTATAGAAAAATAAATATAACAAAGTGACATACATATATATGTATTAGGATATATGATAAATTCCGATATTTATTGAACGAAGAAATCAACATTGACAATGCTGTTGTGCTAATTTCCTGGAAATAACGCGTTTACCACCACCACTACGGGTGTATATGCATGTACGTAATAATAATAATAATATAATGTGGCCTGAACAACCAATAAAGAATGCAATTAAATTCAAAAGAAGTTACAAACTAGGAGCCATTAATATAACCAGCATATTCTTAGTTTTATTAGTCAGGCATCATCATCATCTCAATTTCTTTCCTTGAATTCTTTCATCCCCTTTTATCTTTTCCATGCGGATGGATTTTCATATTGATTAGATTCTTCTCTGATTCATACATATAATAAGTAATATATTATTTTTACGTGTGGCAGTTTCTAGTACATTTTGCAATCCGACTATGCAAAGGCATAATATAGTTATAGGCAGTAGGGAACAAGAAGAAAACCTATTATGCATGGTGTCCTCTTACCTCTTTGTTAATAATAATGTCTCAAATTTCGAGATATGCAATGCTCTCCTGTCGAACAACGTTATTCTCTTTCAATACTAAACTCTAGTAACTGCTCGCATCATAATTGTCCAATAAAGTTTAGTTGCAACACACCAACACTCCTGACAAGTAGTAATAAGAAGGAAGTTAAAGGATTCTTTCTTGCTATTTCAATTTATTTATTATTATTATTCAATCACGCAGCTAGTCAGGCAGTTCACCCGGTTATGGCACAACCACCCTCCAAATTACGCCTACCTCGTCGACCAACAGAAGAAGAAGAAGAAAAAAACTTGTTGCAAACTTGTTAAAAAATAGTGCAATTTTGTGTTTTTATCCTCCACCTCTACATCAGCACTTCGTCATGCAGGTCATTATCATGCAGGAGCAGCAGCTATCACCGGACAGCAAAAGCTTGTCCTCCTCTTCTTCTCCTCGTCGTCGTCGTCTCAGTTTCCTCATCATTGTGCTCTCTGAAGATTCTGACCATTGTTTCCTAAAGTTCCCCCTGCGTCTCCTCCTCTACACGAAGAAGAAGAATGTGACCACCCCCCCTCGAAAACACGACCTCCAGGAGAGTGATCTCCTACCCATCATCGTCGTCGTGGTCGTGGAGTGCGTGAGTGAGTGCGTGCCTTTCGGAAGCAGTACAGTACCTGGTGGTACCTGTACATAAAGCAGTGCGGCATCCTCACGGACGGCTTTTCAGCATCATCATCATCATCCTTGCATTGTTTGCAGTGATGATCATTTTCGTCGTATGGTGGTTTTATTGTGATGATTACTTGGAGCAGTAGCAGCGCTTTGGTGGTGGTGGTGGCTGGTAGAATATTGGCTGGAGGAGAGAAGAAGCTCGCTCTAGAGGAGGCATGGAGGAAGCTCGGGCACAACACTGACATCACATCCCACTCAAATCAAATCTCTCATTTCCTTCCAAACACAAACCTCTCTTAGCCAACCAACCAACTACTTACTTGCTACATACACAGGACTACAACACTTAACAACATCAGCAATATAGCGCGGTCAAAAGCGCCACCTTAAGACCTTATCCTCCTCCAAGGAAAGAAGGACTCTAAACCGTTCATTCATGGATAAAATGCAAGACATAAGTGTTATTCATTCCTCCGAGGTAAGATCTTATCGTCGTCGGAAGAGTTGTTTAGTTACGCTAATCCTTTCGTGGTGGTGATGTGGGAGTGTGGGGTTAAACTACTTGTCTGAGTAGTTATCTCCTCCGTTGAATGGATGATAAGTCTCGCTGGGGACTTTTTTTAGAGGAAGAAAGTATCCTTTGTAATTTGTTTAATGGATTGTTTATTTATATTGTTCACGTGAGTGTGAGTAGCGTGAAGTGAAATGTACAAAGTTATGAGGAACTTGTTTAAGAATGAAATATTTATGGTTTTTTAAGACGACAAGGAGAGATTCAAGATTAAAAAGGACAACTAAAGCTAGAAATGTTATGGAGAAGAGTTCAGATGAAATATTGTACGTTAGGGAAGACGAGAAGAGTTTTAATGTAGTTTTTTAGTTGGGCTGGGAAATCAAGTTTTGTAGTTTAAAATGTACATTTTAGGCTTCAGGATTTTAAAATGTCAGTAGAATCAAAGAAAATAATTAACCAGTTGTCATTACCATTCTTGGCATTTTGTATTGATATTGATGGACACATAAACATTACGTATTTTGTGATCTGTGATTGTGTTCGTGCAATTAGTTCGTGACGAGTTCCACGTTAAATCTATTCTAGTTTTCTATCCAAATATTTGAGCATGACAAATCTTGTTGTGTTTATTTTGTGATAAAGCACTCCTTAGAAACTTGGGATGATTTGGAATTCAATAACTTCTAATTTTCGGGGGACAATAAAATTTTGTGTAGTGATTACTAACTGATGAAATTAAAGTGTAATTTAGTAATGATTGCTTGAAGTCTGAAAGTTTTAGTTTATGACGACGCTAACGTGGATGATTAACGTGAATGTGTTATTTTGTGTAAATCTCAGATGGTGTAGAGGGAATCCGGGGATGGATTCCACATCCAGGGAGACATTGGGGATGAAAACCTTTGAGCAGTCCGACAGTGGGGAGTTTGTGACCAATGCGGACTCTCTCCCCTCTACGTTAAACATCCGAGGAGGTGTAGGAGATGTTCCTTCCTTTCCACACCAAAAGACAGTCGTCTCTTCGAACAATATCTTCGAACTCCAAGAGTTGTCGTCATCCATGCCTCCGTCAGAGGTGGTCGTGCCCTTACTTCTGCCTCCCAGAAGCCCCTCTAGTAAACCACCTCCTCCAGACGTGGGCCTCCCCTCTTCTGGAGATTCTCGTACGAGTAATTTGCTTACTTAATTAACGCGTGCATCGATGGATGTGCATAAATCATTTGTTTTAATCTTTTCTATTCTAGATTCCATTAATTCGTCAAATACGGACTCCGTTCGCCTTAAAGGATATGAGACTCCCAAGTTGCCAAACTCTACCGACGCGACAGATTTTGGGAATAGAGTTTTAAACTACTTAATCCCTCCTCAAGCTGGAGGGACCAAATTTAAACGAGGGCCGGGAAGACCTAGGAAAGATTTTCTTGGTGTAACAAAATCCCCTAGACCGCCTGCGAATCAGAAGATTAAACCTTTTGTGGGGTGCGTAAAAATATGCCTATCCTACCTGAACTCAAAAATATTGTATATCAATGTTTAATTGATGGTGATTTTACGTAACGCACTGTTATTTTTTATAGGGGTGTGAGAGGAAGGAAAAAGTCGGATCTATCAACTCCATTGCTTAACTATAATTCAACCTCTTTCAACTCGGAGATATCTATAGGAGGCTCCCCACCTCGGGGAACCGACGATACTGCGGAATCGGATAGTAGCAGTGTTGCCTCGTCTTTAGAAAAGTTACAGGATGACTTTTCAATGTTTCCTGAGTTGTGGTATGTGATATGCAAGCATTCATCTTTTTACAAAATACAATTAAAAAGATATGTATATCATGAGAGTATAATATGATAATAACGAAAATGAGCAAATAGGTCAAATAAATAAATTGTATTACTTGTAGGCCTGGGAAGCTTTGCGGGTTTTGTAATTTGGGAGAAAGGAGTATGCTAGGACAAGGAGAATTGCTTCGTTTGGAGATACCGGAAGGTTTCGATGCCCTTGCTGTATTGAAAACGCTAGCGCCAAAGAGTCGAATAGAGCGAGACAGTGCTGTCGACAAAAACAACAAGCCTGGATTGTTTTCAAGGCGTCAGAAGGGATCAGGAAAGATGAAGTAAGTTTTACACTATAACTTGATAGACCTTCACAAATATCACACACACAAACACACACACATGTAGTTTATATATATATTCGATCGTGTAGTTATTAATTAATTAATTGTTTTTGTAGACGGCTAGTTTCTCAAAGTAGCTTGGAAAGCTTAAATGAACCAGTTGATGAGATTTGTGGACATTCAGAAGAGCCAGAAAGTCAGTTAGTGTTCGATATTGGAACAGGAGTATATTTTGTCCATTATAACTGTGCCCTATGGTGTGACGGTGTGCAAAAGAAGACGGATAACACTTTTTCAAATTTAGAAATAGAGATCCTTCGAGCCCTTAGTCAACGTTGTCAACACTGCGGGAATTTAGGGGCCGGACTTATGTGCAAAGCAGACGGATGTAATGTACTCTTACATTATCCCTGTGCAGCTATCAGTGGTGCATTTCAAGATTCGACTACTACTGTGTGTTCATCTCATGTTGAGACATTATACGCAGAAGGTACGTATGCAATATAGTACAACCCAAATATTAGCTTCCGTCCGTATATATAAATCGACTTTAACCTTACTTAACAATTACCAATGTATATAAATATATATATATATATATATTTACAGGAAAAATTTCGGGAATCTGCACAGTGTGTGACTCTAGGAGCGATATTACATCTTTGGTTATGTGTAGTTCATGTGGACGACATTATCACGGTTCATGCATGGCTTTAAATTCCGACCCAGGTAAATTACCACGTTATGCAAAAATTCTAAACAGCCGTACTACATTCTTGATTTATTCACTTGTTTAATATTGCTGATTATGTGTGTAGGTATTCGAGCAGGATGGCAATGCCCAGCTTGCAAAGTCTGTCAAGCTTGTCGGCAGGCTGGAGAGGAAGGCAAATTGTTAGCCTGTGATACTTGCGATAAGACCTATCACATATTCTGCCTTCGACCAGCATTGTCTTCAATACCTAAGCATAGTTGGAAGTGCAAGGTATTTGCCTATCTATCTGTTTTACATTTTGTAAAATTTAAATGATTGGGCAATTGTTAATGTATTTGTTTTATTTTGTAGATGTGTCGTATGTGTACAGATTGTGGAGCAAGAACTCCAGGGTCAGGGCCTTCTTCAAGATGGCATGCCAACTTCTCAGTCTGTGATTCCTGCTATCAGCAACGTAATAAGGGATTGGCGTGCCCATTGTGTGGAAGAGCTTATCGTCACGTCGCCCAGAAACTCATGCTGCAGTGTAACCAGTGCAAAAAGTATGTTCACGGGACCTGCGATCCAGCTGCTGATTTAGCAACGTATCAACAAAAGAAGGAATTGTATCCAGATTACGAGTACATTTGCGTACCATGTAAAGCATCTGGAACTGGTCTCAATACTTTGGGTGGAAATCCTAAAGTTCTTTCAATCCTGAGAAGGTCGGATGAGTCAGAAGACGGAACCAATCATAATATGTGTGCTACTTCCCAAGATTCTCTGCTATCTTTGGAAGATGATTCATTTCCTGGGACAGAGAATAGCAATGATCTCGTATGGTTGGATAAGGTACAAATTAATTTAAAAAAATTAAAATGAACCTGTTATGAAACTTCACATTTATATTTCGTATTTATGCATTTGAGCTTAAATTGTATAAATAATAATGCGCGTCTTTAAAAATTTTAGTCGTTGGCCAACACGCCTTTAGATGAAATAAAACCACCGCAGCTGCCTCCTCACCACCACCATCATCATACTCCATTATTTTCCAAAGACAAGCAATTTGTGGGTATGGAGAAACTACAAAAACGAAAGTTTTTAACGGGAAGATTAAAAGCAGCCGAAAAAGTCGATAAAGCAGCAGCCACACATTCCGTTGGACGAAAAACAAAATTTAATGAGTTTGCCAAAAAAAGAGGCCCAAAGCCAAAGTTGAGGTTATTTGGGAACTCTAGAGGGACCATGAGCGTGAGTGATTAATTATTTGTATTTACCTGTCTTGTATATATAGTTTATTTGGTATTTAAATATACGCACGCTTATGAAATTGTAGCGTTCAACTTCGGATGGTTTTAACAAAGACGAAGAGCCTGGAGTTGAAAATCGTATGGTGCTGTGCTCAGCTCGAGATGATTATGTTTTACAGCAAGATGTTTGCGTCATGTGCGGAGCTTTCGGTAGCGATTTGGAGGGTCGTCTCATTTCTTGTTCTCAGGTAAGAGTGGTTGCTACCCTTTGTAATGTTTACGTAAATACGTTTTTTAAATACGGTTTTTAACATTCTTTCTTTGCATCTCTCAGTGTGGCCAATGCTATCACCCTTACTGTGTCAATGTGAAAGTGAGTTCTTTGCATTTAATTCAACAATATATGATATAAGTAAATATATTAGTAGTTAGTTTATGAAATATAAGGAACGATTTCACTATTTTTTTGTGTATACAGGTTACCAAAGTGATCTTGTTGAAAGGATGGAGGTGCTTAGATTGTACGGTGTGCGAAGGGTGTGGTCAGAGGAACGACGAGTCACGCTTAATATTATGCGATGAGTGTGACGTTTCTTTTCATATATACTGCATTGAGCCACCTTTAGAGCGAGGTATTTTATTCAATAGAAGCAAAAAAACTTTACTACTTGATTCTATGACTATATTAGAAAATTAATTTGTTGTATTCTTTTACTCATAAATCTGCTCCAGTTCCTCATGGGTCGTGGAAATGCCAGTGGTAAATCACAAATTTGATAGCTTAGTAATATACAATTAACGTCAGGGAGATAACCACAACAATGTTTGTTTTATTTATGTCAGGTGTGCCGTGTGCCATTATTGCGGGTCCAGCTCTTCGCGTTGCAGTGGATGGTTTGAGAACTATACAAAATGTGGTTCTTGTGCATCTCAAACTCAATGTCCAGTTTGTAATGTGAATTATACGGAAAATGATCTCATAATTAAGTGCTTAAAATGTGAAAGGTAAGATACATTACCAAACGTCCAAACATAAGTTTTTTGCAATGAACTGGTCGAGCGTCAAAATAATTTTGCTTATAATTTTTATATATATAAAAGGTGGCTTCATGGAGCTTGTGATATGATAAAAGACATTAAAGACGCTGAGAAATGTGCCGATGGACACTATATATGCATTTTGTGTCGACCAATGGACACGTTGCCTCTGCATTTGCGCCCACCTCCAAAGATTGCCTTTGCTAAAAAGGAGCCCCCTGCTATAACTCATGGTGATTTAAAAATTTAAACATTGCATAATGTCGCATCACACACAAATTAACTAACTACTTATGTATTGATTGACATGTGCAGATGGTATAGTGATGAAACCAAACAACAATCATATTCTCGTTGACGGAATTAAGGTTCGTATTCCACAGGTAAGGTCATGGAATAAATCATCATGCAGTTAACAACGTAACAATTGGACTTTGCAAATTATGAGAAAACTAATAACATATGTATTGCGTTATTCCATTTATACAGGAAGTTGATGGAATTTACCTTTCGGAATTTGGTGTTCACCAAATCAAGTCCCTTACTTTAGACCTACCAAGGAAAAAGAGGAAAAAGATGCCTAATATATCTGACATGGAAGCCGGTATATTAGCTGCAATAGAATCGGTTGTATGTGGAGAAGGTAAAAATATATTTATGAGGCTAGTGAGCTCTTGTCTGGCGTCTTTTAATTGTAATCTGAATTGTTTAGATGACAAGGGACCAATGAGAGACCTCAATAAAATGGATGGTGAAAAAGGTATGTTTTAAATTAACTAAAGATTTATTTGAATATGACATTGTTCTGTAATATATTATTTATTTACTTTGTTTTAGAAAAAGATTCCAAAAAGAAACAACGTAATCTTCAAAAATTGGGAATTGGAGGATTTCTGGTTCGTCTACGTGGACCAAGATTTAAGGATGAGGACATGGACAGTTTAGAATCTGGAGGCCTTCTGCTTGACGGAGAGAAACCTAAACGGAAGCCTCAGAAAAGAAAAACTAAAAACAAGCTTGTAGAAACCTTCCCTACTTATTTACAGGTTTGAAATAATTCCAAAACGACTAGTTTTCTAGTCTCTTATTTTCAATAGAAAGTCATTCAACTTAGGAGGGGAGCTTGCGAGGTTGATAATAACAGATCCTGATGCCCTTTGGATATGTGGTAGGGTCCCATGAGTGTACTAAAACCCTGAAGTGGTTTGACTCCATAGCCACATTTGCGCCCGCCACACCCACTCAAAAATGCCCAAAAAACGCTTTCACTCCAGGTTTCACTCATTCAAATCCACGCCAAAAATCCAATTTTACTCGGATTTTGAAATTTCTTTCACCATTACACTCCCAGATAGTTGCTTTCTTCAATCCAATGTCAAACTCAATTTTGATGATGATTATTTCGCAGGCATAATTTGCGTTGTGGATTACTACAACAATGCTCATTCAGAATTTTAAATTTTAAAAATACTAATAATTTCGAAAATATTGAGTTTGATATCGAATTGAAGAAAGCAACTATCTGGGAGTGTAATGGTGAAAGAAATTTCAAAATCCGAGCAAAATTGGATTTTTGGCGTGGATTTGAGTGAGTGAAAACCGGAGTGAAAGCGGTTTTTGAGCATTTTTGAGTGGGTGTGGCGGGCGCAAATGTGGCCATGGAGTCAAACCACTTCAGGGTTTTAGTACACTCATAGGACCCTACCACATATCCAAAGGGCATCAGGATCTGTTATTATCAACCTCGCAAGCTCCCCTCCTTAATTGATTTCGTATTGATTATTAGGAGGCCTTCTTCGGTAAAACACTGATGACTCCTGCCAAGGATATCAAGGACATTGATCTCTCTTCCATACGAGATGCTGATTCCACAACCGAAAATAATTTAAAAAGCGAGAATACCATCAAATTATCAAAAGTATGGTCAACTCTCAAAATTGGATGAACAAATTTATTTTCATTTGTGCATATGGATATCTATATCAAATTTAATTCTGTGAATTTTATTTTTCAGGAGGAATTACTCGACCTCGAGTCCATGAAATCCAAGAAATCACCTGATCAAGCTCAGAAACCAGACAAGCCAAGAGAACCAAATAAACCACATGCGGTAATTAATTGTGTCTATTTTACGTGCCCATTTTAAAATATGTGTCAGTGAGAGCAATTTTAAATCAACGTCCGTTTGTAATATTAGGCTGCTGCGGTGAATGAAGTTGAAGGGATGGACTTGTTAACTGCTGACCTGCTGGATCACGACTTAGTCAACACTATCATGAACGAAAGGAATATAAAAACCGAGGTCGACATGTCAGACAATCGCCGAGGTCTTGATGGCTCGTCTCAGTTACACAACTCTGATGACAATAATCATAAAGATGAGCTGACAGACTTCCTCAGTGCTCAATTTAATCTTGAGTCTATGGATGCTGCTGGGCTTCCAAGTATGGACAGCAAAGATGTGGATGACATATTTAAAGGAGTTTTAGTTGAAGAATCACAAGAAGGTCTTTATCACGTTGCACCAACTGTTGTGCCATCTCACCCACCTCCCCGACCTCGACCCCCAGTCCCAACAACCCCCTCGGGTGGTGCACCATCAATAATCCCTTCGCCAATTGCTCCACCATCATGTAAGTTTGTATTTCACCATAAACTAAAAAGTATGGTTGCGTATGGTTTTGTAAGTGCAATGTTGTGTCTCTCTCCCTCTCTAGCTCAAGGAAGTCCCTCAGTTCCAAGACCCACAGGCGTTCAACAAAATCTTGCTTCTCCAGTTAGTTTTCCACCTCCATCCCCATATCATTCTGAATATAGCAAGTAAGTTTGTCACACTGTTTGTGTATTAAATTTGTTCAGAATTTGTTCATTTGTTTGTTCATCTTCAGAACTTTCTTATTTGTGTACTAACTAACGCCCTGTGTGATTATTGTTTCCAATTACAGCAGTCCGCAATTCAGCCCAGCTTTCTCAGAACCTCCTCCAAGTCCATGGCCAGCTGCGGCTGAGGATTCTGACCAGCCTAGCAGTTATAACCAAAGAAGTATTCTCAAGTGGGAAGCAGACGAAGGGTTAGGACATAGTGCTACAATTTCCGCAGTTTTGTATGCAAACATTAATCATCCCGAGTTAAAACGGGACTATGCCAGTAAGTTTCGGTTTGGTTTTGTCAAATGTAAACTGACAATGGAACCTCTTTTCAAGCTACACGAGATAAGCTTAGTGACTTATGCTAAAAAATCAAGGTAAAAATTAGAATTGACGTGGCACTTATCTTTCCGTTGAATGGGCACTTGGAGGTCAAATATTTGAGGGCAAAGTTCACAGTAGCGGCCTGTTTTTTTTCTCAAGCGGGCGAGGGGATGAGTGAAAATTTTCTCCTTCGAGGTCACTCCGCTCCGTTCTCGTACGCTCGCACATCATTCAATGCATATTATTTTTGACAAAATTTGACAATCTCGTAAATTGGTGCATACATTTATTTAATTTTATATTTGCTTTTAAAATCCTACTATCCACCGATCCGTAGTAAAAAAAAGTGACGATGGGTTCAATAAATTATAAGTGCATATCGATTAATGAATATGCATTCCAAAAATATACAACGAAATGTGGCAATAAAAATAAGTCAACTTTAAGGATTGTGATTTCTAATTAATTAATACATTCATTAATTATACGAACTTATAATTTATTGAACCCATCGTGACTTTTTTATTACGGATCGGTGAATAGTAGGATTTTAAAAACCAAATATAAAATTATACGAATGTATGCACCAATTTACGAGATTGTCAAATTTTGTCAAAAATAATATGCATTGAATGATGTGCGAGCGTACGAGAACGGAGCGGAGTGACCTCGAAGGAGAAAATTTTCACTCATCCCCTCGCCCGCTTTAGAAAAAAACAGGCCGCTACTGTGAACTTTGCCCTCAAATATTTGACCTCCAAGTGCCCATTCAACGGAATGATAAGTACCACGTCATTTCTAATTTTTAGCTTGATTTTTTAGCATTAGTCACTAAGCTTATCTCGTGTAGCTTGAAAAAAGGTTCCATTGTGAGTCTAATCGTCGAAATTACATCTACAATCATTTTTTCTTCTTATTTTACTCAGGTTGGGCAGAAAGATCCAAGCAGATTGCAAAGATTTGGAGAGGATTGCCAGCCGATAAACGTGCTCCATATTTACAAAAAGCTCGGGAAAACAGAGCAGCTAGTCGAATGCAGAAGGCGCAGCAGGTATGCAATGTGAGACTCGTAATTTTGTTATTGTTTTTGTAGGAGGTTTCGTATATTTTCCTATATACATAGAGTCGATGGTCGAATATTTATGCGAATTATGTAGTAGACAACGCATATGTAGTAAATAGTTCTGAATTTTTATCATGTTATTTCGTGCACGTCTCAGATACCAAAAGATATTTGCAATGGATCAACAACTTCTAAGAAGGATGTTGCACAACTCTCCTCACCCGAAAACTCTCAAACTTCTCCCAAGGGGTGTTGTCACTCTCCACAGACACCCTCCTCTCACCCGCACACTAACGAGTCGAAACCCACCACTTGCACTTCTACTTCCACTACTTCTACTAACGATAAACCTAACAGCTTTACTCAGTTCCCTCCATCCTCCTTATGTTACACCCACCCCCCGTCTTCGCCTGTTGCACCACCACCATCTCAATATGTCAACATTAAACCTGTTGATCATCGACGCGTTCAAAATATTTGCACTTCTTCCACTTCTTCGATACCACCATCAGTTGACAAGCACTACTACAATGAAAAACAATTGTTTGTGGACCAGCATATCAAAGTGCTGACGCCGTCGGAAATTATGAAAAGCCTACCAGATTTAAGCCAAGACGAGTGCGGTGTGTTTTCGTCTAGAATGGTGAGAATTTTGGGGCAAATTTCCGCAGCCGTGAAAGAACTCTGCATCCCATGCAAACTATATATTTTTCTACTTTATATATGCTTTCACAAGTCCTTCTTTCTTAATTGATGCTGCTGCCTGGTTGAGTTAAAGTTATTATTGCTTCCATTACTGACTGATCGATGGTTATTGTCGTATCAAAAGTATATCACTATTGTTGTTTTTACTTTTTTTGTCGCTATTATTATCAGCATGGACTTCTTCGTCGTCGTTCATAACTCAATACGCGCATCCTGTGTAAGCTAGACATTGAGACGAGTTATCTGATGAGACCAATTATAGTAGCTGTATACTTGGTTACAGTTGTTAATTGTATGCAATTATCTCCAATTTTTCAGGACGACTATATTTAAGCATGTTGTTCTCTACGGTACTATCTCCTAATTTCCATATAAGGATGCGTTGATTTATTGTTATATTACATTATTTTTGGTTATTGTTGATTACATTTTATTCTTCGTTGTGGTGATAGTAGTTTAGCGTTGATTGAAAGTCGTTTGTTTTTTGTCTTGTGTTTATCCGCTCAACTCCGTTCTCCAATTTTGAAATTTTGTGTTTCAGGACCAGGACAAGGTTATCACAGTCAATCAGAAAACGAGAGTTGAGACTCAAGAGGAGAGACATTGGAAGCAAATGCAAGCCCTTCGACAACAGCAGTCTCAGTTGCAAGATCCAGGAGCAAAGGATCCAAATTCCGCACAACAACATTCACAAATGCCGTTCTCTCCCAGTCCTGGAGTGCCTGGGATTTTACGCCCCATTCGTCATCCAAATGAGATAATGATTGGAGGAACAGACAACATTAGACAACCTCTTCATGTTACAATGTCGCATGTAAGATATTTTACACAGTGATGAAATTGATAATACAAATATAAACCTGCCGTCTTGGCTTAGAGGCTTGACCATCAGTGTCATGACTCAAAAAGCCGAGAGTTCGATTCCTCTTGAGTTGTATTATGCAGCAAAAAGTGTGGAACGAACTGGTATGGAAATACAAATTACTGTTCGGTGCCGGCAGATAATCTGCATAGGATTGTCTGGCCAAATCCTAAGATAGTTTGAATATCTCCTTATTTACATCCTATCCTGTTTCACCGTCCACCCCACTTTTCAATTTCAATAATTACTCCCTTTCCTCTACAGTACCTATCCTAGTAAACCTGACATGCCAGCCCTAACTATACCTTTCCTTGTAGTTGTTGATGTCAGTATCTATCCCTGTCTTGGTATTGGAAACGATGTGGCTCACATATCATATACCGCAGACGTAAAAGATTGAACAGAACAGAACAGAACAGAAACTACACTTATTAATAACGATGTATTAAACGTATGTTTTAGGATCAAAAGATTTCTCCACTTCAATCTCCACAAGTCCAAGCGCAAGCTCAACAATTACCCCCAGCACTTGGACACCCTATAAGATCATCTGGACCCACCGAAATGGCTCCTCCCGGCCAGATGACAGGTCAAATGTTTAGTCCACGGACTGGCGTTCCACCTGGTCAACACATTTTAAGATCTCCCGTATACAACCGTCCTCAATTTATTCCTTCTCCGGTAATGTCAGCTCCTAGCCCGAGCGACAATTATAGCAATATTCAAACACCAGAAGACAATACTCGGCCAAACTGCTTCATTGAATCAGACAACATGGTTTCTCCATCCGATCCTTCGCAATATGGTCAGAAAATACCTGGAGGTCCAATGACTCCGATTGACACTTCTGACATGGGAAACACAACTCGTGGTCCATCAGCTTCACCTCAAGGGCAAGAAACGCGACAACACTTGCGAGATTTGCTTCAACGTCAACAAGTTAAAAAACTGGAACAAGATCAAATGTCTCCAACTATGGAACCACCTCAACAAAATGCTCCTCGCATGTGGTCTCAAGGTATGTCCATATCACTCGCCTTTCCTGCCTCTGTCATTATTTATGAAGGCGTATGCATGTGTATTTGATTAAATATATTCTAGTCTATTAAATTTATTAGATCCACATTTTTGTATTTCAGAAGAATGGCAGAAACCTGGAAATATTGACAATAATCAGATACGACATTCAGTTCCTGGCGGAATCCCACCTAGTCACACCCACACCATGAACATGAATCAATTTAGACAACCTTATTTGCCTGGTCATCCCAGAATGTCCACTGGACTTGCTCAAAATATCCAAACAATGAACAGACCGAATGACTTTAGAATGAACGTTGTACAGCAACAACAACAAGTTTCAAATCAAGTGAGTTATTGTTGATCAATCGAATTTGTTGACTTTCCACAAAACTATTATAGTTCGAGAGAAAATGTTTGATTTATTTTTAATTTTAATTTCCTTATTCTTTTCACTATAGGCTCCAGATATGCGAACTCGTATGATGCTACCTCAGCCAAGGGGCATGATGGGAGGCCCTCCTTCCAGACAACTTCAACCCTTTCAAGGAACTCAGCCTAACCAATTTCAAGTTTCTCGTAATCCCATTGATCCATATGGTCATCTGGTGGTACAACAGTCAAAGATGCAAGGTATATTTAAATAATTAAATTTTATCACATGTCAAGATGGGCTTTTTTGCTGGTCACAATTGCAATCAATAATATTTAAATCTGCTGTTTCAGGTGGTGGAATCGTCTCATCGCCCTCTATGCTTGCTCAGCAACTTGGCCGACCCTTACAACCAGTAAGTGCTGGTCAAAATCCACAGGATCCTGGAATTGTCCAAGTCCAAGGGACATCAAATGCAATGTCAGAACAACAGCAAATGAATGCTCCATCATCTATGGCTGAACCCAGCACATTAGCCTCTCATCTTCCCAGTGATCACCAAGAGCTTCCAGACAGCGTGACGGCAGAGCTTGAAAAGTTGGAACAAGAGCAACACAATGAGCACAACGCGGACCCAAGTGAACTTGCAGATTTAGGAATGGATGATGATGAATTGTTAGGAATGGGTGCAGATTTTAATATCTTGGAATACGCGGATCCAGAACTTGACGAAATTGTAGTGGGTGGCGAGAAAACAAACATTTTGGATAACTTAGACCTTGAAGAAGTACATGACAAGGATGACAATCGGGACAAGAGGAAAGAAGTGACGGGAAGGTAGCATTAATAACTATTGCATAATCTGCCAACTAAAAGTTGATTAGGTTAATTGTTGTAGTTGCTAAACATTGTGTTTTGTTTTGCTATCTTTCAGTAGAGGCGTGAAATCTGAAGATACAGAATATACCCCATCGGGAAAACCAGTTCAACCAATGAAGATTCCAACTTCCAACATGAATGTACCACCAAATTCTGAGATGCTTTCATCTCCTCCGAACGCCAGCTATAACAACGCGCCTGCAAATATGGAGAATGTAAACTCACAACAACAGCAGCAGCAACAACAACAACAGCAGCAGCAACCCGTTCTAAGGCCGGCCCAACCACCCCCTCCTTACCCAGGACCTCCTCCTCCATATCCAGGAAGACCTCAGGTAGTGCAACCAATTTGGCTTGCTTTATTGTGTATAATATCCGTAGATTGTTGTTGATTGCTCTCCTCAAATCCTGTACTACTACTATCAAATGACTGAAGATCTAATGCTTTGTAATTTTCCTATTAATTGCTGCGAGTAGCTAGGAAATAGAAATGGTTGTGGTTTGAACAATGCTGCACAGCCACCAGTAATGGGGCCGAATATGGGGATGGGGAAGAACCCTGTGGGGGGACTTATGAGCGAAGGAGGGCGACCCCCCTTTCCGCCCCATGTCTCACCTTCCGCAATGCTTTCCAATTCTAATCACCATCTCTCAATGCAACAACGTAAAACTCTCCTGCTTCAGGTAACTTTATCTGTCTCTGTTCTTTTACCTTTTTAATAAACATCGCAGAGGAGCAGCCTACTAAATATCCTCTAACTCTTAACTTATCTTCTGTAGTAAAGTGACTAACAGATTGTTGTTGTTTTAAAAAATAAAATTTAAAAAAAACATTTTACTTTAGTATTTATATTTTAAGTTTGAAATATTCCAATGAGTTTGTCGGTATATGTTATTACTTATGGAACTTTGTTGTGAAACGCTGTGTTATAACGGGAATTATTTGTTGGTAGGAACAGCCGTTGTTACTGGAAGACCTTTTAGAACAAGAGAAACGAGAACAATTGCGACAAAATTCTGGTCTAATTGGTGCTGCTCCAGAAGAACCGCTCTTGAGTGACTTTGACTTTGAGAGGCTGAAAGCCGACGTCCTTTCCTCATCCAACCTCCCAGTCAGTTTGTCACCCCCAACTGTAGTGGCAGGAATGAGGAATCAACAACAATGTCCACCACAGCAAGTTATTCAAGAATGGCAAATGGACAATCAAATGATGATGCGAGGGCCGGATCCCCCTCACCTAGAACAAACCCAACATGTTGGTCCTCATCCTTCCGCTTCACATCTTCCACCAGGTCCATCTACGGGTGCGTCTGCTGCCGCAAATATTGCAAGGTTGCCCATGCACCTTACCGCTCCTCCAACCCCACCCGAACATCCCACCAACGAACAAGAGAGACAACTTCAGATTCAATATGAACAGTGGCTGCATGGACAACAACACGTGCTAAGCGTGCACTTGAAATGTTTTGAAACTGAAGTTAACAAATTGCGCAAAATTAAAAAGGTGAAGACTTAATACTTGCAGTAACCATTTATATTTACATTATTTTGGGATTGTGCTTAATAAAATACTTTTTTTGCAGTCACTAAACAGTAAATTACGACAGTTACGTAAAAACAACAATGAACTGAATGATAATGATTCGTCCGAATTGGACAGAATTGCGAAAGAACTACCTGCCTTACAGAAACAATTGGATCAAGCACGAAAACACACGAGACAGCACAACTTACTCATTACAGTAATTAAATTAATAATCATAATGATTTTTGTTTCTAATCATTATTCAATGATACATAGATTATATACTTATTCATTTTCTCTTGTTCAGGATTACCGCAACAAACAACAAAAGAGACAACAAATCATGGGATTGAGCCAAGGTGGACAAGGTGGTGGTCCCCCAACGCAAGCATCCCCACTAGGAGCTGCTTCGTCCCCATTGCACTCGACTCCTCAATCTCCACTTATGAGTCCGTCTCCGTCCATGCAACCATCTCCTCTGATGCAAATGCAACATTCTCCTATGGCAAGTCCACTGACTCCAAGTCCAGGCCCGGCGGGCGGCTCCTTGTCTCAAACGTCACCAAGAGGCTCATTAAACACTGTTCACATGATGGATGACCCACAGTTCAGTCCTAACGACGGTTCCAATCGACCTGGTCCAGGAAGAATGCATCAAATGACAAACTTCCGCGTGGCTCCTACATCCGCGAGTGGTCATCAGATTTTGCTTTCCCAAGCGGGGGGAATTAACCCATCAATCAACCCTGGGATGGTTATGAATAGGGGCATGAATCCCAACATGGTGCAAATGCAACATAATCGGCCAATGATGGAAGCTCAAATCCAAAGGATGAGAACAACTTTGCCCCAAGATCATATGAGGTGAGTGAGACTATTTCTTTTCAAGAATTAATATCACATGGTTGCATAATATTATTAATTGTTAATTGAACTTTTTGTTATAGAAATGTGAATCCAATGGCTTCTAGATTTCAAAGAATTGGGATGAACCAAGAAATGATGATGAGAGCTCGTCCCCCTTCAAATTTTCCCAATCAGCCTCAATTGGTGATGTCTCCAACGGGACATTATAATGTTTCTCGTGTACCATTTCCAAGCCAAAGTCCAACAGGCTCAACTAGCCTGCGAAGTCCATCTCCTATGATCCCAATGGGTAATATGCCAATGGGTAGTCCGCCAAATCAGGTAACGAGAAATAAATGCAAATCTTTACATGTATCTATTTGTTTGTACAACAAAGTATTACATAAAAAACTCTTGTATTTATTCAGATGATGATGTCACAAAATCGAGTTTCGCCAGCTTCTTCACCGATGCGCCGTCCATCCGGAAGTGGAAGCATTGGAAGTGCTAGTCCAATGGCAGAAAGACCTCAAAGTGTGGAAAATCCCCTCACCCCGCGGGGAAACACGGGAAGTAGCCGACCCCACACCCCTAGCGGACCTTTAAACTGTCCTCAAATGGATCAACAACAGCAACATCATATTCATCAACAGCAGATGAATAATCCGATGGATATGCAAAATTTCAGCCCAATGGACAATTGTGGTATGGGAAACATGGGTAGCCCTTCTTCCCATAAGATGCATAATTTCATGCAAAATCCTGGCGATTATCAAGGACAAATGATGAACAACGACTATAATAATGCAAATGTGAACAACAGTGGAGGGGGTGGAGGAAATCCTCACGTGATCCCGTTTCCTACATTTTCATTTTTTGATGGCCCCGTCAAGCTTGGTCTTAAAGGAGGAAATCCCTTCTCGGTAGTCACCGAACATACTCCGTCCACATCGAATTCCAATGTCGTGGAGCAGACTGCCAATACTACTGTGAATCAAGTCCCAATGCCTCCTCAAGCATCCGCATCGCCCGCGAATGTTGCACATCCTGCAGGAGGAAGTACGCCAAGCATTACCAGTAGTAATATTCAGCAGCAAGTGAATAATACATCTCCACCATTGGCAAATTGTCAAGGTGAAAGAATGGAGATTTCTTCTGGTTCAAAGTCGTGTGGTCCTTTAGTGGCTCAACAACAACAAGGATCAGGAGGAGGAGAAGCAAAACAAAATATTGAACCACTTCCAACGTTACAAAATTCGACCCCTTCAACAGCTTCTGCCGAAAATGACATACCATTATCCAAACCGGAAATAATTACTAATTCGATCCAGCCTGTTAACAAAACCTCTGAGATTCTTGCAACCAAAGAGTCTAGTGGATCACGCAATACGTTTCCTTCGAATGTCCTAGTTAATAATGATTGTTCTCAAAGCCATAAACAAGGTGACGGCGACCAAAAACTGTATAATCACGTTTCCGAAGGATCTGAATTAGTGAATCACAAAGAAAATAATTCCCCTAGTTCAGTGGCTGTTACAAAAGTGGACACCCCTCCTCTAATAACTGAAAACAAAAATCACGTTCTTCCAGCTAATTATACTACAAATATTACTACTACGCTTACCGACGAAATAGACGCAGATAAGGTTACAATAGTCCCCAAGGAACTGACTCCAAATATCCCCCCAATTAATAAGAAGGAGAATGTCATCCCATCAGATGAGATTAAACATTCACCGATTGCCAATCACGATCAACCAATTTCACTTGGAGGACTGCTTGATAGACGTAATTCATCAAGTTCAGAAGGGTTGCCGGTTGAAACAACTTCTTCATTTAACCACATAGCCTTGAACCATTCCACAACTGTGACAACCCTTGACAATACAACACTAGTGGAGTGTCCAGATACAAAGCCACCGCAAGCCCCACCATCGGAGGAAGATGTGCATAATTCTTCATCGTCCCAAGTTGCAATTGAAAATGCAAACATGGCTCCTCAACCCCCAGTGTCGGCTGAGGAATCTTCTCCATTAATGCACAGTATTCTTGCTCAACCACAACGGAGTGTATCTGTTGAATCAAATTCGTCATCTCAAACAATGCAGGACGCTTCGCCTGGGGAAGCACAATCTACAAATGCTCTACTTAAACAACTATTACAAAACACTGGTTGTGCGAGTACAGCACAAACGTCTGAATTCTCTTTAACATCTCTCACGACGAAACCTCCCACCTCGACAGTGCACACGTCTCACTTATCAGAGGCTGCGACGAGAATACCACAACCTGCTACGCTGCCTAAATCTGCATCCTTATCTGGTCCTGATTCTGATAATGCTATCGTGAAAACCGAAATTTCAGAAGGTGTGTATAAATTTATTCCACATAAATGATTGCTAATTATGGATAATAATCGCCAATTGCTAAGTAATTGGCGATTATTGCTAATTATATTATTTGTATAATCATGAAGAATAACTTGATGTAATTCGTTAGATGCTGAAAACCTTCAACAATGTTCTCCTGCTCAACTGATGGAGACAAAAGAAATCGTACAACAGCAACAAGTACAGCCTCAACCACAACATCAAATGCCTCAACACATGCAACAGCAACAACAAATGATATCTCAGCAGCAGCAACAGCAGCAGCAACAACAAATGATATCTCAGCAGCAGCAGCAACAACAAATGATATCTCAACATCAGCAACAACAACAACAAATATCTCAACAGCAAATGTTATCTCAACAACAGCAGCAGCAACAACAACAACAGCAGCAGCAACAACAACAACAGCAAACTCACCAGCAACAGCAACAATTTCCGATCGTTATGTCACCAGTTACTGAAGAAATCACTGTCCCTATTGTACATATAGCGCCGCAAATTCCACTAGAACCTGCTTTTACAAAAATTGAGGACACGGACGATTTATTAACTAATGAAACTCCTATTTCAAGTAAGCGTCTAGATTGAATAAGGTCTAATTTAGTCAGCATAAAATTAATGGTGTGTGTGCTTAAATGTATTTGCAGAACTTTTAGAAGCCAAGAAAGCAGACGAAGAAATTAAAAAAGCAAAGCGGAGGCAGTATCAATCCAAGAGAAAGCAAGCTGCTGCCGCCGCCGCTGCTGCTGCTGGAAAAGAACCTCCAGCCGTTCCCAAAAAACGACCTCGAAAAGCTGGGAAACCAGAGGAAGATTTTGATGGGTTTATTGACAATTTTATGATCCAGTTACGCCAACTTCCCCCCGTCGGGATTGTAGAACCAGATTTGGGACATAGCTACAACATTTGCCCAGTTTTTGGTGCCGGCGATTATTCTAAACTAAATGTCAAGGGGTATGATTTGCGTTTTGGAGACTTGAGTGGTATGATTGGTCGATGTAGTTTGAAATCGGGGAGCGATTATTATAATACGAAACCGTTTGGCAAAATTGTGGCACCACCTGCTGAAAAATCTCCCCCATCGCATCGTGGATTTTACAATCAAGAATTTGCTGCTCCTCGAACATCACTGTATGGCACTAAACAGCAAACTGAAAGTAGAACACCTACTCCTTTAAGAGAGACGGACACTCCAGACACGATCGTCAGTTCATCATCACCTGAATGCACTTTAAGAGATAGTCCTGACCTGTACCCATGTAAGCAAACTTTCAACAAAAGATAACTTTTCATGTGAATTTTTAAACTCAGCTTATACTGATAACTAACTCCATATGGCTCCTTATAGGTTTGAAACTTGTGGAAACGGAGGAAGACAAGAAACAACACTTGAGAGACTCGCCTAATATCCATATTGCTTGTCCCATTCCAATCCGACCATTGCTAGCTGCAAAACTAGCGAAAAGACAACTAGATATGGTAATACATTGTTGTTGTTTTTAATAAAAATCATTCTAGTTTAATCAGTTTAAATGCATTGAATGAATTATTTTTCTCATAGGACAAGGAAAATAACATCAAGAGTATTGCTGCATCTAAAGCTCGTGTGCTTGGATTACGCGAAAATGGCAACATTACAGTTACGCTGACTTTATCCTCTGCAGCTGTGGATGAAGTGCGGCTAGTCCTTCGAAACCTTGCCAATATTTTGGCAATTGACACTCCGACCTGCCAAGTTGAGAAAATATACCCTCCCCCCGATCGGAAAATGTTTACATTTAAAGCCAAAGATTCGACTGATAGTATCGATTTGCAGTGCATTCTGAACGGATCTGCAAAATTTTGTAAGCACTGTGACGTGCTCGTTGTAAACAACTTTATCAAGAAAAATTCAGCTGAGCTGTTGGGCTTAAACTCGCCCTCTTCCTCGGAAGAACTTTGTTTCTGCAGTGCAAATTGTTTCGTAATGTTCTCCATGAGTCATGGCGTGTCTTTAAGACATAACGAAGATAACACGAAACATTTGTCAGGAGATCCTAAAAAGCCGGACGATCCCCGATCTAGCGCTGTACGAAACTTGTTAAAGCCAACTTTGAAAAAAGACCATAACTTGGTAATTATTTTCGCATTATTTGCATTTCCCAAGTTTGACATACATTGTTCAGTTGCAAATATTTTATTTTAACCATTTCTCATTATATTAGAATGACAGAAAGACACCTGGTGTCCACATTCCAGTGGAAATTGTACCGAAAGTAGAAGTAGTGTCACCTGAAAAGAAACCTGAAAGAAAGGACGTACGATTTAAGTATTTTACCCCTCCTGCCATTGCTCCTAACAAATATAAGAAACCAACGGAAAAGGAATTAACAGAGGTACGTCTTTTATTTAATATGGTGTGATCGGAAGAACGAGAAACTATTAGTTTCTCGTTCTTCCGATCACAAAATTTTTCCTAATAGTTTCAAACTATTAGGGAAAATTTTTCACGTTACATGCATTATAAAATTGACGTTTGATGTTCTACGATTACAGATGCTCTATAGACTTGGTATCACCGTTTTGCCTGCTAAAATACCAGAGGACACTCGGAAATGTGCCTTGTGCTACCAAGTTGGAGATGGAGTGTCTGATGGTCCTGGAAGGTACGAAATTCATAAATGAATATACACATCACCCCTGCTTCACTTTCATTTTTGTTTGTGTGTCCACTTCAATGGGTTTCATAATTGTGATTTTCAGACTGATCAACTATGATGTTGATAAATGGATTCATCTGAATTGCGCCTTGTGGTCAGAAGAAGTATACGAAACAGAAAATGGTGCACTAGTCAATGTGGAAGTAGCGTTGAAGCAAAGCCTAAATGTTGCTTGCGCACTTTGCAAGCTCAATGGAGCATCAGTTAAATGTTTCAAAGTCCGATGCACTTCCGTTTACCATGTTGGTTGTGCTGTGAAGGATGGATGTGCATTTTATAAAAACAAGGTGAGTAAGATGAGGCGTTTTATAAAAGCAAGTGTTCGTATGATAGCTTACCAAACTATAAATTTCGTAGTTAGTTATGTAATCGTTTTATTTTATACACACAAGACATAAGTATGTATTGATACAATTTTAGAGCGTCTATTGCAATGTCCATATTCCGAAAGGAGAAAAAGAAAACGAATTGACCTCTCTATCTGTGATTCGACGGGTATATATTCAACGGGATGAAAATCGACAAGTAGCCGTGGTCATGCATCATGGGGATCAACACCACTTGCTTCGTGTGGGGTCCCTCATTTTCCTCAATGTCGGACAACTTCTTCCCCATCAACTCCAAGCTTTCCACACGAGACACTACATCTACCCCGTGGGCTACAAAATAGTATGTCTCCCAAAAAATAAATATTTTAACTATGCAGTCAGAGTTGTCATTCCTTAAAAATAATGTGTTGTTCAGGTTCGATTTTACTGGAGCATGACTAAAGCCAACAAAAGATGTCAGTATATTTGCTCAATTCACGAAACGGACGGAAAACCAGAATTTCGAATAGCAGCCCAAGAGGGTGATGGAAAAGAACATGTTGTGAAATCCTATTCTGCTCAAGGTGCATGGCTCCAAGTGTTAGAAGCTGTAGCCAAAGTTCGAAATGCAAATGATTGCATCAAGGTATTCCCAAGATATATAACTGGTGAAGATTTATTTGGACTCACAGAACCAGCAATTGTTAAGGTATAAATTCGACCAGCTTTATATTTTCCATTTTTTCTGCGGTCAAGCTAAAATACCTATGTAACTATCTCTGTATATTCATTTTCCATACGAAACAGGTGTTAGAATCTCTACCCGGTATTGAGACTCTCAACGACTATAATTTCAAGTACGGTAGAAACCCTTTGTTGGAGCTTCCTCTTGCCATCAATCCCAGTGGATGTGCAAGATCGGAACCCAAGTTGCGAACTCACTTCAAACGATCTCATACCCAAAGGACAGGTGCTTTCAGGGCGTCCTTGCCCACGTCTGTCCTTGCATCAAATGAAGCAGCGTGTCCATATTCAAAACAATTTGTACACTCAAAATCATCACAATACAAAAAAATGAAACAAGAGTGGCGCAACAATGTGTACCTAGCTAGGTAATTACTATTTGCGATAATTAATTTAACCCTTCATTTTGTTCCCTCTTATTAAGTTTTGGAAACATTATTTCCATAAAAGCGTTTAATTATCCCTTAATAATAATTGTGGACAACATTTGTGTTATATGCAGGTCTAAAATTCAAGGACTTGGACTTTATGCTGCTCGTGATATCGAACGTCATACAATGGTTATAGAGTACATTGGAGAAATTATCAGGAATGAATTAGCAGAACTACGGGAGAAAAGATATGAAGCACAAGTATGGGACTTCAAATTTTGACATTCTTACTATCTAGTATTGTCGTGAAAAGTGGAAATTAACATTTAATTCGCTTACAGAATCGTGGGATATACATGTTTCGAATAGACGACGACCGAGTAATTGACGCAACACTATGTGGAGGTTTAGCAAGATATATCAACCACTCCTGCAACCCAAATTGTGTAGCAGAAACCGTAGAAGTTGATCGAGACTGCAGAATCATTATCTTTGCAAACAGACGCATCTCAAGAGGAGAAGAATTAGCATATGACTATAAATTTGAAGTTGAAGATGATCAGCACAAAATTCCATGCTTGTGTTTAGCACCAAATTGTCAACAATGGATGAACTAAATTTACATAATAAGTACGTATGTGTGGCTTAAAACGTACGTGACCATTTCAAAAGCAATATTACATGAACCACCATCACCACAACCATAATATTTCTCATAATTTCAACACACCAATTCACCTCTTCACACATAATAATACTACTAGTACTACATATTACGTTATTAAAATGGATAGTTTGGCTTGCTATCCAAAGATTGAATTAGTTTTTGTTTTTGGTTAATCGAAGCAATTTTTCTAGTCCCAGAGGAACAACCCAACCATAAAGAAGATATTTTTAGTTGTTTCAAATCCCAGATATTACTGAGCATAATATTTCCTGAGTACAACACCAAATATCTGTTTAAATTTAGTAATACCTGTGTGTGTTTTTTGTTATCCTGTGGTATAATAATAAGTGTAAAACGTAAACCAATGTTAAATGTTTTTATATGCAAAATACTTAGTTACATAATAGTTCGTAAATTATTATAGCGTATGTATCATGTTTATTTCCTGGGGTAGTCAAATATATCAGACAAACAGATAATCAATGTGCAGAGAAAGAGATGTCAGAATAGCGTTTACTTGTTATTATTACTGATACTGATAATAATTGTCTCCATAATAATAATAATAACGATAATAATATATTAGCAAAATAATTAAGTGTATATTGTGACATTTACTTATATATTGATACTAATTACCACAATTTGTTAACAAGAGTGATCTGCATATAGTGCTGCACATGTATTGTATTATAGCTAAAGATGGCTAATCAGGGAACTCTTACAACCACTATCCTTCCTAAATGTTGTTTCTTTTTATTGTGTGTGCAAAACCATAAAGATAATGCTGGAAACATTTTGCATATTGTATTTTTTAAAAACATATATATTACAGTATTGTACTCCAATTATACGCGTTGATATACAACACAAAGAAACAATCGACTTTTCATATTATGACTGAAGCTTACTGTGTCCATTATTCTCATAATTTCTGTCAAGACAGCCATACTCCAATTTCATCCACCTTTTCACTCCACTCTTGGCCCTCTTGAATCGAATATGCACAAGTCCAAATAAATGAACCTATTCTCCGGTTAAACTATGCATACCTTCATCTGCATTCGAAATAATTAGGTAAATATACTTCTGCATCGAAAATCCTGGTTCTATTCAGTGCAGTGGTCGGTATTCTGGTTGCGACAAATTTTTGCAGGCGCATGAAAGCCAAATTGTCCCAAACAAGAAGAAGGTTGTCTTTGCATCATTTCTGTGGTTTAGAGTGAGGAATCTAAACCTGATGTTCTCAAATTCTCTGTCCGTGCCATGTGTCCTGTCATGAAGACCATGCCATGTCCATGCCAGGACTGCCCCCTTCTTAGCATAACATCCACACCTCCAACCAATCTCTGCACCAAGAAGTTAGATAAGTTTGCCTTATCCACGTCGTAGTTGGACGACTGACCACGTTGGGTCACGGGAGATACAATGCGGACTGCGATTGCGTCCCAAACTCTTATGACTTTTTCATACTGGGTTGTTCTTATGCCTTCGTAACATCATCAACCTAACACACAACAACTACATACTTACTGCTTCTCTGCTACTACCACTGCAAACTGTGTGCTCACATAACAGTTTGTACATATATGTGTGTTATAAATATTAAAAGTCTTGTTTGCCTGTTTAATGGAGAATTGCAGAACTCGACTCATTTAGTTCGCTGTTAGCCTTCCTTCTGCCCGATCAAGTTTGTTAAAAGCTGTCGTCCACAAATCTTCATCTCTCAAGGTACTTAAAACTTATACATCTTCTGTACATCATCCTCAACACTTTTGTGTTACATATACTCATTCATCACTCAAAGGTCAAAGGTTAGAAAAGCTTGGTTGCAAAACCCTGTTAAAATGTGCGTTTCAAGGCGCAATTACTACTCCAAATTCCCCAATTTGAAGGGAAGAAATATTGAAACTCTAGAAAAGGGCTCCTCACTTGTCCCATGAGAGTAATGCATAAATTGTGCATCACTTTGTTCTCTTCTAGCGAAAGAAGTTCAAGTATTTACTATCTTATCATCCTATTTCCTTATAGAGAGGAGGCGTTATCAGGAATTTGTGACGCGTATTTATTTATGTGGAGGGTGTACGTGACTGCTGAGCTTGTTTCGTTGCAAGAGTACTTTTCTAGAATTGAAGACGAGGGTATATACCTACTGAATTTGCAATCTTCTTAGAAATTGTCATCCGGGGTGGGTCGTAAATTTGCAAACTGGAATTCTGCAGGGGAAAGTTCGCATGTCACGAAAGGGAGGAGGAGTGGGCATATTCTGAAGTCTACATTTTTTTCAAGAAACAGGTTCACAAAATTCATAATATGCATATGCTATGGCAAACCAAGGTTTAAACAAGTCATGTAATCATCTTCTCTTCATCCTTCTACTAAATATGTAACTGGAAATAACTCGGTTCACAGTTTGTCCTTTTTGCTCAAGAATAAAAGTTGTCATTGACGTGTAAATTTTATTTGTGGCCTGAACAAAATATTTCTGATGGGACTCCTCGTTAAATTTTATATTATTATCTGAGAGAAATAAGAACGGATAGAAATAAGGAGAGAGAGAGACCACATAATGATTATGATGACCCCTTATCAGTACCAATACCGATACCAGCTCAACCATATTTTCTGACAACTTGATTTTCTGACCCAGGGGACCGTAAGTGAGAGAGACCAAAGCAAATTGATAAGAAGACTTAACATTTATTTATTCCATTCGTCTTTGTCTGTCGGTTGATCTGAATTAGAATTAACGACGAAACTGAGACTCATCTCAACTGCAACCAATAAGTTGAAGTTCGTGACGGGTTTCTCGTCTTTCATTCCATTCATATCGCATTCTTTTTTCTTCGTAATAAATACAACTTGACTGGAAATGACTAATGGCTGAAGAACTGAAATATTTTTACGATTGTATGTAACTTGAGAGGCAATAATTTTGCAGCATTTTCTCATGATGCAACCAATATGGAAAATTTCCAAATAATTTGGCGTCGTAGTTTAAGGTGATGACGCGTTCCACATTCCACCCTCATTACAATAGCACTTCCTGGACCGATTTTGAGAAAAATTTGGCTCGCAGGTGGTTATTATGACTAGATTAACAATGGAGGTGCCATTTCTTTGGAACTAAACACGGATACATAAACTAGATATTTGTGACCTCCATTTACAATTATCGGAGTCTACGTGACTGCCCGTCTCAATTCATTCCTTATTATCGCAATTCTCTTCAAATAGAAAAGCATGTGGAAAATTACCAAGAGTGGTCTCATTCTTCAAATTATGAAAACAATTCCAAGAACCCTAAACAAATCAATCACGTAGCACCATAAACCCCGGAAGAGTGGATGCCATGCCATGCCTCCATCACTATCACACCATCTCGATTTGTTTGTACTCGAGATTACATAAAGTGCAGTCCCATAAAATGATATATATAAAATAGAATAAAATCAGGCCATATCAGCTATCGGCATATTAACTGCAGGGTCAGATATGACAAATGAGTTATTTTTAGCGTCACAATACTAACAGGTCATTAATAACCCCTTTGTGTACTATTAGTAGTCGTAGCATTGTACTATAATGTCATTTTGTTGATGGTTTTTATATGGCTGGACACTAAAATTAACGCGTAATATAATAAAAACATGGTCTGTATGTATATAAAAACGTCGTTGGAAAAGTACGAGGGTTGACTATTGTATGTAACATAAATAATAATGCTTTGTGCAAAGAACACTTTGATGGAGAGAGAAGCAAATTAAGTTAAACATTGGGCACAAACCTGAAAAACGAGTATCGCATTTTGCATGACAGCCCTCCTCGTCGTCAACATGTTGCTTTGGGCAGGAGGGCATTGTCAGGATGACGATGATGATAAGATTGCAATATCGGCACCGAGAGTTTTGCACTTTTTTTTATTGTTGAACCATCTCTGAGTCAGGCTGGAAACTTGTCACGTTGAACACAGTCACAATTTTAGGTGGTCAATTATTATTTGTCAAAACACTTTTTTCCTTGTACTAAACTTGTATGCATTCTGGAATTCTGGATGGTCAGTCAGTTTGCTAATGCACTGCTACTCTTATTTGCTAATAATATTCCAATATATTCCCCTAATTCTGGACTAAACCCGAAAATAGATTCGCAAGAATGCTAAAATTGAATGAAACAAAGAAAGACCAATATCCTCCTCCTTCTTAGCGAGAAGTTTATGAAGAATTTATGAAACAAGAGAAGAATAGCGAATCTAATTGCGAGACCAAATTGGCCATTGTGCAATTTATACACAATGCCTCATATAATGCTTAAAATTGTGTTTAATTATACTTTTCAGATCCCAACTACGTGTAAAAAGACGAACGAGTTCTGTGCTGGAAAGTTATGAGTACCAGTAGTATATTGAATACAAGTAATTCAACGTCAATATTAATTTCTGAACAAATGTCTGCCTTGAAAATGATGAGTAACAATGGTGGTAACTTTGGAAGTGGCTCAAGGTAGCTTATCCCATATTTGCAAAATATTCTTATAAAATAAATGGCGAAAGTGCGAACTAACTGGTCATTTCGTTTTTTCCAGTTTTCTTCAGTCGTTTACGACGGAGAGGATCTCCGTGACCCTCGGTGTGGGGCCTCGGTGGCATCGGTGATGTCCCCCACTCCTCCGATGCTACTCATGACCTGACCGGCGGGGAGGGCGAGGGGGAACCTGGGCTCTCTCCGAACTATGATCACGTAAGGGAACAATAATCATTCAATAACTTACATAATTAGTACTACTTGCTACGATAATGTACCACGCTATAATCCAATTTGGTTCCAGGAACACAAGGAATTTCCAAAAAACCAACCAATAAAAATCTCTTTCCGTTATCCATTGACTCAACACAACACCCTCACTTGGGACACCACATTGATTAAGAACAACTTGTACATCGAAATACCCAACGGATGCTTACCAGACGCTTCGAAAGGTTTGGACCCATGCTCACTTCCTTAATTAACAAAATCGAAATTCTTAATATTGATTCGAATATTTTTTTTGAAAATCCAAAGAGGCGTTTGTAGCTCTGTTGGAGTATGCAGAAGAGGTGTTGCGGTGCCATCATGCTGTCGTTTGCTTCAAAAAAGATCGAATGGACAGAGGTAACCAGAATTAAGGGGAAAATTATCTTCTTGTTGGAGCAATTATATAATATTTTTATCATTTTGCAGCCATACTCATACGAACATTCATGTTCTTGGGGTTCTATCTCGTCCCACCAGGCAACGAATTAGCGTTGGGACCTGCAGCACCTGATTACGTCTTTCTGGTGTACAAGATTGACTAAATAAAAGGGGTTTCTGGACGCGGAAAGTGAACAAAAAACAAATCATCTTCATTATTAAATACATACTACAGTCTATTCTAAAAAAATTATTACTACACAGACACATTATTATTCGTTTTCTTCTTCATTTAGAACCGACATAACTTGGTTTTCGGAATGTTGAATCATTTATGATATATTATTATGTACAATACTAGTGAGACGACTAATAACCACACTGCTGCTTCTTTATCCATATGTATATGAACTGTAACTATTAAAGAATTTTCTCCTCATTATTGTCACAAACTTAAAACTCACTTGTGCAAATAGAGTTCAAATTTATTTTTCATTTATGTCCTCATTCTTGAAGAACCACGACCACAAAATCATGCATAAATGAATACGGGATGATGAACTTCTCATCATTTATGCACATCGTTCCTGCATTAGACTGCTCCATAAATAAAGGATCAAGTGACCCAAATAGTTAATTTAGTACATCAAACACTTTATTATTTATATGGCTGTGAGACATAGATACATAAGTATTCAGGGTATAGGAAAGATATAGAGAGGAATTATTAATTCGTTGTTTTTTGATAGTATAATTTTCACGTCGCTAAAAGCAATTATTCTATTTGCATGGTAGCAGAGGACTAGAGCATAGTTCCAAACTTATGCATTTCATAAGGTGGCCCATGATTGGTTGCGTGAAGCAGAGTCCAGGCCTACGTATAATTTTGGAAGAGGTGCTTCCTCCTTTTTGGATATGAATGATGGGAGAAATCTTTACAGGCGAAAAATAACTTTATCTGAGTAAGGCACGACACGATACATCTCATCATCGAACCATCACGAGTCACACCCACAGCAACAGACGTCACCATCATCACGAATCAATCCAATGTTCACAAGTAAATTTTTCACACCATTGCCATTTTTGGGTCAGCGTAAATGGGATTGAAGCCATTTCTCAATATCATCCTCGTTATTTTGCAGCCAATGCATGTTGAGTCTAATTGTCTCCAAGCTCTGATTCAGAGCACGAGTGCCGGATCCGACGTCCTTGTCGCTGAAGAAATCCGTCACCTTGAGAGAACGAAGTGCATTATTTAAATAAATCAGTTTTTTTATATATTTCTGAAGAGGACAAATCACACAAAAACCAACCTCTCTGTAATCAAACTCATTTGAAAAATGTCCCACGACTGCCGTGATTAAACTGCCCATCGTAAACGACCCTTCGCCAAACATGCTCTGGAAGGTGAGCCAGTGTGCTCGGAGGTGTCGCCAAGCCAGTAATCTTCCCGATGGATTGGCTGCAACGACGCCAAGGACGGTTCGAACGTCCTGGGGTCGGACGACTTCTCGGTCAAGACATGCTTCTAGATATCTAGTTTAATCGTAAATACAAAAGATTAATGTACATTATTTGATCTGCCAGAATAAGTATATGGTCAGGGACTCATTTTTTGAACGTACTGTTGTAGAAGCCATGGATCCGCAGCCGATCCCATTGCTTTGAGTAAGATTTTCTTTTCGCTGGGAACCCGAGAAGAGTTGTACTTGGACCAACAATAGTCCCAACCAGTTACACCCCCATATTTTACCCCAGCAGAGTATACGACTTCTCGCAAATTGGGCGGAACTCGGACCCCTTTTTTCATCCAGTTGTCAAATCTTGCCATTGCTTCCTTTTCCGCATCCTTGTTTTCACAATGAATTGTTGTGGAGAGAACTTCACCTCGCAACAGCCTACATCGAAACAGTATGGATTTATTAGTAAAGTGGAAGCTTTTGGAACTTGGGGAGCACTAGAGAATTTTGTGATGTGTGTACTTGAATAGGTGAGTTCCAGAATCTGCCCATCCGACCTTCTTGTAAATTGGTTCCGTTAATTTTTGTACGTACTGAATCAGAGGTCGGTGTGCCTTCCTCTCGTACAAAACTTTGCTCCATGATCGGAAATGCTCTAGAGCTGTGGCCCATGGAACGTATTCTGTCTCTTTGCTCAAATACTGGGACAATTCTAATGGAATATTTGCATCTACCAGTCCAGCCCTACATATGCACACATATTCCGTTTAATGAAATCGTGATAATTATGCCACCATCAAAACTGGAAATAAATAATAATGCACACACTTGCAAAGGGTGAAAGCGTCGTCAATCAAACTCGCCCTGTCAGTTGGACTCAGAATGAATGGGTTTGTAAGCAATACTTTAATGAGGGAATCCCACAGTTGTCCTTCATATTGAACTCGATAAAATCCAGTTTGATTAACATTGAATTTAATCCATTCTGCTCGGAAGGACATGCTGAACTCGTCTGAAATTAATTAAAGTTCATCCGAGATTTAGATTACTGAGTTTTTAATCATGTTGAAGAAATTTCTCACAATCCGTCCTGTTCATCCAAACGAGTTGCATGCTTCTGGGCTTAAGATCGGTGACATAGGTGAGTGGAATGTACCACTTGTAGCCAAACTGATTTTCTACGTGTTCTAGCTCTGTTTCGTTGTCGTATGCATTCAACAAGAATCGAGTTTGTGACGCCCGGATGGAATTATTCTCAATGCGGACGCGAATTAGAGGGTATCCCATTTGTAGAGTCCAAGTATCCATAATTGTCTAATTATTATATTTAGAATATACAAGGAGTCCAAGTTCACATACAAGCATTAATATAGTTTCCTAAGTTTATTTGCATACCTTGACTTTCATTGAATCGTTTGCACTGCTGCTCAAAGCTGTCCATAAATCGTCTGTGTCCGCATTGTCGAACTTATGCTCGTTCAAATAGTCCATCAACCCGTGACGCATATTGCTCTGGCCAAGAACAGACTCCAGCATATAAAGGATTGCAGCTCCCTATTTTTGCCAAGTATTTATGTAAAACAGATTCAGAAATATTTCAGAAAAGTATTTATCACCTTGTTGTACGATATCGTGTCGAAAATGGCTTCTATTTCCCGAGGGTCACGGACATCCACGGAGATGGGGTGACTGCTCGCAAGAGCGTCGAGTGCCAAAGCTGTCTGCGTCTTCTCCAAGACAAATTGTTCCATCATTTTCCAATCTGGCTGGATATGATCCACTCCCACGTACTCCACAAAACTGGCAAACCCTTCATTTAACCAAAGGTCATTCCACCACCGCATCGTCACAAGGTTTCCGAACCACTGAAATGTTAATTTTATTCAATCATGTCATATATTTGAATAATATACGATTTATGATAATGCATACCTGATGTGCTAACTCATGTGCCACGACCACCGCAACCCATTGATGAGCAGCCGAACTGCTCTCATTTTTATCGTATAAAATTGAAGTTTCTCGGTACGTGATTAAGCCCCAGTTTTCCATTGCACCCGCACCAAAGTCGGGAATGGCAATTAAATCTATCGGGACACAAATCTATTATTAACAATCGAAACAGAAAATGACGCTTATGAAAATACTCGCCTTGTTTTGGTAATGGATAAGCTACGCTGAAAAACTCGTCGTAATAGTCCATGAGTTGGACGGCAGTTTGAAGTGCAAATTGTGCTTGATTGAGAAGACCGTGTGGCGTATGGATGGATACTTCAACTTTTTTGCTCGTTTTGTTACTAATGCTCTCGTAGTCGCAGATGACAAATGCGACAAGATAAGTGCTCATCTCGACGGATTCTTCAAACTCGTCCCTCCACTAATTTGAATTAAGTATTTCTTATTAACAAATAGAACTCAAAATCAAATCAGTTTCGGCATCTCACCAGTTCCATGTTGTACCCGTAATAAACTGTCTCAATCTTCTTGATGGGCATGTTGAACAACGATTTGTGAAATTGGTTACGAATAATGATCATTTTGAAGGCTGCTTTAAATTGTGGTTCATCAAAACAGGGGAAGGCAGACCGGGCGTAAGTTGGTTCAAAATGGGTGGTTGCTAAATATCTGCACGTGGAAATATATGTAATCCAGTATGAAAATTATGCCCAATTTTATTTTTGAATAATATGATGCTGACCTCCTTTCTCCCTGAGAATTTACATAACTACTGAGGTAGAATCCTTCCAGCTCCGTGCTAATGTTTGTATGAAAACGGATTCCTAGTGAATAGTTTTTTCCAGGGATAAGAGCACTTTCGTCCTTCATTTCCAACGAAATCTGGAAGGGTCAGATATTAAGTTGCATAGAGAATTCTACTGTGTCCATTGGTATCCTTTACACGTAAATGAGATATTATATACCATTTGAAATGGGCGATACTCCAGCAACTGAGAAATGTTGAGAGGCTCCACACGATGACCGTCCTCGACCTCTTCCTTCACCCACTTGTCGATGATGGTGATATTCCGACTGTGCAGAACAATCAGGCTCGTCTCCACCAACACCTCGAAACGTATCACCACCCATCCTGAAGAATAGCCAAGTAAAATTTTGTTTAGCTATGACACTCCTTGTAAAGCATAGAAATAAGTTGTGGTACATATGTACAAACCTGTAACATCTAAAGTGGTCAAGTTTGGGTGGATGGAGATTGTGTAGTGCGTTGGTTTGATGTCGGTGGGTAGTCTGGGTTTCGTCCATGGAAAAAGTTCTCCAGACTCGGAAATAAAGTCATGTTCGTCCGAACCTTCATCCGGATTTAGTGAAGAGTCCGATGGTCCAGTTAAGAAAGAACATCCTGAACAGTTAAACCATTATTGCTTTGCTTTCAATAATTTCTCAAGTGCATTTCCTCCTCCAATTTTAAGAACGTACCACTGAGAGGAGTCGCAAAGGCAATGATGACGGCGACAAAGAAAAGCGCAAAAAAGACGAGGAGGGCCACACCCACCGCCCGTTTCTGTGAGCACACGGCAATCCGTTCCTGCTCGTAAAGAGTTCGTTTATTTGCATTGGTTGATTCCCCTGCAAAAATAGGATTCAAAACGGCACATGAAGATGAATCCGTATCCATATTTATATGCAATTGTACATACGTAGATGTGCATAGATAATGAGCATGAATTGGCTTAATCAGCTCTTCTTACCCGTGAGGAAAGTAACTTCATCAACTTCATGCTCACTCATCCTAACGCTCATTCTTCTCGGCTTGATGGATGACATTTAATGAAGCTCCACTTCGCATACTCGACACAAACACAGCACTCTGCGATGCACATAAATCTCAACTGTTAAAGATAGCTCATATGCAAATAGTGCCCGATCACTTTATTCCTCCATGTCAAAATCCAGCCAGAAAGACCTGCACACCCAAAGACCCTTAAACTTTGGTTAGCTTATTTACAACATTTTTAACGATTTAGAACTTCTCAACTTTCACTGTGAAATGATGGGGAAGAAAGCAGGGGCACACTCCCGACAGATATTTTACAACTGCAGATACTCAGATACCGTGATATATGTTAACTACCCGATCTGAAAACTTTACTGACTTTATAATTAAGTAATTTCACTCGAGAATTATTTTCTTCCAGCGAGTTTTCAGTGTTTACTAGGTCGCATAACTGAATGGGAGGTGGAAACGATATGGACCAAAGGGGAATCTGGCCCGATTCTTTTTTATCGATCCGAAAAACAGTGCCGGGTAGTAGCGGTCGCTTTCCCCTGGACTCTCTCTACCCATACCAGAGAAAATCCCTGCTCTAATTCGCTCTCACTGGTTACAGAGGAAGTAAAATAGGGGGAGATGAAAACCCGTGGTGACTACTTCGACTGAATGAATGGCTTGAATCGCCCTTCTCACAATTACATATACGACATCGTCCCGATTTTCGGGCTGTTGTGTCCCTTTTTCATTGTTGCACTTTGATTCGGACCCTTATTTACATACCAAACGAAACATTATTGCATATATGCAACTATAATATGTTGAAAGTAATTTAGCATCTTTCTGTCAAGTTTCGACCTTCGGTTCATGAGTTCAGTGGAAGAAATCTCATCTTTTTAAATGAAAAAAAAATGTACAACAACTCAACAATGAAAATATATCGACTGGCGACAAAAAAAAGCATGTTTAAAATATGCATCACATTTATATAGACCGCATGTTTCACCCTGCAACGGAAATGGTCTTCTCTCCCCCCAACATTTCTTGTGTTGTCATAATGTAGAAATTGTTAATAAAGTTTGGCATAAATAATATGAAAAATGTCGCACTGTCAGTTACGACTCGTGTCCTGTCCCGGGTGTGGTGTGGTCACATCATTTTTGTTTAGGGTGTGAGTGTAGTGTGCATATACGTGTGTAGCACTTAACATCCCTGCAATCACGTCCCCATATTTATTGCATTTTAGAAGATTGTCTTTTTAACAAAAGTGTCACTCTGAATGTGAGCAATCCCCAGAAATGATCTCATCATCATGTACATGTCGTTGTTCTTTTATGCAGTTTCTTTATGCTCGTGAGGGACTGAGCCTATTTTTCTTCCCGTTTCACAACTCACACACTCCGCTCGAGGACAATGTTTCGGTTGGGTGAATAATTTGTAAATTTTCCGGAGACGTTCATACTAAAGTCATGTCATTTTAGGCGTCCTTCTTCCTTTTTTTGGTCAACGAGCACTCACTCACCCTCCGCCTCCTGTCTCCCACTCTTAAGAAGAAGAAGAATGAAAGCTCGTCATGTTTTCTAACCCACTCGTAACACTCTTCTCTCTTTCTCAATGAGTTTGAGATTGCAGACTCTTTAGATTCACAGAAAGAGAGAGAGAGCGAAAGCATAGTTGACTGCTGCCTCTTGTCGTCGCTGTCCACTTGAAATTTTATTTTGAGAGATAGCTGCTGCACGACAAACGCCTTCTGCTGCATCAGAGAGAAGACGGCACAGTGAATGAATCAGATGAAGAGCGATGATTCATTTACTTAAACGGAACAACGGCGACGAGAGTGAGTTTCGAATGAGATTTCGCCTGCAATAAGTTCCCTGCAATATGAGTTACATGCACTCAAAAGTAGAGGCCATTTCAAGCAGTTTGTGTGTTCCTTTATGAATTATGAAGGATGTAATCACGCCGTATAAATAAATAGGTGGCAAGGCGACGACTTATTTGAATATGTACCATTTCCGTCCCACTTGTGTTTACATTTAGTCAAGAATCGTCGACTTGACGAGTTTTCATTAAAATTGCTATAATTAGAAGAGCCATACAACTGATTATGCACTTAATTTGGAGTGGGACATACGTGATTTACTGGAAATATGAGTTTTAAAACATTAATTTATGGCTCACAAATGGCAAATATTTCGCAAATATTTATATACATGATTGCGTAACACTGAGAGTACGTCATTCCTTATTGTTCTTTTAATCAAGGCCACATTTGACATTCGGGGAAGAATGTCTCATATTATTGACTTCCTTCTGCTGCTCGTTGACTACCCATTACTGCATGGTTTATTACCCCACATTCCAAACGTCACTGGTAATCAAACGCTTTTGAGGGTTCTTGTTTATTTGTTTAGAAATTATTATTATCCTTTCCTCTCTCTCTCTGTAAACGGCAAAAGTCATAAATAATACAACTTCTGAACTTATGAATGTGCTAATAAAGTTTGAAGTAGAAGTTTGCAGTAGACTTTTATCATGAATTTGGATTGGTAAACAATCAATTCCTTGTGTACACTCGTGTATTACATTTCCTACGTATGTATGTATATCCAGAACCAATTTCTATTCAATATTTGCCTTACAAAAAGAACTCCCTTTGATATGTCATCCAGCTTTGTGCAAGACTTTTTTTTTGCTGTCCTACAAAGAATTTTGCTGCCTCTGAGCAATTCCATCCAAACGCGAAATGCTAAATTGTACTACTACCATTTAAATGTTATGTTGCCGCATGGAGAAATATCCTCCCATAGTGATTTGCATATTGGTCGTGGAACCGAATTGACTCCATTCGTCCGTCCAATGAGGAAGCAAATTTGTAATTACGGATGAAAGAAGAATGAATGAGGAGGAGCAGAATAGTCGTCTGAAGTGAAAGGCTGGCGAGAGGCCTATTATTATTTCGGCCGAGGAGAGGACACACAAGAACTAAAAACATAAATCTCTCATCTACTCATGCATCCAATCCACAAAACCAAACTACTCCTTGTCCTGTCTATGCCCTTTGGAAGAGCAAATACTTTACCCATTTCCAATTTCCATCAAGCAGCCTCTTCGAAAGTTCGAAAACTAAGGAAAATCAATGCAAATGCAAATTACCTGGGGAGCAGGTTATAAAATGAAATTGAATTTTGTCGCACCGGAAGCGAGACTAAACCTTGTAATTATTTGTCTCATCAATGTGTTTGATTCTGTGTGGGATGGGAAGGAGGAGGTGGAGGAGGAAAAGAAGGTGAGATTTGTCAGTCGGGACAAGAGGGAAGATTGATCTTATTTGGAATACAATCCAACCAAGTGGAAAAATGGAGAGAGAGTGAAAACTCCAAAACATAAAACTACACTGCAGACAAATAGTTGAGTTTTTATAGCAAAGTTCTCTCACTCCAAAGTTTGCAAATGCCAGGCGAGGCCAACCCCCTTGGCAAGTATGTGCATATGATAAGGAGCAACGAGAACATGAAGAGTTGAGACGAACAAAATTCCATTCACACAGACAGACCCAGTTTTTTTTTGGATGGACTCAAATGCAAAAAGTTTCCTAGATTGGTTGATTTCCTTCTTCACACGTTTCCCACCGGCTCATGTAGGAGGTTATTCAGGTGGTAATGGTGGTGGTAGTTCTGTACCTTCGTACATCGACGACGAGGACGAAAACGGCGAGAGTTTAGATGATTGGAATAGAACGAGCTACTCTCATCTCACTCCCAGTTCGGCTCATCATGCTTGACACGGAAGAATCATCAGGACAGCGGGGTTAGTCTGCCCCTTAGAAAAGTAAATACCTACACTCACCGTCGAAATCAAAGTAATGTAATGCAAGATAACATCCAGGGTCGAAATTGAGTCGTTTCTCGACGTGTGGAAAGTAGTAGAACTGATGGGAGAAAGCTGCTTGCTGGATAGCGTAGCACCTCGACTTGGTCGTCGGATTTACTCACAGTCAGTTACTCTTCTCTCTCGACGATGCATGTCGCAGGGCTTCTTATCTGTAAACGAAGACGACCACGAATCCTGACACATTTCAGGACAAGTCGAGATAAAAAGAATGTTGCACTGAAGAGAAATAGCTTTAAACTTGTCAATCCAATACAGTCCTCTAAACAAACTTCCACAAAATGGAGAATGTTTTCTGCCATCAAAAGTATTAACCTTTGGAAATAGAACGGACTGGCATCCCTCTCCGGCAATTTTGAAAATAACTTTTCAAGCTATTCCTGCGAAAGAAAAGAAAATCTGTGTGTGGTGATCCCGTTAAAGTCGGAATAAGAGGCTCATGTCAATTATTGTTTTCTATATAGCGGAAATAATGCTCAATATGGTAGCATATCACGGTTACACAATACCCTTCTTGCATAGGCACGTGCACCTGCTTCAAGTTCATATCTGATCTGATCGTGTCATCGTGAAACTCAATTTCGAAGGAGAGAAGAACCTTGGTTTTAAGCAACTTTACTTAGTTTCTTAGCTTCATTACTTTATATTCAGTACATAGTTTTATTAAGCATGTTGTAATGAATATTGGTCGACGACGAGACTCGGAATGCGACGTCACTCACTCTGCAAGACAAGTGGAGAAGAACTCCAAAAGTAAAAGTCTGCATTAGTGGAGAATCATTCAACATCTTAGTTTATTCGGGTCGACAGAAGGTCCAGCTTCAGCCCAGGTCTCGTATACTATATCCTCTCCGTTGTTGTTCTCCAGTCGTCTCTGCCCAAATGCCCACCACCACCACGAGGATTTTTACAACTAGTTGAAGAACCTAAACCAGCTACATACATGTCCAAAGTCCAGTTCTTCTTCTTCTTGTGTCCAAATTGTAAATCCGATGCTGCACTGACCGGCTCATTTTAAGGAGAGAAAGTACCACTGGAAATGTTGTTTTATGTATGAGACCCCTACATACAACCACTTTTACCATTTACCTTAGTGGACTACTAAACTCTCATCCCTATACATACTTACTCTCGCAGGCATGTTCATCAAAAAGCCATGTCTCTCCTGACCCACCCAGCAGACTTGGAGTTATAGGGGTAAGCCTGGTTTATGGCTCTTTTCGAAATTGACAGTTGTGCAGGACATGATGTAAAAAATGATGATGTACACATATGGTCGTTCGCCTTATGTATCGCTTGAAGGTGGCACTCACACTGTCTCGCAACTTGGAGAGGAAGTTAATCCCTTAAGCAAGGTGTGTGGTCAGAGCAGTGCTCGAGGGGAGGGAAAAAATGGCAAGTGTGGGTGACAGAACATTGACAATATTGGCTCCGAGGTGAATCTCCAGTTTCCTGCTTTCTCTCTCCCTCCGCTAACTTCCTTTTCCTCGAGGTCTTCTGTCTTCCCAGTCTCCGACGTCTCAGTCGCACAGATTATTCTTCACCTGAATCTCTTCACCCGACAGCTACACGGAGATGGAATGAGATTTGAGAGGAAGGAGC